AGCGTCTGACGTGTGGCCCTATCCGATTCCGCAAGGAACAGCTAGTCATGCATCCTGGAGGATTTATGCAAGGATTTCGTAGATCAAATATACATATTTTTCTTTTATATAAAGTGAGCAAGTTTCTCTCCATCCATTCACTATACACCCCCCGTCACAAGAAGGTCGTGACAATATTTAGATTAAAAAAAAAACTTGTTAGAACAAGACAGAAATATAAGCTGAGCTGTTTTCTCGCGTTCACTTTTTTGAAAATGGTTCAAAACAGGTTTGAAACAGTATATTCTCGCGATCAACCCATGACGTCACATCAAAATTGGTTCAAACCGTTACGACAGTTTTGAGAAACGTTTTTAAACATTTGAGACGCGAGAAAACACCTCAGGTTTATCATCCTAACACTTTGTAAAAGCCGCTAGATGATACTGATGTCAGGACTTGGAATTTGTTCCCTTGACTTTGAATTTTAAAAAAGAAGACCGTTTACCGTTTCATCAACTAGAGTCGTAGTCGTCTTTTCTTTAATAAATTGTTCAAATTCTTTACAGACAGCCATTTTGTGGAGAATCGTCTACCATGAAAGGTCTCTTAGAATTCAAAAAGAAATCCTTAAATTTTTTCATGGGACGGTTTTTGGACGTGTTGGAACAGGCCTATATTGAACACGTCCTCCGAAATTACCCATAAATACCAGAGATATGTGAGGCAAATAGAATGCGCTTAGACGACTGCGCATCCGATTTATTGGTAACGCATAGGGGGCCGCCATTTTTATCACTTTTGACAGTTTTTACTTATCTCGTTTTCGATTGGTAGATCGTGCAATTTTTTTGAATATGACAAATTTTTCACAACATAACCTTACTTTTGGTCGGTTACAAGGGCAATCCAACAACCTGTCAGAATGTAATTCAAAATGGAGGCCAATGCCTTTTTATTTAAAAAAAATGCCGTTTTATTGCGATTTTTGATTTGTATAAAGTCTGTAAAGTGTTGATTTTTTGGGAAATGCATACTTTCTGTATTTTACTTAGTTGTGGGAGCCGTTCTAATCGTGAGAAAGTCTGGTTTCATGCCATTCCTGCAGAGACAACACACAGGTTTTCAACGGAGAAAAATGATTTGTCTCTACTTTGTGAGCGCCTCATGGATTGTAGCAAAATAGAAAAAATCTTACGAAATCCATATTAAAAAACCAAAAAGTCTCTCTACATAAATGGTGTATGGATCCCAGCCATTTACTATCCTCCACATCAGCTTGTGTCGATAACTTGAATAGCAGACAAATGAAATAAACATCAGGATTCAGGATTTGGTTAAGAAAAAACTAAACATGAAACAAAGCCTGGATAGTACCTACCTAATTGATTAGTAGGTAAAGGTTTGTCACAAAGAAATCATAACTTTTGCAAACATCCGGGTTTTCCACTAATAATTTCTTAAACTAACAACTTTCCATCTTAAAATACGAAAATTATCCTTCCAAACACTAGAAAATCATCTAAAAACACCACAAAATACACAAAAAACAGTTTTTTGATGAAAAATGTCGCGGTTGTTTGAATTAAATTTATAGCGCCAATTTTTTGGCATTGACCATGCATTGACCGCCATTTTGTTTGGATTGCCCTATTGTTGGTTGTTGGCGATTTTTCCTGCCCTGCTTTTTCTTGAGATATTGTTATCAGAGTGGTGTTTTAAAAGATTTCTTTTTGTTATTTCTGCTTATTTTTGGAGTTATGAGCTGTTCATAACTTATTTTTCCAAATCCGAATTTGACAAGTGATAAAAATGGCGGTCCTTCAAATTCGGCCAGTTGCGCAGGATGGACCTATTCTATTCTAACCAACAACTCTCCCATATCTCTGAATACAGAGAAATTATTGTTAGTTTGGGTTAATTTTCTCAATTTTGCTGTACTTAGGGCCGGATTCTCAATAGCGGGTCACCCCCGGGTTAAGCATAACTCCGGGGTAAGCATACCAACTGGACACGCCTGCCAAATCACCAGTTGTGACGTAGGCAGCATGTCCTTTCTCGCCTAGACGTAGGCTGTTTGCACTACAGGTTATGATTCCGCGCGGTAGCGCACCCAGAAAATATGTTTGGGGGGGGCCTACATAAGTTGTGGCTTGTGACTGAAAATCTAAATACAAAACTGAGGTGTCGGGGTGCCACGCCTTGATGTTGCTAAATTTTTTAAACGTAGAAATACAGTTTTGTAGTGGCGGCCTGGGGGGGAGGCCCTGGCCCGATAGCATCCCCCCTGGGTGCGCCAGTGATTCCGCGGGCTTTTGCTCTATGCATACTTGGTTTTACTACATTAATTAACATTCTAAAACAGCTCTTTTTTAGATCTCGTTTTCATCTTCCTCTTTGCTGAGAACTTGTTAGTTCTCAATGACGTGGGAAATGGTGACACACCAATATGGCGGCGATTACCAAAAACGAGGTCGATAAGTAATCTAGTGGGTACTATCCTCAGGGACGTCTTAAGACTTCTTGAGGCCCTGGGCCTATATGTCAAAGGAGGCCCCTTACCTACAGGGGGGGGGGGTGCTCTAGGGCATACGACATGAATAAGTTAGAAAAACTTTTGAAATGTGAAAATGTAATGTATATATTTTGGAAAGAAAATAACAAATTACAAAGGTTGTTTTCTAGAGTTTACAGAGGCAAAATCGTGAATTATGTCTTCAAAATCAACGGTTTGTAAAATTTTGCTTTCAACACTCAACAAATCATGGATAAAAAAATTCTCATACCAATTTCATGTTGTTTCCCCATTTCTTCTTCCTGGTTTTTTAGTTTTTCAATATCTATGCTGATATAGGATTTGGAATGGTCACATTCCAAAATTCATTCATCGGTTCCTTTGTCATAAAATTGTGACAGTTTTACCGCTTCTCTTGAAATTTCAATTTCACATGGTCAGACATTTTTTCAACAAAAACGATTCTTTCAAATATTTTGTTACCCGTTACCTTCAAGGAAAGTCACTTTGTCTTTTCACTCGTGTCCTAATATCGCGGTACTCCTTCAAAACAGATTTTTCTCTGGATTTTGATTCATAAAAATCAAAATCGTCTCTTTTTCTCTTATATATGCCATTAATGATTTAATAGTTATTTACCTAACGAATGCGGAAAGTGATACTTTACCGCACGCAACGGCAGTTGATCGGTCAAGCCTTTAAGGGCGGTAAAGGCACTTTCCGCATTTGTTTAGGTACAAAATTTTACCTATGAACATCTACATCTCCAAAACAAGGCATTAATAAAATTAATCAATAAATCATATCAATTAATGAAATTAGATTAGATTTAGAAATGATCAAAAATCCGTTTTCTGAAAAAGAAAGGATTTTCAATCATAAATACCAAAGTCTACTTTACCGCATACTATGCGGTAAAGTTAACTTTACCTCACACGGTAAAGTTACTTTACCGCATAGTGTGCGGTAATAGTTATTTACATTACAAGTGCGTTTATTAACATGATTGCAATAACGAGTGTGAAAGATTAGAACGACGAGGTCATAGACCGAGTTGTTCTAACCACACGAGTTTTGTAGTCATGTTTAAACGCACGTGTGATGTACAACGTTTTATCTACAAAGCGAAAAATAAGAATGTTTTTTTAAATATTTTCGTTTATTAGTAGTTGTCCACCTTCATTTTACCTTTACAGGTTTAACGTTGACATTTGTCAAATCACCAAAAATAGTTGTGTTATAGATTCATAACCTAGTCAATAACACCACTAGTTGTGTTATGAATTTATAACCTAGTCCATAACACCACTAGTTGTGTAATGGGTCTCATGATGACATAACTCAAATTCTGGAAAAATGGTTATTTAAAAACGTCATAACCAAACGCTTGTAGATGAAGTTAACTTTACAGCATAGTGTGCGGTAAAGTGGACTACAAAGTGTGCGGTAAAGTGCACTTTACCGCATAGTGTGCGGTAAAGTAGAATTGGATATTTATAATAAAAAATCCTTTCTTTTTCAGAAAATGGATTTTTGATCATTTCTAAATCTAATCTAATTTCATTAATAAATCTGATTCATTACTTAATTTTATCAATGCCTTTTTTTGGAGATGTGTAGATGCTCATAGGTAAAATGTTGTACCTAACACATGCGGAAAGTGCCTTTACCGCCGTAAACGGCTTGACCGAACTCCGCTTCGCGTCGTTCGGTCAACTGCAAGTATCACTTTCCGCATTTGTTAGGTAAATAACTATTACAGTTGTAGACAAATTTCAGTTTTCCTTTTGGACTAACAAATTTCAGTTTTCCTTTTGGACGAACAAATTTACTCTGTTAGTCCGAGTCAAAATATCATTCCAAAAAATAGTTAAAAAAGTAGTTTCTAAGTCATCCATCTTGCTGTTCAATGTTTTTGCAGTAAGACGTGTATCTGCTGATTGTAATTTGTCATTCTAAGGGCCGATACTTTTGCTATCGATTAACGAATTTGATACGTTGTGTTGTCAAAGTTTTGCATGGGCCAAGGTCTATAAGTATGATGTGGTTAGGGTACATTCAAAGCCCTGATTATTTTTAACGGCTGTCAAATAAGAGCAAAAGTACCGGCACTTAAGGTATCAAGGCTTATTTGGATTTCTGTATCCACAATTTAAAGCTGTAACTGCGTCTTCACGTGAAGACCAACGTGTTTTTGATAAGCTTTTCAGTACTTTATGATCGGAACTTAAATTTGAATTCATTTCCCAACGGTGCATTGACGAGGAAAAGAAATCGTATATAGAGGTTTTGAACAAAGACAAAGGAAATTGTGACATATAAGTTGCATTCTATCGCTACCCGCCTATATTTTCTTTTTCAATTTTTTTTCTATAAATTTTATTTTAAATTGGGCGTGGACTTAGCGATGAGGCCCCTTTGGCGCCGAGGCCCTGGGCCCGGGCCCAGAGGGCCCATGCCTTAAGACGGCCCTGACTATCCTTGCTTCCCAACTTCTTCTAACTGTCACTTGTCACTTTCTTGTTTCCTTTCCTGCTGTTTATTATTATTGTTGTTGTGTTGAAATTTGAAATATTAAATATTATTATCAAAGAAACAATAGTGTAGTTTCCTATTATAGCCTGTAAACCAAGAAATGGAAGGGCAACAAAAAAAAAGTAGGTAGCTATTTTAGCTTATGCAGAAATTTTTATTTCAGCATTTTCAAACATATTTCAGATGGGGATCCTCCCGCTGTTCCCCCTGGCTGGAATGATCCTCCAATGCTTAAATACACTCCACAAAATCCTCCTCCAAAATCAAGAATTACGAATAAAAGAGTAGCATTTCCCGTTGGACCACCAAGTAGTACTGAAGAACTTCCAAAACCATCGGTCCATTCACCCCTCAAAACATCTTTACCACCTCTGGCACTACCGTTAATCCCGCTTGGTCAACCTTGCAACACGAGCTTATTTGCAAAAGCAAGCACTAATTTCAATAATCTGATAGACAAGATTGAGGACCATGATATTAAAGACAGAGTAAACCAAATGCTCAATGATTGGCAAACTGGAAAATTCACAAATGAAGTACAAAACACCCTAACTGATTTTTCAACATGTATAGTTGATAATAATTTAACTGGAGCAAAAGAACTTTTCTCAAGATTGAATGTGCCCAATGATGGAAATATAATGGTCAAGCCTTATTTATCTTCTTTGAAGTACCTATTTATGTAGCTTGAATAGGTTATTTTTTGATAAACATTTTTGTATGAAAAGTGTGGTGCCAAGTACCTAAAGCTGGGGTATAGTTAAATTTTTTTGTCTTGGTGCTTTTTGGTTTTATCTACTAGGCATATTTTCTATAGATATACGAGATTAATTTTAATCCTATTTTTTTTTATTACCAACTAGGTAATTATTTTGAAAATGAAGGCTGGTTTAGTCAGCTAATAGTGTATAATGCACAATTCTTGATGCTCAATTTTAAAACTTCTGTTTTATATGTAGCCGTTTTGCCAACTCTAAGTGTCTTATTGATAATTTAGTGTTTAATTCACAATACACAAACTTGACCGTCCTTGACTTTTAACGTTTTAAGAATTAAGCAATAAAATTTGGCCTGTGCGCATGCATGCGTATGTCACAATCGCAAAATTTGCCAGTTTGATTGCCATCAAGTCTTGTTTAACTTCATCGTTAATAATATTTATCTTGAATTGTATTTGATATCTCGATATTGATAAAATAATAACAAACAGCAATAAAGCCAGCTGGCTAAACCGGCCTTTAATATGATAATTTTATAAAGTGCAGAGAAAAAAATATATTTTGTTAGTATCTTGTTTATTTTAACTATTGTTTTTTGAAATAAATGCAAAATTTATTGCTTGCATACATTTGCCCTTGAAGAATCCACACAAAAATAATATGCAATACCTAATTTTGAGAATTTACAATTTACCTACTTGGCCCTCCAAAACCTTGATGGATTATCAGGGTGTCAATTTGAAAACTTCCCACCCCTATTATCTCGGAGTAGAAAATTTTTCGAAAAAATCCCTGAAACACGTCAACTTTAATTTGAAGGGGGATGAGTTTTTATGCAAAATTCACCTTCCCTCTTTCAACCCCCCAGCCCCCAGAGCCACCCCCTAGAAAATTTTAAATAGGAAGGGGGATCAAGTGATACATCATTTTGCAGGGTTTTTAATTCCATACATTTTGGTACTAAATTTAAGTCCCTAAGTTCAACTGTTTTGGAAATATGGACAGTTGAAAATTGACTTTTTTGCTACTTTGACAGGCTGTAAAACCTAAACGGTTAATTTTAGAGGAAAACCGACCTTACATTCTTAGATTCTTAGATTTTCATAAACTATCATTTGACACCATTTTTGAATTTAACCAGAGATTAAATTTTCAACCGAAATTTTTGATCATAGATCATATTCGAAGTTGCTGTCAAATGATAGTTTATAAAAATCTAAGATACGAATGTAAGATCGGTTTTTCTTTAAAATTAACCGTTTAGGTTTTTCAGCCTGTCAAAGTAGCAAAAAAGTCAATTTTCAACTCTCAATATTTCCAAAACAAATGAACTTAGGGACTTAAATTTAGTACCAAAATGTATGGAATTAAAAACCCTGGAAAATGATTTATCACTTGACCCCCCTTCCCATTTAAAATTTTCTAGGGGGTGGCTTTGGGGGCTGGGGGGTTGAAAGAGGGAAGGTGAATTTTGCATAAAAACTCATCCCCCTTCAAATTATAGTTGACGTGTTTCAGGAATTTTTTCGAAAATTTTTCTACTCTGAGATAATAGGGGTGGGAAGTTTTCAAATTGACACCCTCATATAACTAAAGATTCGCAAGAGTTAGTTTTTCTTGAGTATTTCATTGCTCGAAAAAATAGCAGGCTATTTCTTTGATTGTCTATCTTTCGAAAAAGGTCTTGCTATGGATTGTTTCCCAAAAATAAAAATAATTATACACTGAAAATTGAAAAAAACTCCATAAATTTTCAGATAAATCGATCAAAGAATGTTTTTGCCAAACTTGACCCAATTCTGATGTGCCGTCTTTTTTTAAACCTTCAAACCGATTTTGAAAGTTAATCGTAAATCGCTTTGAAGTTGCAAACAGTGGCACATCAGAATTCGTTTCGTTGAAATTTGCCATAAACATTCGTTGATCGATTGTCTAAAGATTTATGAAGTCATCTTTTTAGCTTGGTGATTTTCATTTTTGGGAAATAATGAAATAATCCATAGCAAGACCTTCTTGGAAAGATAGGCAACCAAAGAAACAGAGGAGTGCTGTTGTCACCTGATTCAGTATAAGACAATGGTATAAGTTATTCGGAACCTATACATACCAGAAAAGGATCTGTCAAAAAAAAAAAAAAAAAATGATGCAATATATCATGCTGATTCATAAATACTCAACTACTGTTTGTTTGGTCGATTCCCAAATCGCCAGAATCCACACAAAATTGAGAGGGACCTCTTTATTTTAAGCCCCACTTTAAGTAATTTTTTATAATAATAATATAGGTATACTGCTCAGTATACTGTTACATTCAACTTCATAAAGTTGGCGTCACTTGACCAAAACTGAAGCGAAAGTGGTGGAAATGGATGATACATGTAGAGGTAACGCAAACTGCAAAGTTAACCAGGATCCCCACCCCAAATTGTCAACACGTTCCAAAGTCGTCGCCTGGGTAAAATGTCGTATGGGATACCCTGTATAACAAAAAAATCTTAATCAAACTACCTAGAGCCGCCACGATTATTAAATCTTCTGTTCTATAGCTAGTGGCATAAGAGAGAGTGAGTTGTATTAGATACAATAATCTCTTTGATTCTTTTTCTCATTACAGTCATATATACTTATCTTTCTTGCGAAATGAAAATTTTATATACCGTGTCCTAACGCGACCTTGAAATTGCACTCTCATGCAACCAAAGAATTATTCACATCAGAAGTCAGCTAGTAGCTGATAAAATGAACAGATTAAATGTTTCCAACTCTACTCGTTCATCCATTCGCGAGTACACTATCGGATAGTTCACACCCTCGGTACCATAATAATTACACAGCGCTAGTTTACAAGCAGCTGGTAGAAAAAACGCGATAGTGGCGTCTAAATTAGATCCATGTTATCGATGCTTATATAACATTAATGAAAAAATACTATTCTAAGAATTGTCCAATAATTTACTTTGACAAGACAGGTTTGACGAGAATGGATCACCATCCACAGGATGGTCGGATTCTCATGGTAAATAGGTATCATCAATTAGCCTGGTTGCGTCTACTGCTGGACATAGGCCTTCCCTAATCTAACGTCCTCGACCCTGTGCTGCATTCATCCAATTTGGCTCTATTATTTTAATATCGTCGGTCCATCTTTTTGGTGGGCGACCTCTGTTTCGAAAGGCCCCTTGTCGCGGTCTCCACTCAAATCAACTTTGTCCATCGTCCGTTTGCCATTCTCGGTATGTGTCTAGCCCAGTTCCACTTTAACGTTGTTATGCGTTCAATAGCAGCTGTTACTCCAGACATTTGGCGAAGTCTGATGTTAAGGACTCTGTCTTTTTTTGTTAAGTCTGCTTGACACGGTGCAAGTGTACTTGCCAACCCACTTGGTCCAAGTTGTCATCCAAGTGCACTTGGACCGTGTCAACTGGGCTTTAGTGCCAATGTTTCTGCTCCGTATTTTAACACAGGAAGGACACACTGGTTGAACACCTTTCTCTTTAAACAGGTTGGAATATCGAATTTTAGAGTGTTGTTTAATTTTCCAAAAACTGCCCAATTTAAGCCAACACTTTAGCGCTATCTCTTAGGAGTCATGGTTAACTCTGGTTATAAGAATCTCATGTCCCAGATACTTATACAAGTCTACTTGTTGTATTCATAAGAAAATAATATTTATTTACAGGCTATCTCACGACGAATTGCCACGATTAATTTTTAGGATAATGTTGCAATTTTTTTGAAAACTTGGCAGTTTTCTGATGTCAATAGGGCAATTTGTTAGAATTTGCTTAATGGAGAAACTATAAATGAATAAGCATGAAGCATACATATATCCGGTTATATGGAGTCCTACATCTTCTGGTTCCAGTCTCCATTGCTTTTGGTTTTCCGAGTCTCCTTGGTGCAGATCTCTTTCTGACATGGCTCGGTGTATTCCTCCAAGCCAGTTAGTCCTCGGTCTAACCCTTTTTCTCCTTTCTGAAGATTTCCATCTTAGGATTTGTTTAGGGAGTCGCTCCTCGTCCATTCTCTCTGTGTCCATTCCATATCAATTGCTGTTGGTCTATTTCTTCAAGTAATGTCTTCTGTACGCCTATGATTTCCGTTATGCAATGGTTATTCACCCGGTCCAGGCGTGATTTACTGGCAGCTCTGCGCCAGAAGTCCATTTCCAGTGAAAGTACGATAAGTAAAGCAAAAACAATAAAAGATAATACAAAATGAAAGGTAAAAAATCGTGTTAAAGCGGCATTATCAACTGCAATCCCACCCCAAATTCATTCAACAATTATTATATTTTCAAAGGGCGTTCCTTAAAAAAAATGAGGTTATGATATCTTTTATTTGAGTCATCCTGTATAAAAACTGTCTATTATCAATCCGAAAAAAAATTATGCATACTTATGCATCTTTGGTGGCAGTTTCTCTGAGGATGTGAATATAGAACTGGGTGTTGCAAATCACCATCATCATTGGCAACTCTAAATGAGAAGCCTTATCCATGATGAAACTCGAATTTAAACTATAAGTGCATACAAATATCACATTATCAAAAACTAAAGAAATAATTTCCCACTCAGGAAATATAAGAGCATCTGGCTTTTTGGAAAATTCATTCAAACTGAAACACGGGGCTACCATTGTGAGAAACCACGCATGATGGTATTAGTGCTCTAGATTTTTGTCAATAATTATTTGGATGTAGGAACTTAATAAAACACTGTGTTTAGGTAAATGTGTTTTTTTTTTTTTTTAAATATAATTCAACAAATAATTAACAAACAAGGTGTGTGATAGTAATGACAAAAATAATAAAAAACATTATATTGTGTAAACATTTAAAGGCCAATAGTATTTATTTGCAATAAAATATGCAAAAATATAACAAACATATTTATCATTTACAATTACACACGACTATTTTCTTATAGCAGCAACATTTTATCTTATTGTAAATGACAAACAATAGGCATAGGCTCATAATATCACATAGTATTTAGAATTTTTTTAAGAAGGTGCACTTGTGTAAAAATAACAAGCCTAACAATATTATTGTGTCAAATTTTTAAAACTAGTTTTGAGTGTATGTACAACATACTATATACTTTTATTTGGTCTAAAAGACTACTAGTAATGTTGTTCAAAATACAAAGTTTGTCTGCCAATAAATACTGTCAATTTTCCAACCACCTTAACCAATGCAGGTACCTACATTATCAATATTAGCAAGCTATGAAACTAACCCAACTACACATTTGAATCTCTGCTTTTTAATTTTTTTTAATCAAAAATTTTTAAATAGCAATTGACTTTAGATCAAGTCAATGTAGGCGGGAATCCCTGTACCAACTGATGTTGAATATAAAACATTTTGAGTTGAGTTTTTGAAACGACCGCTTAAAGAGGCGGCAAGTATCTCAAAAAATCACGAGGTTAACTGTTTTATTAAAGAATAAAAATATTATCATGTTCTGTGTCAGAATGGGGATTGGAGTTTTTTCTATCTTCGATAAGGGTGAGAGAAGCTGGTGAAAAGGGTATAATTTTAAAAATAATTGTTGTCTTTCATACCCTGAGGCTTGCCTGCTTTGGGACCACTGGACGATAAAAAAAACCTCCATCCATGCCCTTGCCGAATGTTCAGCAATCGCTGGAATTGATTTATCCAGAAGACATACAAACGATCACGTCCTGAAAGCTCTGTGGCCTACGTGCAATGTGAACTCCGCCCATTTGAAGGAAAAATAAACCCCTGGCCCTAGGAGGTGTCTAAAGGTGAAAAGCTAGTTTATAAACTAGCTATGCATATACAAAATGATAAAACCCTTGCAAACTATCAAATAATTTGGCTAGTATATAAACTACTCGACAATTTTTTTGATCCATTCAAGGAAATATGCTGGGATATAATTGTTATTACGTTCATTCATTACAATATTCAACATAAAGCCTGATCAAATTTTGAAAGTTACTTAACACGACTTTTGTAAAAGTTATTCAAACATCCACCTGAACGACATAATGGCGAATTCGCCCGCTATTAATAAATTTTTGAAAAGACAAATTAATAATAATTGCATTTTTCGAATCACCTTTGTCATCATGATTTTCCACAGGGTAAGTTTTCTCATTTTTGAACTTGTAAGTATTTACCCAGGGTTGGAAATTCAACAGTGCCAAAATAATTGACTATACTCACTTAAACAGAATCATGTCAGACAATTTTGTAAATTCATTGTAATCACATGCTGATATTGCTTATTAACATTACTAAATTACATACTACTTAGGATATGCGACAAGTTTGAGATATTATACAGGGTGTCTCTAAAAGGTCTTTACAAAATCATAGCACATATTCCCAAGGTCAAAATAAGTCGATTTGAAGCAACTTACCTCAGTCCGAAATTGCTTCGTTTCCGAGATACAGGGTGGTAAAGTTGAAAAATCAAAATCGAATTTTTCAAAATTTATGAACACATCTCGATGGATTGCTCTAAAAATTGGCACCTAGGGGTTTTTTGGGACGCGAAACCCGAATATCGACACCTTTTAACTATGGCCGCTAGATGGCGCTTCACAATGCTCTTCTTATGGTTTAAAATGGCCGTAACTTTTTTCTCAGTGTAATTTTTCACTTTTTTTGGTAAGTAAGTAATTGTGTCAACATTTTCAGACAAAAAAGGTATGCTTGTCATAATCCGTTTAAGTGAGCCTTCTGTGAGATATTTCCGTTTTTGTTGTCCGATGCCGCACCGAAATTATTGAAATTATTTTGAATAAAAAAAAATTTTCAGTACCTTTAGGAATGAAAAGTGGTCAGTGAATTACAAATGCGAATGTTTTCATTTGTTCGAATGTTCCTTGGACCAAAATAAGGTGACTTAAGCAAACTTACTTTATTACAAAGTTGCTTAGTTTGGGCGCTATAGGCCCCGAAGTGACAATTTTAAAATAGTTTTTTTAATAAACTTTGAACAGTTTGTTCGATTTTGCTAAAATTTGATATGGTGGCATAGCTTCACGTGGCAAAAACACCGATATCAAAATTATTGATAATACAGTCCATGGGCGGAGGTCTAGGGTTTTTTAATAATTGCATGTCTTGAATTTCTACGCCAATGAAGGAAAAGGGATTTGGGCATGAGGTTTAGATTAACCAAATTATTTACTACAAAAAAGGTACTCTTGATGAAACTTGATTACTCTCATGGTTTTTGCGAAAATTGTAAATAGTTCGCTGTAATTTTACAGAAAAAAAAATAAGTTGCCAATGTAATGAATTATGAATACAAATAAATAAATAAAGATATCATAAATACTGTTCAAAGTGTCCACCATTTGCATGTATACAAAGATTTATACGACGAAGAAAATTAAAATGTACTCTTTGCAAAACTTCTTCATCAGCTCTAAGATTATTTGTTACATCTTGAATACGTTGCCACAGTTGTTCTTCATTATCTACTGGTGTCATGTAAACCATGGACTTGAGATGTCCCCAAAAAAAATAGTCCAATGGTGTTAAGTCCGGAGAACGTGCAGGCCACTTGACAGGGGCGTTATCACCTCTACCTATCCATTTATTTGGGTACTGCCGATTTAAATAGTTTCGAACATTTAATGAAAAATGTGGTGGAGCTCCATCGTGCATAAACCACATATCTCTCCGAAGTTCTAAAGGTAAATCGTCTAACAAATCTCGCAAAGTTCTTCGTAGGTGTTGACGCAAATAAATTTCAGCCGTTAACTTTTGGGGGAGACGGACAGGACCAATTATAAAATTACCGATTATTCCAGCCCATACATTAATTCTAAATTCGTGTTGAAAATGATTTACCTTGATTGCATGCGGATTTTCATCTGCATAAACATGTTCATTATGAAGATTCGTTACCCCTCTTCTTGTAAAACATCCTTCATCGGTGAACAAAATATTGTTGCCAAAATTTAAATTTCTTTCTCTTTGCCCATTAACAAACTGACAAAAAACCAGGCGCATTTCAGACATTTTATGGTATGGATGTAACAACTGTTCTTTAAGTACTCTATGGACGACATCTTTGGATACTCCCATTTCCCTACCTACTCGTCTGGTACTTACTTCTGGCTCGTCTTCAACACGTTCCAAAATTTCTTCTTCTACTTCAGGAACCCTGACAAAACGCTGCCTTCCATAATCAGTGGTTTCTGGTGCAAAGCGGCCAGTCTCCCGAAGACGCCTCTCAACAGCAGCAAAAGTTGGGTGGCTTGGTATACGACGATTTGGGAACCTCTCGGAGTACACCCTGACACACTCTCGACCATTTCCTTGACAATATCCAAATACCAATAACATATCGGTATATTCTGCATTGGTGTATTGTACGGCCATGATAGATCACGAAAATGTAAATTTTTCTTGTTTATTAGGGAAAATAAAGTTTAACGTTATTAAAAATTGAATGTGGTTTAAATTTGATTATTTCCCACCTGTCAATTTGAACCAATCAAAAAAACGGATATTACCCCCGACAATGGTTTTATTTACACGAAGCTATGGAATCCAACAAAAAAAACATAAACAATGGAATGTGGCACCGCACCGCCGACTGAATGAGCATGTTTGTTGGTCTTTTTACCTTAAAATAAATTTGAAAAACTATTTTTGCTAACATATTTTTTTTGTAAAAACTACATCGAATTATTAAAATACAATTTTCGCAAAAACCATGAGAGTAATCAAGTTTCATCAAGAGTACCTTTTTTGTAGTAAATAATTTGGTTAATCTAAACCTCATGCCCAAATCCCTTTTCCTTCATTGGCGTAGAAATTCAAGACATGCAATTATTAAAAAACCCTAGACCTCCGCCCATGGACTGTATTATCAATAATTTTGATATCGGTGTTTTTGCCACGTGAAGCTATGCCACCATATCAAATTTTAGCAAAATCGAACAAACTGTTCAAAGTTTATTAAAAAAACTATTTTAAAATTGTCACTTCGGGGCCTATAGCGCCCAAACTAAGCAACTTTGTAATAAAGTAAGTTTGCTTAAATCACCTTATTTTGGTCCAAGGAACATTCGAACAAATGAAAACATTCGCATTTGTAATTCACTGACCACTTTTCATTCCTAAAGGTACTGAAAATTTTTTTTTATTCAAAATAATTTCAATAATTTCGGTGCGGCATCGGATAACAAAAACGGAAATATCTCACAGAAGGCTCACTTAAACGGATTATGACAAGCATACCTTTTTTGTCTGAAAATGTTGACACAATTATTTACTTACCAAAAAAAGTGAAAAATTACACTGAGAAAAAAGTTACGGCCATTTTAAACCATAAGAAGAGCATTGTGAAGCGCCATCTAGCGGCCATAGTTAAAAGGTGTCGATATTCGGGTTTCGCGTCCCAAAAAACCCCTAGGTGCCAATTTTTAGAGCAATCCATCGAGATGTGTTCATAAATTTTGAAAAATTCGATTTTGATTTTTCAACTTTACCACCCTGTATCTCGGAAACGGAGCAATTTCGGACTGAGGTAAGTTGCTTCAAATCGACTTATTTTGACCTTGGGAATATGTGCTATGATTTTGTAAAGACCTTTTAGAGACACCCTGTATAATTATTGTTATAATAGACCCAATAAACCAAATGGATAGATGTGCAACAATTTTGCATACCAGACACTTCTGCTATTATCCTTTACAAATCATACTTATTGTTTTATCTTTATCTGGATTATACATATTGATTATATCAATAAACTAGATATTTTGGAAAAACAAAAACATTTTGAATTAGATTGGAATCATTATCAATAACTCTTCAGATTTATAATCCTAAACAATGGCCGAAAACCTACTTCAGGGTCATGGTTTTAGAAAAAAATGTTTCTTTTTGTTAGGTTTTGATAGGCGTGATTCTCTACCAAATTAGATGGGATTAACCGCATTAGGCAATATTGGAATTTTTACTATTGGTATTCTTCTTTTTTCCATATTTTTGAATATTATTGACTTTTCTTGCACGAGCGTTTCACAGATTTTTTTTTAAAAAATGGTACACTCGCAATAAAAAATCATAGGTGTTAATTCCCCTTAATACAACCCCTATAATCATCTCAAAATTTTGTTTAGGCTTCTGCTAGTTTTCTATACCGGGTGTTTCATTGGGAAAGGGACATATTTTGGAAGCAGATAGGAGTGACCGAGAGGGTTCCAAAAAACCTATATTTGATGGGTCTATCGCCCTTTAAACCAGAGATACAGGGTGATTTATTGATTTTGTTCCTTTTTTTCTTCCCCATAACTTCTGAACGACCCCGTATTTTTTTCTCAGATTTGGTATAATTATTATCAATGGTAACTTACTTAATATCTTAGTTTACTAAGACTGAAAAAAATCCAGGTCCGTCTTTGTCAAAATCTTCCATATTCTGTCTACTTACTGCGAAAAGCCACCCTGCATATTTAAATTTTTAAAATTTTCTTTTTGGTAATTAATTTAGCACGAAACATGCAACTCCAAAACGAAGTACTCAATTTTCGGCACGAATTGTTTATAAAAAAGGTTTAGGTATGAATTGATTAGTTTTCAGCCTCCGTTTGTGCTGAACGCGTCTAAAGAAGTTTTCACTTAAAAAAATACAAATCTTGCTTGTTTTTTGTTGCTTATTGTTTAAAAAATTAATAAAGGCTCGTGTTTAGATTGGATTTATTTCGCGCTCCTAAGAGCCATAAGAGGTTGAAAATCATCAATTCACACCTAAACCTTTTCTATAAACAATTCCTGTGGAAAAATGAACACTACACTCTGGAGTAACACGTTTCGGGCTTAATTAAATAACAAAAGAAAATTTTGAAAATTTAAATATACGGAATAAAAAATTTAACAAAATCGATAGATCTGTATCTCTGGTATAAAGGGCCATAGACCCATCAAATAAAGGTTTTTTGGAACCTTCTCGGTCACCCTGTATACACAAATTTAAATGATAAAAGCTTTTTGATTTTATTAGTCGCTAGGCATTATTTACTTGACTGCCAGGCCAGATAATTTTGGAATTGGACCATATAATTATTTTCTGTCTTCAGGAGTAAATAAAAAGATGCGATGTCTCTTTGTAGATTAAGGTATTTAAAATTTTGATTATAATCAAATAACAATAAACACTGCAAAAAAACAGGCCCCAATGAAATTTGTTGAATCTCAATTTGTGGAACTCACGCAGCTGAGTATTTTCGTTTCTTATTTATTATAGTGTAAGAAATTACTAGGTAGGTAATATCAATAAAAATAGAATATCCTATATGAAGCAGTGTTTTTGAACACTATTAATTTTGATTATGTGTCATATTATGCAAAATTCTATAAAAATATCGCTCACTAACTAACACGGAGAAAGATTTTCTTGTGTCAATTTTTAGATTGAGAAATTTAGAATATCTCCCACCTGTTTTTGGGTTAATACTAAACAATAACACTTCTTCTGTTTGACTTTTGGTCTGGCGTGTATTGTTCTAAATCTTCCGGTTGTGCATTTAAAGCTGAATAATCTACAGGGAACATGGCAGATGATTTTTCGTGTATGGGAGCCCCCAAAATATGATGTCCAGGTCCGTTAGGATAACGTCCTAATAGGTAGTTAGAAAAAGATAATCTGTAGGATCTGTAGTGAAGAGGATGATCGCCACTCTGAAAAATAAATACATACAGTGTTTAAAATAAGCCACTTTGACATTTCAACACATATTTACAACTATATTATTAGAAATAGGCAAGGGTTGAAAATCTTTTTATTCATTACCATTTTACCTACTCAATAATTTTCTTTTCGAAGTTGATTATGACATTTCTGACTTGTGATGAGTTTGAAAGACTTTTTCTAGTTTTTCTTATTCCTAGAAATGTTCACGATTTCGCGAGGAATAAAATACGTCTGAACAGTGAGAGAATGAAGATGAGCTCGACAAGCCGTTATTCAACACCTTCAATAAAGGCAACGCCGACTGCTTGTATCAGCCACAGCCAAGGAAGAGACTAAATCCGAAATTACACAGGCCCTAGGAAGGGCCATACAAGATCGTCTAGAAGACCTTGGTGTAAAGAATTCAACTTCCAGCGAAAGTCGACGGGTTATGTAAAAAGGTTGGCCCCATTGCGATGTTCTGCAAGGAAGCAGTCTGATTTTTGATTTTTTTGCCTTTTCAATTCCTTCGATTTCAATCCGTTCAAGTAAAAAAATCTGACAAGTACTCTATATAATGAAGATAAAAAAATCCTCTTACATTGGACCACCACTTAAAAATTTGGATTCGAGCATGCTAATTCGAAAATTCTGTTCTAATAGCCTTGCTTTTTGAAAATTGGCAAAAACTAAAAGCATCTGGCTCATAATACTGAATGATGATATTGTTTAAAATGCAAATGAAGATACTTACTGATGTCATGGCTTGATATGCAGTATTTAGTATTTCGCCAACTTTGGATGTATCCAAACAAAGTACTGATGAGTAGAAATTATTGAGTTCATCGCTTGTTATTATGCCTGTACCTTAAACATTTAAAACATATTAATAGGCATAATTAAATAATTGAATTTTATTATGTACCTCCTCTGTTAATTACTTGAAATAAGACTTTAACAAAAAATTGTAGCCAAATGGGAAAATCAATAAGATTTCTGGAACCTATTAGTAACTCCTCCCATTTATTTAACCAGCCTTCTTTGGTAAGATAGGTGACATTATTTACCTCAAAACCTACAAAGTTATATGTTAAATAAGTAGACAGATGCATGTTAAAATCAAAACAACTTGAACTAGGTAGTAAAAACCCGATATTTTGAGACCAATACCAGCGTGTATTATGGAAAGATACTTTAGGTTTTACATTGTAGAAGTTAGAGTTATTTGGTAAGTCAGTCAGTCAGTTGAAGTAAGAATATAAGGTAGGTAATCAGAAGAATTAAAACTTAAAAGAAAGCCATCATCAACGCAGATTGTTCAAAATAAATATAATTTATTTTGCCAAAATTTGCAAGTCGTATAATAATAGTTTTCCAAACTACAACATGGATTCTGAGCCAATATAAGGAAAACAAAGAAATATTTTTACTTATTTTACTTTTAGCGTTTCTGCCTCTACATTTTATATACATAAACTAAATATTTTTAAAAAATAATGAAGAATCAAGCGCCTCCTGTCCGAAACAGTACAACATTCAATCCGGCAACACATCAACTGAATAGCAAAGCCAAAGCTCTGCACCGTTGTCATGGTTACGTGGCGTTAACCTCGCGACAGCACATACACACTTCCATATACAGTTTTATTGAGGTGAAGAGCCGAAGGGCAATTTTGAAATAAATATATTATTTGCGATATTTCAGTCTTATTTGTTTATTTTATTGTCGTTGCAATTAGTACGATCGGAAAACGTCATTTTTGTTCAGTTAATTTTATGGTTTATTAAATTTTTTGTTGTTCGTTAACAATTCTAAAAAAATCCATAGATATTAATTTTTGTATAGGTAGCACAGATAAAAAAGGCTTGTCAATTTTTGAGTGATTGAAGAAATGAAGAGTTTTTTAATTCAATCTTTGACACAGCAAGCACTTACAATTACAATAAATTATTTTTTTGAAGGCTTGAAAAAAAACGTATTTGGGCGTGACACACGAAAACATTCTTAAGATTAGCTAAATGGCTATAAAATATATTATACAGTCCTATATTTTTATTATAATTTCATAGAAGCATACCAAACTTATCATCAGAAACCTCTGTTAAAAATGTTGATATAAATCCTTTCTCCACTTCTCGTAAAATATTAAATTCTGTAGAATTTTGAGACCAATCAGCAAAATGTCTAAGCCTCTAAATAATCCAAAGCAGCATGTAAAAAATTAAATATTTAAGTATGTAAAACTGCTACAAAACTAATAAAGCGTTATAGAAAATAAAGATGCCTACCTCAATAAGTGATTCAAAATCCTGCTCACTAATTAAGTTATCTTGATCATGGTCTAGGAGGCATGTAAAAAAATGAGAAAGTTTGCTAACTTGGATGGGCGTTAACACATATGTGTTTCTGTGAGGAACTTCAGTGGAATCGATACTAAATCTGTCAACCCACGTTGCTAAAAAAGTTAAAAACTAGTTAGTTAACATAATAATTAATAATACACATTCCATGAACTATTAGCTGTTTGGTTTGCTCCCCAAAAAAACCAGATGTCAAATTTTTGACATAACGCTTCCTAGACAAATAACTACCTAATTAATGATTGTCATTCTCATTCATTGTCATTTCAAACCATAAATTCATTTTAATAGATCTTGACGTTTTTTCAGGTTTTAATATCATTTTTTTTCAATTTATCAATTTCAAAAATGTCCCAATGAAACCTATTGAGATTTTTGAGATTTTTTTTTTTTTTTTATTTTTTCTTTTTTTTTTTGTATTATATAAAGCAAAATGAGCTCTAACCAATCAATGAAAAAAAAGATGGCGTTCCCATTTAAAAAAAAGATCAATAACGGCATATCTTGGAGAGGAATTATTTTTTTCCTATATCTCTGCGTAACTTTTCCCTACACATCATCTTATACCTATTTCCAAAATTTCATCAAATTCCATCGAGCCGTTTTCTCAGAAAATTGCCAACACACACACACACACACACACACACACATACATACACACACACACACAGACGGAGATGTGCCACCTTGCCAAGAAGGCTTAAAATGATCCAAAACGTCAAGATCTAATGAAATTTTGACATGGTCAAAATTGGGCCATCACCATAGCTTCCTATCTAGGAAGCTAATAAACTCACTGAATAATAAGGCTGTTCCTCACTATTAGTGACATGCGAAACTGAAGAATTTTTAGGAGATCTCTCTTTACTAGGGCTTTAAAAGCATAATCTATATTGCCTGCCGAGACAATGAAGGTTGATAGTTCAAATGTACGTTTGAAAAACAAGGAAAGCAGTAGTTGTAGGTACTAAAAATGTTTTAATCTCTTCAATTTTTAAATGTTACTCTCACAAATCAAGTGTGATGTTTAACTTAAAGAAACTATAGCTTCTTCTTTTATTAATTTTTTTATTTTATTCATCCTTGCTTAGTCACATTCCCATACAGTTTACGTTGAAAGAGTGCAAGAACGTAAAATATCAATATTGATATTGCTGTAGGATATGTTCACGATTTTTCAAAAACTCTCAAAATTTTTTTGTTTACCTATCTAGGTAATGTCTGCCCAGCGACTCTGTGTCTACGGGGCAACGGTAAGGGGAATGCAGTTGTAAAAAAAAATGGCTGATTTCATTCATAAAATACCCAGCTGCGTGCGGAACTTTTTGGAAATATAATATTGTATTGCAACTCGTACACGAAAATTGACAATGACCAAATCCCCGCCACTGGATATTTCAATATAAATCGATATTCCAAGATGGGAGGATACAATGACAGGTGCCCTGGCCAATAGCGAGACGTAAGGTGACGTTAGCCCACTGACAACCGCATGGTTCCCCGTGGCAACGGCGATTCTGCCAAAAACTCTACCAATCAGATTCATCCAGGCTGTATGCTTGCCAAATTGACAAAAGCTGATGGTATCTTTGGAAAATGTTCATTTTTTATATTAGACAAAATTGAAGAAATCAGTTATTAAAATAATAATAGATCTAACAACCACGATAGAATCTTTAGCGTTTCATTATTGTTATCTATATTTTGTTATTAAAAAATGGATTTTTACATGAACTATACTTCATACCTAGTATTTTGGCTTTTTCATAATTAAACGTAGCAACATCGCACATTTACGTCCGAATTCCTTCCGTAGACTCAGAACCGCTGGGCAGACAATACCTACATGAGAATCCTGTAAGAAGCTCTAATTTATGAAATTGGCATAACTGGATAAAGCAGCTAAAAATTTAACTTTCTGCATACTTTTTGAGAACTTAAATAAAAAAGAAAACTCTCTAAACAAAAACTCGCACTTTATTTGTATTGAATTGGATTGAATTTTATTGACGGACCTGTCATTTTAAGGTACAAAAATTGTTAGTCTAAGTAGTAACAATTCTATATTTAGGTATGTTTCAACCAAGATGTCAACCAGTCGAACATATAAACCAAGTTTAGGTGACTGATCAGTCGGTCATCTCGAAATCTTGACAGATAAGCAATGTATTTAACGCGAGTTAAGACCAATTGGTTAACAAATGACGCTTAATTAATGGCTCATCTGTCAAGATGACCGATCGGTCAATCGATTAAAATTGGGTATAGTAATTATTATCTCAACAGAACATCAAAAAAAAAAAAAAATGTTAAAATCTAAAAATAATAATAAAAAGTTTAAAATAAGCACAACATGATTTTTACACACAATAAAAACAAAGAATCAAACAATCACCAGATAGATTTAATTCAACTTCCAAAGTTTTCCAATCCAATATTGAAAATGTCTACATAAAGAGCCTATAAATCGATTTGCAAGGATAGAAAGATAACTCAGATTTAGTAGAAGGTGAATTATTGTTAGGAGTTTAAGGAATATAGGACTTTGTATAGGAATACCATTCGAGAGGCTAAGAAAAATTCAAATGACCATCTTATCAATTCCTCTGCTAATCCAACTAGGTGCATGTGGTCTTTAATCAATAAGCATAGAAATTTATATTCAAAACATAATGAACAATGTGAAATATCTCCTAATGAATTTATTGCCTACTTTGCCAACATGGCACACCATCTAATAGAGGATATACCAAAGACCCATGTAGATCCTGTGGTAGCTTTGAGGGGCCTCTCCTTGCCCGAGCAACCATTTTCTTTTCGGGAGGTCACTTTCAATGAAGTGAGAGATATAATTTCCAGCCTCAAAAGTAAAAATACTACTGATGTGTACGGTTTGAGCACCAAACTGCTGAAGTCTGTCATTAGTGTAATTGTTATTCCTTTAACCAAGCTGATAAACGGTTGCTTTCGTGAGGGTATTTTTCCTAAAGTTCTCAAACATGCATTAATTACACCTATACACAAAAAAGGAAATCAACATCTGCCTGAAAATTACAGGCCCATTTCTATATTGCCTGCATTGTCTAAAGTTTTTGAAAAGTGCATGGCTAAACAAATTACAGACTTTTTTGAACATGGTACCATGGTAGGCTCTTCACAGATTGTCAGTTTGGTTTCAGGAAGGACAGAAATACCACTCTGAGCATAGTTGACCTGGTTTCTTATGTATTGCGGTCATTTGATGAGATGGAGTATACTGCATCTCTTTTTTGCGACCTTAGTAAGGCCTTCGACTGCGTCTCCCATGACATTCTCCTGCAGAAGCTTCAAGCATACTCTTTTGATCCTGATAGCCTAACTTTATTGAGTTCATACCTGTCTGATAGAACCCAGGCAGTGAGGGTTGGAGGAGTGGAATCGGCCAGGAGCGACATAACTGTTGGGGTCCCACAAGGGTCTATTCTGGGTCCCATTCTTTTCCTAATATATATAAACGACTTACCTTTAATGGCTCCAAATGCCAAGTTTACACTCTTTGTCGATGACACAACAATATCCCTCAGGGCATCTACACTTGAGGAAGCCGTCAGGGAGTCTGCAGTGGTGGAGAGAAGGGTCGAGACCTGGTTTGCATCAAATATGCTACTTTTAAATCAGAATAAGACAAATTGATAATGTAACAGCTGGGTTAGCAAAATATTTATATATGCTTCGCAGCCTCTCGAATTCTGTATCCCTGGATACTCTAAGAACAGCCTACTTTAGCCTGTTTTATTCCACAATGACCTATTCCATTCTTGTGTGGGGGCATGCAGCCCAATCTAAGAGAGTCTTTGGTCTCCAAAGAAAAGCTGTTAGAATAATGCAGGGTTTGGGTTATGGGGATGACTGCAGGGTTACTTTCCATCAGCTTCATATAATGACATTGCCATCTGTCTATATCTTGCTTTATCTCAAGAAAAATGAGTACCAGTATGTAACAAACTGCAGTGTTCATTCATATGATACTCGACATCAAAATGACCTAGTGTCAGGGTATTGTAGACTAAAGAGGTGTCAGGACGGCCCTAGGTACCTGGCCATTAAATTTTTCAAGAAACTTCCTAATGCAGTAAGAAACCTACCAGCGAGGCAGTTTAAAACTAGGATTAGGGAATATTTAATTAAGAAAGCATTCTATAGTTTTGAGGAATATTTTAATTGTGACATGTCTTAATTAATGTTATTTATTATTCATGTTATTCATTGTTCCTGTTAGTTATTCCTATGCAATGTTTTATTATTATTACTTTTTTTTGACGTGTGTAAACATTTACTTGTATCGCCACCAAAAAATAAATAAATAAATAAATAAATTGTCATTAACAGAGACTACAGCGAGCCCAATCAATATTCAAATTGTACATAAAAATCAAGATAAAAACCTTAATCAAATCCAACAAAAAACAAGCCGATTAGTGTGTCTTAAGTATTGTTCCTAATACATTCACAAGTCATCAACGCTTAAGGTAACAGTGAGTCATATTTAAAAAACTAGAAACCAATGCCACAACCGCTTGGGAATATGCCAACCGAGGTGCATTTCATGTTAGCCCTAGTTTCTGTAGAGACTAACTCTACAATGGAATTTGTAAACAATTAAGTATATCACAATACGAGTCAGTTTCTCAATAGCGAGTCACCTTCGGGTTGGTTTTAACTCCAGGGTAAACATGTCCAGTTGCAATGTTTACCCTGGAGTTAAGCCTAACCCAGGGGTGACTTGCTATTGAGGCCCTGCAGTGAACAAAACATTGTGTACTTACTCCATACATGTACACTCCATCCACTTTCCTGAGGATTTTCCTTTTTATTGTCCGAATTGTCTAGGTTTGCATTAACATTTTCAGTTTCAATTTCTGGCAATGTTCTCCATCTCTTCAACAAGTCTTTTGTTTTGTCTTTGGTTTTGTCACATGCTGATTTCCAGTTGGCTATAATTTTATGAGGCACTTTAATGGATGCATCTGGTAGGTTTCGCTGATTGTCAATTTCTTGGGGGGACTCCTTAAATTGTATATTACCCTTTTCGCGCTTTAAGCTTCCCCCCGAGCTTGATTTGTCTAAGCTATGTGTACTTTTAAGGCTGGTCTGAGAGGCTCCTAGACTAATTTCTCTACTAGACCTATGCGTCTCATCTAAAGAATTACTTTCCATTTTGCTACAATAGTGCCCAACTCAGCATTTTTGTTTGGGAAAAACTAGTAACAGGCGTCCAGAATTCTAAAGGCAAAACAGCAAGTTACCTTAAATTTACATATTTATAAAAATTGAGACAGCTTTCACAACAAAAATTGATTTTTTTTTGTTTACAGCAAGGTTTCGAGCAAAGATTTCAAGGTTATGAATCAGAATGAGCACAGCCTCCTATACTTAACAAGCCATGAAGTTGGAATGACGGCAACGTCGCGTATGGTGCTATTTTGTTATTGGGTTGGGTCACGATTCTTGGGTTTGGGTTATGTGTTTCTGTGTATTGCTTTCATTGTGTATTGTTGCAGTTTAGTATTTTTGTGGGCATTATTGACGAAAAAGTGGATAGAAACACACCAATATATTGCCCATATTTAGTTGATACCTGTTCCTTGGTGCTTTGATTGCAATTTTTTAGCAAATGGGTACAGGAGCAAAAATGAAGGTAAGGTGAGATAAAACAATAAAAACAATATTAATATTTGTCTGCAAGAGCATATGTCTCGATATATTACCTAAGATATTTAAACTTGTTCCAGATGCCATGAAACTACTGTGTTCCTGGGTGCAAATCGAACTATTAGGAGTTCCTTAAAAACTGAAGAAATGCAAACATTTTCATTTCCAAAAAATTCTGAATTGCAAAAAATGTGGATGAAAGCAATACACCAAGATAATTATACCCGAGATTATACAATAACGAAAAATTCTGTGGTGTGTTGTAAACATTTTGAAGAAACCGAAATAATTATATTTGAAACAAACAAGGAAGGATAAAGGTGTAGTTCGAGAGTTCAAACTAAAACGTCCAACTCTTAAAAGTAGGTACCTCTTATTTTCGAAAATCAGCTCAAGTATTTGAATGGACCTGCCTTCCGAAAAAATCCCGAAGAAAGAAAAAGTAAGATTTTCAAGACATACTGAAACATAGGCCTATAACACTTTAGACTCTAGAAATATATTCATTTAAATCAATTATTTACTGTTCTTATTTACACAAATAGTTATATTATTCATTGAATTACTGTTTTTGGCCCTTTAGTACAATAAATTATGCATTTTTTGTGATTCATATTATTAAAATAAAAAATATATATTTATAAAAACAAACACCACCAGCACCACTTGGCGGTAAGATTGCGGTGTTGCCTTTTTAACTTCATGGCTTGTTAAATGTAGGAGGCTGTGGAATGAGCATACGCAGTCCAAGCCATCTGTCAGACACAAAATTCAATATGGCGTGGCGGCCAAGCAAGTTTATTTTGAATATGTGTTTTTTTATACGTATTTTAGTTATTTTGCTTGCAAGTTTGCTTTTTTTTTGTATGTGTTGACTAGGTACCTACCTACGTAACCAATGGGTCGGGCAGAAAGTAGATATTTTTTTTTGTGTTTAGTTTTGGTCTGATAAAATGCCGAATAGTGTGGTTGTGGGATGTGGAAGCTTCCGAAAAAGGGACAGCAATGTGTCTACCTACAGTCTACAGGGTCCCAACTCCCAAGCGTACCCAGTTCAGTATGTTTTTCGCTCGGTTTTTCGCATCTGAATGACCTATCAGGAAAAAGACGAATAGAATAGATTGAATTCAAACAAGCATGGTTAGCGACGTTAGCGGCAATCAAACGGAACAATCTTTCACAATCCAAAGCTTAATTCTCACTTGCGCGAAATTCGCTCTTTTTTGACATTGCTTCCAAATTTTGACGTTTGATACACGCATTAAACGTCAAATTGTCGAAGCAATGTCAAAAAAAGAGTTAATTTCGCGCAAAAAGAGCGAATTTCGCGCAAGTGAGAATGAGGCATAAAGTGGCAAATTGACGAGTTTGTAGTAAGCATTTTGTCACAAAATAAACTAGTGCTATTTTGCACCATGTCTTTCACCAGCATAATATGGCTCTATAATGGGAAAATAATAAGTAAAAGTTAGAGGATGTGGATAATCCTGACTAGGCAACAAGTTCTTGCAATTATAGGCTCTGCATAATGATAATTGTCGTATTGCACCTAACAGATTTACGATTTACCCCTCACAAATACACTTATAGCTTTGCTTATAGCACATAAAAATGTGAAACTCCGAAAAATTCAATATGGCGTGGCTATCAAGCAAGTTTCTTTTGAATTTGTTTTAATGCGTATTTTAATTATTTTGCTTTGTAAGTGTTGTGAAAGACCGGATAAGTGTCTAGTTGTGGGCTGTGAAAGCCGCCCAAGAATCGTAAACTCTACAGGATTGCTCAATCCGACATACGTTCACTAAAATATCCTTAGACAAGTCGAACATAGAGGAATGCGAGTGACGTCACGTGCCATCATCGCAGTCCTTGATCGGATTGGTTTGTGTGCATGAGTGGTTGGCTGATTATTAATAATTATGCAATCAATCGAGTTTTTGAGTTTGCAAAAAGACTTGAGTTTGTTTGCTTGCTGCTCATCAGCAGGGTATTTTCAAAATACCCACATACATAAATATTACATTAAAATGTGCTTACATTTTTTTCAAGAATGATACACACTACTTACTACTACTACAGAATAGCCAACCTATTGACGCTGAAGCATGCTGCGGTTTGGCGGGAAGGCCGGACTATTCTTCAATAATACGCACTGGCTGGTTTGACGGAAAAAATTACTTTGATGCAGTGAAGGATAAGTGTGATCCGAGGGGAAATATTCCGTTTAGTCGCACCGGTTCTGGGGCTTGGGCTGATTAATTTGAGGCTGGCCGTCCATTGGATGCGTAATCGTACGACTTTACGGTCGTGCGTAGTCGTCCATATACTTCCGACTAAGGGAGGATTTTCATGCATCCGTTTTTCCGTCGAAATATGTCCGAAAAGTCTTCTATTTTGACATATTTATATACGATTATGCCAGAATAGAATGTTAAACGGACATATTTCGTCGGAAAAACGGATGCATGAAAATCCACCCTAATCCCCTTGGATAAAAATTAATAGAACTCTCATCCACTCCACACGAATTCGGTCGCACGACTTGATCCGAATTCATGCGACCAACGACTGATCTGATTCCATTTGAATATGGGATTTGTCGGACGTTTCCAAACGACTTTCGGTCAGTATTCGCAATTTAGCCAGTGCAGGTTTTCATTTTCTTTTCATATTGTGGATAGTTATGGATTGTGAGAAGCTAATTTGCGAGGTGAGAGAAAGAAAAGCATTGGGATATAAGAAACAGCAAATATCATGCTAGAGACGTCCAACGCAAATTGTCGAAAGAGGTGGCGCAAAAAATCGATAATGTCCATTTTAATCACTCTTAGCTAAACCTTACCAACACCCCAGCAAACACGAACTGACGGTAAACAATCGGCCGAATGCCTTGAACGATGGGTAAGTGACGGCATCGGCAAAATGCAGTTGGCCCCTTGTGTTTTCGATCATTGAATTCCGACTGTTGGCATTTGAACGCTGGCATAGCGTCGGGGCTTTTCTATTAATGATTTTAAATTATACAACTGGTGCTATATCACTGGACCGGCAGATTGCCAATATATGTTTCCCAGCCTCCTTGAAAATTTCGAGCAGGCGCACCGCGCACCCGTTCTTCATGTTTGTTCTGTGCATTGTTGAACCTGAACGGCATTGACGGCCATTACCTCGTTGGCGACGTATGTTTGTGGCTTCGTTTTTGTATTTAGATTTTGTTCTTGGTCTTGTGCTTTGGGTAATTTCTCAATAATTATGGAAATAAGTTATTGTGTTGTGTGCCGCGCGAAAAGTCAATTGTTAAATAGATATAAGACAAAACTTTCCGGCAACGAAGACAACTTGGTGAGTACATATAGGTACTTGTAATTAAAATAACGCATGTACATTAAAAAATGTTGTTATTCTTCTTTTCAGATGGAAATGATGGTTTTTTTTTCTATTTTCTAAGTTTATGTGTTAGAATTTAAGTTTATTTGGTATTTCTTCCAAAGAATTTATTTATTTATTTCTATACGCTAATGAAATGTTGACTTTTTTCCTATAATATTGCATTGTATTACCTAAATATTATCTATTTTAGATATTTTGATAAAAATGCATTTTTATTTTCAAAGATTTATGAGGAATGTAACTTATATAATATATCTATGATTTTTTCGATAAAACCTAAATTTGTTTGAAATTTTAGTCCTCCAGAAAGGCTTCGATTCCTACTACCAAGAAAAACGAACAGCAGAAAAAAATTGTTGTGTCATACCAAGTTGCAGAAAAAGTAAAATTCGATATTTGGAATTATTCACTAGCCTTCCGGTATATATTACAACCATGTATAAAGTTATGGCCCTGTGATGAAAATCCATCAAATATACTGTAAAGGACCATAAAATTTGAGGAAGTATACCCAGCGTTGGCCCAATGTAATGATTCAGACGTTGAATCGGCCCAACGCTGGTTCATACTGTCGGCCGACTTGCGGCTCGACTGTCGGCCGGGCGGTTATATACGATCCGGACCAGTACCTTTTTCATTTAGTTGGGCAGATGCCTCTGTTATCCGGCAAAGCGGCATTCGTCCGATGCTGGGCCGTAAGAAATGTGTTTGTTGGGACAGAGGTCGCACTCCTCAAACATACGCTACAAAATAAACAAATGAACTATCTATTTTATTAATCAACCAGAAATCGTTTTCAATAGAAGAGGTGCAGTCGTTCACATTCGTACGATCGAAGTCGTCCGATTATTCACTACCGCAAAGTCGTACGACTACGCATCCAATGGACGGCCAGCCTGAACCAGTAACTGGGAGCCGAGTGAGACGACGGCAAACTATATAGGCCCTCATGTCATCGAGTAGTCCACGTCGGACGACAAACCTGTGAAGAACAGCGACGCACACACGAGACCGAAAAGAGGAAGCGCAGGAAGGAGCTAGAGAACAGAGGAAGAGACAATAGAAAGTTCTCGTGCCTCAGACGCTACGCTATAATACGGTACCGCTAACAATACGGTATTTTACATGGTATTTTATAGTTCTCGGATACGAAGACATAAAAATGCTCTAATCCCTCATTCCGTTCACATTTTGACAGCTGAGTTGAGTGATCTAACTCAACCTTTTTTGCTTGTTTCCTAATTTTCATTAATCCAAGATTCTTGAGGTTCATTCCAATGAAGCAAACGTCATTTGTCAACCAATCGGTAATAAATTGGGCGTGTTCTTTTTTCCACCAAAAGTTTATGTTGATTTCCACCAAATATTTATTGTTGCATCAGTTGATTTTTGTCACGTGACTCTTTGATGTCATTGGTGGAAGCATCACATATCCACCACAAGTTACATAAAAGAACGCTTTGGTGGACCAAAATCGAAAATATCTATGTAAATTATATATCTGTGCTTGTAGTTCAGAAAAATTGAAATGGGCAATGCGAGCAAAGCTGCCATTGAGCCAAGAACATTGATTGCAAAGCGAAATAGAAGACTTCTCAGAGGATCTCAATTTCCTTTGCAGTCAGTTTTTTTACGAATATGACAAATCATTGTAGATAAAATTTGGCAGTGGATAGAGGTCCGAAAATTCGGATCGCTAGTTTTCATACTAAAGTAAAGATCCGATAATTTTCGGATTTTCAATTTGTATGTGGAAATGCGGATCTTTAGTGGTAATATTGAAGATTCGAAAATACCTAGATGTTTATTTCTAATTCTGTCTAATTAAGGAGTATCGTCGCAAGTATCTACAAAGAATAATATTCGAGATCTTGAATTATTCTTTGTAGATATTTGCGACACCATTTTAATGAAACTAGCCCAAGAACCAAATACTACTGCACAAAACCAATTAGAAGAAAAAAGAAAAAGTATTAAATTTCCTTTAAAACCCATAAAGGAAGACCCAAGGGATATCAATTAACTGCAATTGGACTAAAAAGGTCTAAGAAAAATAAAAGTGTTTTATTCAAAAATGAAGTTCCTAAACTGAGGTACCAGATAATGCTTAATGCAGTTTTAAATACAGATGATTTGGTAAGCAAAGCATTACACAAAAACTTTAAAAATGAGAAATAAAACATATTCCTCATCATCAACAAATTGATCCACTTCTTCTTGAAAAAGAAATATGTTTAGCAGAAATAGAAACATATTTTTGTCTGGATTCTTATGTTTTATTACAAAAACGAATTGGAGAAAAACAAAATAGTATTCTAAAATGGATTTGTGATATATGTAACAAAGTGATACGTGAAGATTGCTTACGGTGTGAGGTGTGATTCATGTCTTCGGTGTAAACATAAAGTGTGTTGTTCAGTAACAAAGCTGCCTTCTAGTAAGAAAGCCTGGTTTTGCATGCAGTGCAGAAGGAACTCCCACATAACAGTGAAAGAACATTCATATTCTCAGAATATTCCCTCAAAGTGCTTTTTGGAATGTTCTTTTAGAAATGTTTAATGAATATTCTAAGATTGTTTCGATTAAAATATTAATTTTTGAACGTTCTATTTATGTACTAGGAATGTTGCTTCTATGCACCTACCTGAAAGATTGTGCTAAGAACCTACTTTATATAACAATCATTGAATATTGTCATACGAACATTATTATAATGTACCCTAAAAAATGTTCTTTCGGCTAATATCTCTATCAACTATTAAGAATATACCTACCAAGTTGTGCTGAGAAGTTTATGTAGGTAGGTAACCATGATAAGAATATTTTCATATTGTTCACCTAATTATCTGAAGTACCTACTCAAAAATCATAATTTAACAATTAAACAATAATGCTCTATCTAGAACCTAATAAGAATATTATAGGTATATTCTTTTCCTTTTGCTTTGTAGGACTTCCAAGAGAGGGATCCACGCGCTATTAAAGATCTACATCTTACCTCGCGTTTGAATCACCTTGGAACCTGTTTCTCTCAGTTGGCGTGCTTCGACGAGAGCATAACAAGCTCGAAACCGGAGCTTTGGTGAAATACTTGTGTTTTCCAGAGAAGTTTTCCAACAACTATTTCACTGCCTTTAATATAAAAGGGCTGAAAGGAGCATTATTTGGAAGCGAAAATTAACATTCCAAGTATATCCTTAGAATCAACTAAGAATGTTATGTCTAGGATGCATATTGAGAATGATATATGTAGATATATTCTAAGAATATTTCAAGCATATTGGTATAATATTCTTTTGAGAACATAGAATAATGTCATAGAAACATTCTTTGAATGTGAGAATACCTATACATATCGAGCATATTTTTAGAATCAAACAAGAATATTCTTTTCAGGATGTACTGAGAATCTCATAGGTATATTCTAGGAATATCCTAATGAATTTCTCAGGAAGTTCTTGGGTATTGCAAACAGTATTTCTACAATCTTTTCTCAGAACGTTCTCAGGACATTCGCAATGGTTTTGGCGAACATTCTAGGCACATTCCTCCCAAAAAAAGAACATTCTTAATACATTCTAAGGATGCAATTTTGTTATGTGGGTAAATCACACCTCACACCTCTTACCCTATCAACCCTTAAAATGAAGAAATATTTATTTTTAATTATGTAATGTTTTAAAAAAATAAAAAGGTAAGTTTTGTTTTTTGTACTTTTCTGTTTGAAATTGCACCAACCACATATTTTCGAGTAAACTTGATAAGCTATTCTACATAAAAAGGATTAGAGGATCCATTTTTTCTAGTATAAATCCTTGAAAATACAAGCATTTTATCAATTTTATTGAAATGGTATAATATTCCTTAATTACGACAGAATTAGAAATAAACATCTATTTTCGGATCTTCAATAATACCACTGAAGATCCGCATTTTCGGACCCCTAATATACAAATTGAAAATCCGAGAATTATCGGAACTTCAGTATGAACACTAGAGATCCGAATTTTCGGACCTCTATCCCCTGCCATAAAATTTACGTCATCAGCTTCCTGGTTCTCCATTTATTATCTTATAGCTTCTACAAATGAGCTAAAGAAACAAACCAGACTACGCACAAACTCACACAACAAGCAGTAGTTAATATTATAAGGGTATGTGGTTGACTAATCACAGAAAATTTCTGTTGGAGCTTGGTTTCATCAGGTTTCCACCGGATGAAATCCACCATAAATTCACCAGTAAAATAAGAACGCGGTGTGGTGGGCCATCCGATTTCCACCATCAATAAAAGAACGCTTTGGTGGCATCATGTTTTCACCTGGTGAATGTCTGATGGAAAAAAGAACGCCCCCAATGACGTTAAATACATTGCTCATCTGTCAATATAACCGGGTTGTTGATCGCCTCTGGGGCCGGTTTCTCAATAGCGAGCCACCTCCGGGTTTGTTATAACTCCAGGTTAAGCGTGTCTAGTTGCTATGTTTACCCCGGAGTTATGCTTAACCCGGGGGTGACTCGCTATTGAGAAACCGGCCCTAAATTGACTAATTTCTTCTGTGAGAACAGACCGAAAATCAGCTTTTCTACATTTAAAATCGACGAAAAAATTAACTCACTAGCACAGCCTGAATCACAAGCATTCATTCGAGGTCTGCGGGTGACGCCATCACTATAAGCTGCTGATCGTGACGTCACTCGCGGACCCAGAATTTGATGGAGAGTTAGCGGAGTATGACAAAATTGACACATCACATAAACAGATTATGCTTGATTATCCTCGCGAAAAATTGCCTAAGTCTGGCCGGACGGACAACCCAAGGATAATTCACACTACTACTACAGAATAGCCTATCCTCATAGGGCCTGTGTAGAAACCCCCCACCCCGCCAAAGTAGCAGTCATGACGTAGCAGCATGTCGTTTCTCGCCTTGACATAGGGTGTTTGCACCAAAGGTGAACACAGGCTTTTGCTTAATGCATACTTGGTTTTAGTTCATTAATTAACATTCTAAAACAACCGTTTTCTAGATCTCGTTTGCATCTTCCTCTTTGCATATTATGTTAATTAGAATTAAATAATATTTCTATCATAAATTGAAATTCACTATGATCGCTAGCGCATGCAGCTGACGACTTAGTTAATGACGTCGCAATGGTGCTACACCAATAACCCTTTTCACGTGGTTCCGGTTTAACAAACCGCAACATACCGCTCAAATTCGAGTGGTAGGTATCCACACGTCACTTTGTAACCGGGTTAGGAAACGGTATGTCATTTCTCTAACCGTTTTGTAACCCGGTTAGTTAAACCGGAGGCACGTGAAAAAGAACTAATGAGGCCGCGGTTACCAAAAGGCAAAAACGAAGGGTAACTTGATGACGCATCTGGGGTGCCTTATGGAGATTTGCATTATGTTGAGGCACCCCAAATGACGTCATGAAGTTATCAGGCAACCTACCTCTCGCAAACAACGTTGACCAAAAACGAGGCCGATAAGCAATCCTTAGGGCGGGTATTATAAAACTGCTTTGACAGTTAACTTGAAGTTAACTTTTTGAATAACATGTATTTTCAGAAGTTAACTTTAAGTTAACTCTCAAAGTAGTTTTATAATACCCGCCCTTAGTAGTGTGTATTATCCTTGCGGACAACCGACGAACCGTCGTTCCAATATCAAACGCCTAGAGCAAAAAAAACGAGGATGCGATGCGAGGGTTTTCCACTCCACTGCACACTCGGTTTTTCACGTTTTTGGGTTTTTGACACGACGTTCTTTATCGCGACCAATGAACTATCGCGACGAACGGAACAGATCAAAAAGAACGACGTGGGGTTATTCAAGACCAGGTACGTAACCGGTTAGTTTATAGGTGAGTTTTGGGAAGTGCCTTTTTGGCAAGTTCTTGGAAAAAATATAAAAATAAACTTTTTTCAAATTTAATTTTTCAATATCTGATGATTTCCATGACATAAAGGGAAATGTTTTTGTGACCCCTTTTATCCGTTTGGGCACGTAACGTAAGTCGCTTTTATTATTTTTTTTTTCTGTAATGGTGCAACAATTTATTATCAATATCAACATTGTACATTACATAACCTTTAGCTAGGTCTTTAATCAGGGATCATCCAAGCAGGATAAGCTGCTGCATGTCTGCAATAGTAAAAGTTAAAGAAAATGTTGATGTTCCATTCCATATTGAATCAAACACTGGTTCCAGTCAACAGCTGACGAATTCCACTGCTAATAGTGCCAATGTCAACATGAAGAATACTCATTCAAATGGCAATAGTACTATCTCTTTATTTAGCCATGTTAAGTACCAGCATTTACTAGCTGGTATCTCAGGAGGTGCTATATCCACCCTTCTCCTGCATCCATTGGATCTTATGAAAATTCGATTTGCAGGTAAGCACTTTTTACCAACTTTTGTCTTATTATTTGAGTACCTACGAACAAATGTAACATAAAATAATTGATCTGTTTTAGAAACTCTAACTAAAGATAACACATTATTACCTACCTTAAATCTTAAATCCTGAAAAATTGCCCAAATTTGTTTGGAATCATTTGTTTGGAGTCATTTGTTGACTGCCTACTTTAAACCTTCCAAAAATTTAGAATTTTTTCTTTGACTTGTATGAAAATTATTTTTGAGGCTAGGAATACAAATGTCCTAACCCAATTTATTTTACTTTAGTAAGCGATGGAAGAACGACGTTGCCCCAATATAATAGCTTATCCAGTGCCTTCTACACGGTGTTTCGTCAAGAAGGTGTTAAAGGATTATACAGAGGAGTTGCCCCGAATGTTTGGGGATCTGGTAGTGCTTGGGGCTTCTATTTTCTCTTGTAAGTATCTTTTTCTCTATGCCATGCCCATATTTCCCTGATTTCCATTTCAATTGAAATTTGGACTAGGTATATTGAATTAAATAGTCTATTTTCCAGTCCCTGGCACAGTGAAACTTTAGAATGTTCCAAGTACGTTTTTCATTGCTATACTTATATTTATCAACTTATCAATATATTATTAAATTAGTGCGTTGCTAAGAATTCAGACTATAAAGCAGTATTCTTTGAAATTGTCTGATATCTCATGTAGTTTGGTAGTTATTGCGAGATGAAAGTTTTACCTATTTAAAGAAAAATTGAAATTAGCATCTTTATCATACCTACGACCAGCTAATTTGGTAAATAACCCTGTTTTCACAATGGTAACTTTACTAAATGATTATGGGTAGGATTTTTTTTTTTTTTTACCGTTGGATAGGATATCAAATTTTCTTAATTCTTAGTTTTTTTTTTGTTTACGGAGGGGGGTGCAACCGATATCGCCAGATGAATTTAGGGGGTTGATATTATATAACCATAATAGCAAAGTCTAATAATGAACAAGTCCAGTTATTTCTTTGTTCGCGCCAAAATGCCTGCATTTTTTGCTCTCACCCATCGATCCTAGTCAATTTCAGAAACGGCAAAATATAGAATAAATTAGGTTTACATCTAAATTCAATTATTGGAACCAATGTTCTGGCAATAATATAATAAGTGGTTATTGGTTTTCAACATGATATGTTTCAATGTTATTTCAAATTGCATCTTAGCAAATATTTAATCATTGCTTGTAGGTATAGGATATATGGTAAATATTGTGTGTCCAGTAAATGTAGGCTTATACTTTTTGCAGTTACAACTCAATAAAAAACTGGATTCAGAAAGGAGATAGCCAATATCCCTTAGGCCCCACATGGCATATGCTAGCTGCCGCTGAGGCAGGAGTCCTAACCCTTTTAGTTACCAATCCCATATGGGTTGTCAAGACCCGCTTATGCCTGCAATATGGAATCAGAGGACCTGTTCCTACAGAGGCCTCAACATGGTATAATGGAATGGGTGATGCTTTAGTTAAAATTTACAAAATGGAGGGAATCCGTGGTTTATACAGGGTCAGTCTGCCAGGCTTGGCAAAAAATATCAAAATATTTATGACACTTTCAAAGAAAAAGTGAATGTAGGTAGGGGATTTGCAGTTTCCTTATCTGCTCTTTGCAGGGTTTTGTTCCTGGCATGTTTGGAGTCGTACATGGGGCTATTCAGTTCATGACGTATGAGGAGATGAAAGCATTTTACAACACATATCGGAAATTACCCCATGACAACAAATTGGTGAGTACCTACAATTTTCTTTTTCATTTTATTTTATTTTACAAATGTACCATATATCTGTCAATTACAATTCCAATCTTGAAATATTTGACTTTGGGCTAATTTTAGTCTAGTCTAGTCTGGATTCAGTTATTTTTTTAGGCTGAGTTACAGTTTTATTTTCAATGAGTAGTTCCTTCTCTGCAAAATAGGGTTTATTTCTCTATAAATAGAATATCAAATCAAATGATATTCCCTTACAAAACCCAACCTGACAGGTGCTGAATAGATTATTAGTTTCAAAGACTGATAAAATCCTTTTTTAGAAATTAGGCTATATCACTCTGCATTTTGGTTGTTAACTTATATTTCTATGAGTTTTTTACTTGAAATAATGAAACTTTAGTGAGTTGTAGTAGTTTGCGCCCAGCAACAGAACTATGCTTGATTCCCACTCTGTTACTAAATACAAATTATTGAAGCTGTTTCAGTGTTAAAATTTAATTATTCAATTATTTTTGTAAAATTTAACAAGTTTTTGACACTTGCCTGGCTGCTTGGCAATTTTGAATTATCCTTATCTAAATTTTACTGTAAACTTAGCAACTTGTTGGTTTTATTTGAGTTCACGTTTTTGATGTACCTAGTACAAGAAAATAAATTTTACTATTTATAACATTTTTTTCGTAGACAACTGGAGAATATCTTGGATTTGCAGCGATCAGCAAATTAGTGGCAGCAGCTTCAACTTATCCATACCAAGTTCTGCGGACACGTATGCAAGATATACACCATAATTACAGAGGAACATGGGACTGCATCAAGAAGACTTGGAAATATGAGGGCACTAGAGGGTTTTACAAAGGTTTAGCGCCATATCTCTTACATGTCACTCCTAATATATGTCTTGTCATGTTAATTTACGAGAAATTCACCAATTAGGCATTTTTTTTCAAATCAATTTACTGGAAACCGCTGGCGGTTGGCCAAAACTTGCATGGCATTTTAAAGCCGTAAACAAGTCTCTTTTTTATTTGTAGAATCTCTAGAATTAGTTAAATTAGAGTGCCTATATGGAGAGCCACTTAAAACGTTCAATGAAATTTTACATATTCTGCGACCAAGATAAAAAAAATGGTCAGAAGGTTTTAAAATTATTTTATTTTATATTAACTTTTGTTTGAAATCCTTAGGTTTTTATTTTTGTATTCTCTTTTAAGAAGCAGGGAGTTGAAATAAAAAGCAAATAAATTTCTCACACCTTTATGTATTCAAAAATCTTATATTGAATTGAAATTTAATCACTTCATTATTATGGAAATTAGACTTGATATTTTTATAGGGCTTAGTATCAGTGACTTAATACCACTAGATAGTGCATCTCATCCATGAAATACGCTTTGTTGTATTGACAGGGAAATGTGGTAGAGACGGGCGGGGCATGGTGGGGATGAAATCCCGCCTTCCCGAGCACATGATTGGATAATAAAAATTATAAAATAATTAAACTTGCTTTCGTACAATACGTTACAGGATGTATATTTTAAGTGATACCACTATTGCTATATCTAAAACAGTAAGAACTACAACGTCGGTTAAATGAGAAAAAAGTTTTTTTTTTTTTTTTTCATGCACATTCAAGACTCGTTCACAGTGTTGCCAAATTCCTTCCAGTTTATGAAATACAGGTTTATAACTAGGGCCGAATTGAGGTAAAATTCGGGTGAAAATCACATTTTGGATTAGAAACGTTGGCAATCATTCTTGAGAGGTATATTGTTAAAAAGAGGATAAAGGGAACTTTCTGAAAATGACATAAAAAATCCAAGTCTGTATTTAAAAAAATGAGGTTGATAATGGTAGCTCCATTACGAAACGCCGGATTTTAAATCTGAAGATTTCACGTTATAGAGAGAAAAAAATTGTAAAATTTTCAAATTCAAATTGTGTCTCGAAAATTAATAGTTTTCGAAATAACTGATGAAATATTTTTAAGCGCGTCACCCTGTATTTCATAAACTAAAAGGAATTTGGCAACAGTGTAAACAAGTCTTGAATGAGAATCAAAAAAGGCAACTTTTTCCTAATTTAAGCCAACCCTGTAGCTCTTACTGTGGTATCACTTAGAATATACACCCTGTATAATAATAATAAAATTATATTATTATATTATATAATATCGGTCTTTGTTTAACGTTTATTAATCATGGCCTAAGATAAAGAGACCACGATAATCTCGGTATTACCGTATTACTTTAACAGGCGATTTTTTGATTTATTGCGACATTACCAAACAATACGAAAGTTCGCCCTGATACCCGTGTTGAAAAATGAGAAAAATATTCACAGGACAAAATCTGGCATTTTAGTAATAATATAGAAAGGATCAGAGATGTTGTCAACATCTATTTTGGTTTACAATTCCGTCTATCTGTGATATGAGGTCATTGTTTAGCATAATCTCTTGCTGATATACCCTATCAGACAAAAGTGAAGCAACGTTTATGATAAAATGCAATATTTCATGTATTTTAAATACGACTTTTTACCCCAGAAATTGAAAAGGCTTCAGTTTAAAAGCTGATAGAAGGCCGTTGTCACAGGTGAAATTACATCGTTTTCGAATGTCATATTATCTATGCTATAATTTTATTTATGTAAACAATAAATATTTAAGGAGACAAAAGTAAAGCAAATTTTTGATATTTTTTTGAAAAGAAGGGATTACGTTTCAGGTAAGATCAAAAACGATAAAAACATATTTTTATGAGCTGAAAATCAAGCATTTCTGTATTTCCGACAGGATTAAATATGCCAAAAGGTGAACCAATTTGACTCGAGTCTGAGCAAATGGTGATAGACGCTTTTTGTGGAGGAAGACGTTTGGTAGATATTTCCAGACAGCTTCTGCGAAGATACAGTGTGTTTAGAATAATTTCACGTTAAAATTATTGGGGATTGATGCCAAAGTCAGTAAGGCACTAAAAACATTATTTTGGATGGTTTAGTTTGAGTAGGAGAATGAGAAGGATTCGACAGAGAGATCCGTGATGTCAGGACCAATTATAATTGCTGAACTAAAAGTAAGTGCGCGAATTGTCCAACAAGGATTTGTTGATGCACGGCTTTACAGCAGATGTACAGCCAAAAAACCGTTGGTTCTCGAAAGAAATTGCCGTGCCAAGCTTGATTTTGCGCAACGTCATTGTTCAGCGAAGAAACTCTATAAAAATTTTAATTCCAATGGAATAAGTCGTGTTAGGTAGTGGCCTATTTGTGAGTTTGCTTTTAGCATTGTGAATCCAGGCTTCCTTCTCCAAGCTGTCTCTCTTTTCCTCTTCCAGTCCACTTCCCTAGCCTTCTCTCGGTCTAACACATCTTCCATTGCACTTTATAGTTGGGACTATGGATCAATTGATCTACTATAGGGACATACTCCGAAATGTTATCTTGCTTTGAGCTTGAGCTAAGTAGTAGATACCATTGCGATTCGTATTGCAACAAAAGAATGACCCGAAACACACATTCCCGCTTGTGCTGGAGTTGTTTCAGGAGAACAATGTCAAAGTCCTACAGCGGCCGGCACAATCACTAGATCTCGACCCTATCGACAACCAGTTGGAAGAGGTTGAGCTCCAAATTCGTATCACATTTCTAAACAAACTATCAACGGAGCTTGGACCAATGTGCCGATTTGTACTATTCAAAATTTAATTTCATCAATGCCATGTCGTTGCCAAAAAGTTGTAGCAAATAATGGATATCCTATCAACTAGTGAGTTAAAATTGTTTATTTCATTAAATTTCCAACCAAATATATACCTACCTGTTATTTTTGTGTAAATATAATAAAATTTTGATTTAATTAAAATTGCTTTACTTTTGTCGTGTTAATGAAATGTGTTGTTTAAATAAATTATTACACCCAAATTTATTTGACATTTGACAACAATCATATCTAACCTGCCACTGCAGCATACCATGATCTTTTTACTGGAAGGTTTTGAATCTTCTCTTATGCCAATTTTATTTTTGATACCTACCTGATTAAATATTTGATATCTTCATAAGAGTTTCTTTACTTTCGTCCGATAGAAGGTCTGTTCGAACCGACATGAGAACCGTTCTAGAACGGTAATTTCCAGTCGATCAATTCATTTGTCAATTAGGATAAACGTTCAACTTATTGGAAAAATGTGGGAACTGGAAATTACCGTTCTAGAAAGGTTCTCATGTTGGGCTGGAACAGAACTAGTGTATAGGGTAGATTTAAATTAAAAACAGTCGACACAATACTTGGACTGTTTTAGTTTTATTAATAAAACGGCTATAGGAAAAAAAATATTTATTAAACATTTTTATACCTAGTTATTTGAAAAAATCCAGTAACAGTAGAACCTAGATTCATAGGAATTAGAAATATCAGAGGTGCGGATCTGAATCTTCACAATATCTCAGTGAAGTCACAATTTAATTTATTTGAAGTATTGTTAAAAAACTAAAATATTGCTAAATAACTGTTTGCTTAAAACTGAAAAACATCACGGAATTATCCGTGTTTTTGGTTACGCTAGGTACGAGCAACCCACCTCAGATAATGTAGTATAAACTAAACAGGCTCTTCTGTAATAACTATTTGACCAATACAATTTTGGCATAGACTAATTTTGTTTTGACATAGATGATAGACTGATTTGATTTGAAACCTAACTTTTTTTTACTGAACTGCAGCTATGCAGAGAGGTTCATCATTTTTTCCATTTTAAAGTTGGTTATTTATGGTTGAAATTGATACTTTTTGATTCTCATAAGGATTTTAGAAAAATATTCTGTAAGGCATAGGTGCGGGCGCCTAAAATGAAAATAGTATACTACCTTGGCAGATATTGGTTGCGTTTCGCTCTGAAAATACAATAGTGCTGCATGCAATACCAATTGGGTAGCTAAGCTCAAGTTGCTCAAGTACAGTTGCTCGCGCCATTTAAAAATGACAGAGTAGAAAGCAAATTTATGGCTTGAAAACGGGGATAAAGTAAACAAACCTGGATTTTGGTTCATTCGGGTATACTAGAAAATGAAATGGAAAATGCTAGCAAATATAGGCAAGAATTTGAACAAAGATGTTGGAAGTTTATCTTCAGAAGATAATGAAGATTGGAAAAATTCCTTCAAAATTAAAGGATAATAGTTCCTAAATATATAGAGCTCTTTCCCAAAAAGAAAGTGGTTTTCAAATTTACCTACATCACTATAACAAAAATGTGATCTGCCCATTGCTTGACCATATCTCTATGAATTAGGCATTATCAAGCATTTGAGGAATGATCCTCCTGTGCAAGTGTGGCATGACTAGATTTGAATCGTGATAAAATCCCCAATTTTATTCTATATGATGAACCAAGAGATCTCAGGAACAAATTCACCTTAAGACATCCTCTTAGTTTATGTAACATTAGTATGGAGACCATATCAGATAATTATAATAAAAAATTAATATTTTATGATACCATCTACCGTCACCTTAATAATTAGAACAAAAAAAGTCATGTAAGACTAAATCATTAATTTACAATAAACTCTAAAATGAATATATTGCAGTATTTAATTAAAAAAAAAGAATAAAATAAAGAGTTAGGTATATTTAAAATTTTAGGTCTGTTTCCCTAGTATTTTCTTCTATCCATTTGTCAAACTTTTCTATCAGATCCGGTGTCATGTGATTTTTGTGATCACCAATAATACCTTTTCTGACAAAATAGTTACTCGTCTTATTATGAAATCCTTCACCTCGCAAAACGTCTGTACCGACCTAGTTAAAGTTAAACAAAAAAAAATATCTGTAGCAATAGGTGTAATAGTAATATAATAATTTGAAAATTGTGTGAAAAGAAAATTGTGATCTTATACATTTATACTTACTTTCAAGTTACAGGCATTATTTTTTTGCATATTTGAAAAGCTCAAATATTTACTGATCGCCTTAACATCATCATCCAATAAAGTTTTTCCAATAAATGTGGCAATTTGTTTTATTGCTTCTGAAGTATTTGCCTTCATTTCTTCATATCTTAATATGAGTATGTCTAGTTCATGGCGTCTATCCCAAAATGAGAAATAATGTTTGAAAATTGAACCTGCAATCAACGCATCGTTAATGAATAATTCGCAGAAGTGTTCGAAATCTATTTCCATGCTTAGTAAATTCTTGCAAAAAAAATAAAAAGAAACGCAAACATCTTTGGGATTTCTTATAACATAAATAATCTGAAAAATATGCAAACTTGATAAACTAGTAAGTGCAACAATAAATGAGTATACCAAACCTTTGGTTTTACGCTTATAAGTTGCTCAGGCAAAAGTTCAAATGTTAGGTGTGACTTTATGGTTCTTGGTGAAGATAAGCTATCAACAAAACCAAGAGTGTCGGAAAACAACGGGATAAGTTGATTTTGAATGTTTTCATCTAGTTTTGCCAAAACTTCTAAGGAGGGAACCGCTTTTGCATATCGTGGTATGCTCAAACCAGTATTTGGACATTTTACAAAGTCAACGTGTTTAATCAAATAGTTCTTGGAGCTGAAATATAATAAATAAACTTGAGTTTTAAATCAAATCAAAATAGGCAGCGCCTGAGGTATTGCAGGAAGTAGTGGACCCCTAGAATATTTTTCAACGGTTCTGCAATTTGGCATACCGAACAATCAATAACAAAGTTATGAATAATCAGAAATAAAACTAGTTTCTATTTGAGGAAATATAAAAATCCACTTCGTGTTATAGACAGAAATGTCGAACCGAATAGTTGTTCTATTTGAACAAACCGTACAGGGATTCCGGATGATCAGTAACAACCTTGACTTGGCGACAAGTCACAAGATACACGCGTATTACATTGAGAAATCAAGCAGTAAAAGATGTACCAATAATGTTCTGCCGCTCCGCTTTTATAGCTAAGCTGGGAACCGAAGCGCAATAGGGCCGCACTCAGAGTAGGCTTATCTTTGGCCCCGGTTATAGAGACCCAAGCGGGGCTTGCCCATGCTATACCTAAAAACCTTCAACAAGGATAGTGGAAATGTGTCCAAAATCATTATAGAACTTCACAGATGATCTCCGTCGGGCAGTGGTGCACCCAGAAAATATGTTTGGGGGGCCTACATAGGTTGTGGCTTGTGACTAAAAATCTAAAAAAAAAAAGGGCTGACCTGATATAAATCCCAAAGATCGGCGTAGGAAAACCTCTCACCAGAAACCTGGTAGTAGAGGAAGGCCGCGGATGTCTCTATACCATCCCACTCACATAAAAATCCATAATCAAAAACAAAATTCCGAAATTGCCCAAGATATAACGGCACCATCAGCAGTACATGACAACACAAATTATGCAAATTGCCAAATATGATAATTCGCCTACACGTACAACAAAAAAATACGAGCAACTTACCACTGGGAATTCAGAATAGACTGACCTGCGAAGACTGGGATACAGGCCTGTAGCCAGGTTTTGATTCCAGAGGGGGCAACCGAAAATTTAGAGGGGGCAAACTTATTTTTGTTTTTTTTCAGCATTACTTAAAATCACGGACAAGGTGCAAAAACTTTAATTTCCAAAGTATATAATAACTGATTATGAAATATAAAAGCTTAACAAAAAACAAAGAAATAATAAAAATACATAAGAGCGCTCTTGAAGGGGCGCTAATGACATTGAAATCTGTCAGTACCTACTATGTGGATTTTTTAAAATTCGTCTGCAAAGAGAAAGAAAAACTGACATTAGAATTGACTCAAAAGTGGCATAAACATTATTTGATGGATTATGTACAATCCGAATATTTTAGTTTTTCGATAATTTGCGTTTTTCTCGAAATGGAAAGTGTATATCTGGACTAGGACTCTTTGACTCTCTAACGAATAGAGATTTTTTCCCTATTGATGTACCCTCTCTATTGATTTCCACGAGACAGAAGAAGATAGCAAGTACCATATAGCGATAGGGATAACGATCTCTATCCATTACAGAGTCCCAGCCCTGGTTGCCTATAGTCGTTATGGATTATTTCTAAAATCTCGCAAAATATCGAAAAACCGAAATATTCGGACTGTAGATCAAACAATGTTAAATGCCAATTTTGAGCCAATTCTGTTTTAATTTATTTTTTTTCACTTTGCAGACGAATTTTAAAAAATCAACCAATAAGAGCACAGAAGTAACAGATTTCAAATGTCATTAATGCCACCCATCTTAAGGTAAAATATGAACTAAACTGTGGTTTTATAAACGGTCCGGTCGCAGTAAATAGGCGTAAACTTTTCCAAAATAATTGGAGTTTATAAAAGCATTGATAATATTATCCGGGAAAACAGAAATTAAATCACATAATTTGCTTTGTGATTTTATGTTTTTTTTTCCTATATTATATATATTTTTTTCTAGTCTACTCTAGAGTGGGCAACTTTTTCTTTCAGAGTGGGCATTGCCCACTCTGGCCCCCCTCTAGCTACGGGCCTGCTGGGATAATCCGATAAGTAATCGATTCATTACCATCAGAACGATGATTTACGAAAATAGCATTCTGCACAAGCCCGCACCGAGCACTAATCCCCAAGCCCAAGCCACAAATATAACTATTAATGACCATTCCTTGCAGAACGTAGAACACTACCTACCCTTACTTTGGAGCCATCATCTGGCAGCAGATGCAACAATTGACGCTGAAATCCAACATCGCTTGAAGTGTGCTAGCGCAGCGTTCCGGCGACTTTTAGAAATAGTCTTCAACAATCACGACATCAGCGCTGAGACCAAACTTCGTGTCTACAATACAGTTGTAATACGAACACTTACATGTGGCTGTGAAACATGGACTACCTACAGAAGACACATAAAAAGCCTAGAAAAATACCACCAGCGATGCCTAAGAAAGATCCTACGGATTAAATGGCAAGACCGACGAATGAACATTAGCGTTTCAGGGGAGGCCAAAACAACTAGCATGGAAGCCCTTCAAGCACTATCTTCGCTGGACAGGTCGCCTCATCCGCAGTGGCGTAACTACAGGGGGGCCTGGGGGGCCGGCCCCCCCCCCAGACGTCGCTAGGCCTCCCAGAAAAAAACTGTTGCTGATATATACTTTACAGTGGCTGATAAGCTGGGTTCGCTAGGTAAGTGATTTAAGCCCGGTTCAGTCAGCTAATCGCCTATAATTGCACTGTTCTACTTTTTTAAAGATTCCAGTAAGTCGCAATAACAGGCCCTAGGCCACTGGCTCCAACTACAAGGGGGCATTGGAGCAGGTGCTCCCATGAGCAACCTCTCATGCGGGTGCTCGGAGCTCTCGTAGAGAATACGAAAGTACAAACGTATTTAATGGTCATTCCGTTCCGTGTGGTAGTATCAGTATCATGTATGTAATTTAAATTTACACAACTTTGTATAAGAATTATACAAGTGGTATTAGTCTTAGATAAGGGAGGTATTAGTATTCTGTCCTTTCGCTATTTCTGGTCAATTCTATGCTCTTATTACTTTATATTGCTAATGTTGCTATTCTCCATCGCTATTCTTTGATAATAATCGGGACATAAAGCATTTTAGGACATAAAAGTACCAGACAATTATTTTGATAATGATGTGATATTTTCATGGCCTAAAATGCTTGCAGAAAAAAGTACTTTTCCCACGCTCGTAGAAAAAAAAAAAGAAAAATATTTACACTATAAAATAGACGTTTTTAGGCGTGGCATCCGGAAAAAATGTTCGCCTCCGCCGGCGCCTACGGCGAGCTTCCCCTCCCCCTATAAACAAATTTATAAAAATATTATCCTGCACCTATGAGGACTTTCAAAAATCGACGCCTCTGCCAGGCCCACCCTAGGCCCCCCCAAGGTCAGATGGCTAGTTACGCCAGTGCTCGTCCGCATGCCCGGAACAAGTCTTCCACGTCCATGGCAGATTTTATACAGTCATAACTGCAAGCGGGAAAACGAAATCGACGAGGTCAACAGAAACGCTACAAAGAAGTTCTAATAAGGAAAATATGGCCACATCGATACCAACAACTGGGAGACGACGGCAAATGATAGGCCCTCATGGCGTCGAGTAGTCCACAACGGACCACAAACTTTTGAAGAACAGCGATGCAGACAAGAGACCGGAAAGAGGGAGCAAGGGAACAGAGGAAGAGACAATGCTGCCAAAGGCTGGGTAAGCCAAGGTTGTGGCAGAGTGTGCGGCTCCAGAATTGGTTTATGTAGCCATCAGAAAACGCACAATCGACGACATTGAGAATAGAATATAGGAGATAATCCATAATCGGTATCCAGGGATCGCCTATGATGATGACGAAAATAGCAATAATATTAAATCAATGTTAAGAATATTGTTGAAAGAGGGTGTGCCCCGAAAATGAAAGTTTTAGTGCAAAAAATTTAGGAATTATTATTTAAACCGCATCTTGCTACGATGAACCGTTTTCGAGCTAGGGCGGTTTAAAGTTACGAACGCCTAGCCTGTGACGTCACACCGGCTTCGGAGGCACAGTTTTAACACATGGAAGGATTTTCCAAAACAAATGTTCACGATTCCACTGGAGCGAATTGCAACCACTCATATTATATAGCGCACGGTTTACTGAGGACTGAACAAACAGAAGGCTGCGATTTCAGCGATCTTTATAAGGGATTTTCTCGGATAGTATTTTGAATATAGGACTGCGGTTTTTACGATAGATCTTAGATTTTTTTTCCTGATTTAAGTACCTAGCTTAAGTTGTTTTTTGGGTCACACCTCCTTTAAACTAAAGCGAAGGTCGTCCTTTTTGAAGTGAAACTTCTTAGGCGGCGCACACTGTGACATTTTTGGGATCTAGCTGGAAAAAAATATTTTAGCGGCTTTTTTAATGAAATATGAGTTTTTTTTGTCCATAGATAGGAGATTTTGATAAAACAAGAGTGAGCATGCACCAAAATAATTTTTCCCCCCTTCCCATTTAAGATTTTCTAGTGGGTAGCTCTAGGGGCTGGTGGGTTGAAAGGGAGAGGTGAATTTTGCATAAAAACTCATTCCGCTTCAAATTATAGTTGACGTGTTTCAGGGATTTTTTCGAAAATTTTTCAACTCCGAGATAATAAGAGTAGTTAGTTTTAAAATGAACACCCTGTATATAGATAAAACGCACCTAACCGCAGCTAATTTTTTTTTCAACACATGGTCCAAAACGCGAGGTTCTAAAAAAATATAGAATTATTCTGGTAATATGTGGTATTATTAAACAAAAATATTTTTTGTTTAATTGCAATTTTTAATACGTAAACTGCATGTACTTCTTTTGAATTTTTTTTCAGTTGAACTATTTTGCAGGGATATCTTTAAAAGAAACAAACTTACCATGTACGTGTTAAAGAAGACTATTATCAATGCAGATTTTCGGTGAAACGAATTAATTCCACCTAATATGCCAAAATTTCACACTGTGCGGCGGTCTGATATTCGGACGAGAATGGAGAATGATTTGAAAGACGCGTCACATAACGTCACTTTTAGGCCCATTTCGTTACACGAGAGAGAAAAAAGATATAAAGAAGAGAGACGGAGAAAGACAGCCATTGATTGACACAAACCAAGGATTATATGCAAAGAGGATTGCCTATTATTGTTGAGCGCCGATACCGTTGTGACATCACTACGGATGGGCGTTTCCCTTTTGTGTGGTCCTTCGTCTTCACCCCGACGCATACGCTAAGTCTAAAAGTTGTATGAGGGGGAAATAGCTTTCAAGAAGTTTCACTTTCTAACACGTCTACGATGCTGCACATGATCTTTTTTAAACAGTCTATTTGATTCGCGCTGGTGTTGTACTACTGTAGCACTACACTTTGTCTGAAGACATTTATAGTTCACTAAGTATGGATAACCCAAATTGATTATAGTGATTGGTTGATAGTATGGATACTCGTTACTCGACTGAATTAATGAAAGTCTCTGAACCCGCCAAGGGCTTTTGAGCCCTAGTCCATTTATAGATACTCGTATCTAAATTCGCATGTGCAGACATGCAGAACCGTAGAAATATAGTTCAAGTCCCCACAATCCAATGGCATTTAAATTTTGCAGCCTGTGTCTTGGAGCATTTAGTTCCATAAACTTATTTGAAATTCTTATTCAATATTTTATACGCTGTGTCTAGAATCCCGGTACCGGTAACACATTTTTTACCGGTAGTTTTGATGCCGTCACCCGACGCACTAGGTACCCGGGATTTAAGCAAATCCCGGTAAAAAATGTAGTCGTTGGCGGTTTTTGTTTTATCAAAGACCAACTTAACCTAATTTTTTGTGTTTTTAACTTGTTTTGTTGATGTGTGAACGTAAAGTGGAGTGTTTTCGTGAGTTTATCAACGTGATATTACTTTTAAAATAATTTTAATGTAGGACAAACATTTAAAAGTTATAAAGAAGTTGAAGAGACTTTGACATTGACATGTAAAATGTGCCAGTTTGTTTAAAATACCCAAAATGTAGTATTTTTCTGATTGCAAACTTATAAATAAAATATGAGAGATATTAATTTTAATTTACATCCTAAACAGTATAGTTACATACATGTATATTGGCTTGAAGTAAATTAATAAATATTAAATTCGATTATAAACTGCTAGGTATATAAAGTGACATCATTTCGTTTAAATTCTCAGGGGTTTTCGGAAATAACAACCCTAGTCCACTATCATCTGATTGCAGATTACTTCTAATCTGGGATGAGTTGTTCGACATTTCCGAACGCAAATCATTTATATAAGACTAGCTGACCCGGCGAACTTCGTACCGCCTCTGAATTATTAAATACCTATTAAATGTTGTGTGAACGTATCTATTAGCTGAATTAAATTCAGTTTTTTTCGATGGTGAATTTGGTTTTGGTTGAAAAAAATTAATGTTTATTCTTTGGATCAGAAGTCACCTAAAATTAAAATTTTACATCATCCCCTTTTAGGCAGCTTGTGGGCATTATTCTTGTAAAGTGTACCATCAAATAAATAAACTCAGGCACAGGAATGTTCGAAGAATGTAAAGAAAACAAAAAAATCTCCAGTGCAGCCCTGTTTCACTCTATCTGCACTGCACTACTCCATCTGTTCTACTCTATCTGCACTATTCTATCTGATCTACTCTTTCTGCACCACTCTATCTGATCGGAATAGTGGAATAGTTCTGTTCGGAATAGCTCGAGTTCCTGAGTAACATTGTTCTACTGTATCTGCAATGAAATTACCGCGCAACGGCGAGCTTCGTTCTAGGTATCAGAGATAGCGCCGTATACAAAATGGTTTGCAATGAAAATGTGGTGGTAAACTTGGTATCGGTTATAAGAGATGGCGCCGTATGCGGGCTTAGTGAATTTTTTTCATAAATAAGTAAAATAGGTAATTTTGTTTTTTGTCTTTTTTTTGGATTTTTTCGATTTATTATGTTAGTATGGACAAAGACAAATCCAATAAAGCAAAAATCATAAAAATCAGTCCAGCTGTTCTCTAGTTATAAGTGCTAGAACCAACATAACTGTGTTTTATATATACAGATAATAATGATAACAAAATGATCCTCCATTTTTTGAATAATTCATTTATTACAAAAAATGTGATAAATGAAGAACCGCTCGACCGATTCTGTGCAAACTTCACATAAACCATCTAATAAATAGTCCGAACAAAGCCTAAACATTTGGTTTGGATAGGTGAGCCCGTTCTTGAGCTATAAAATTACAACGAAAAGTGGCATTAATTTTTATATATATAGATATTTCGAACCTAAACTAACTTTTATAGTTTGAATTGTTTCAAAAAAGTGACGAAAACATTAATTAACTAACCTAAAATACCATTCAGCTGATAAATAACGATAAAAACGAAATCAAAACACCGGGATTCACTTAAATCCCGGTACAAGAGCGTCATATCGATGACGTCATCGAAACTACCGGTAAAAAATGTGTTACCGGTACCGGGATTCTAGACACAGGACACAGCGTATTTTATATTAAATTATTGCTTACTCAATAAGGGGCGCTCTAATTTGCTGAATTTTGGTTTCTGCAGTGGAAAAATTCAAGTTATTTACAATTAACCAAATTATTTCTTGGCACCAGGTTGAACCTATAATTTTTTAATGAAAATTTATAGCTATAGATTGTAAATATATTTTAAGTAGACTTACCGGTTCTTAGGTAACTTACCAACCATACATCATCCTTTCTAACCGAAGCATCTAGGATTTTCTGTGCCGAATTTTTATAAATTGGTGGTGCTAAGTATTTTCCCAGTTGAACAAAACTATCGCCTGTTGAATAATTGATTTCCATGCCTTCGTTAATGGTTTGTTTATCAAATGCTTTTAAACAAAAGAGTTCCTCAGACATTTTGTTTTAGCTGAATAATGACAATTTCTACCTTCTTAAGTAAAAGAATATATAATTTTGTCATTCGAATATTTAAATACACATTGATAAATGTAAGCTTATACATTTGGTTGCAAGGTTTTTTAAAGTTTTTTGTATTAATTTTATTGTGTATTATATTTCTTGAACTCATTAGCGTCCACCGTAATAAAATATAGGTACAGGTTGGCTCGTTTATTTTGTCCTACCTCGGTATATGGAAATCTAGATACTTTATGACAAAAAGTTAAATACAAAAGTTGTAGAGTTTGAATCATTAATTTGTTTTTTTGTATTCGTGCATATATACAGGGGGAGGGGTCTCAATCATATTAATTTTATTTTTATGGAACACCCTGTGTAATATTTTTAAATTTTGTGATAGGTAGCCATTTTAAAGACAAATATAATACCTATATACATATAGTTTGATAGGGTTGTTATGCATGGTTTCGGATCTATTTACGGTTATGTTATCTTCGTCTTCGGGGAACTGCCAATTTTGCAATTATTGTAGAAACGTTGAAAAAAAAAATATTTTGAAGTTGGACTTTGACCAAAGGGAAACATATATCGTCTACTTTGTCAAAAATAACTTCATTCAATTTATGTTTCGGTGTTGCTAAACTTTGAAAATTGTCGTTGTTCTTCATTTTTCTAAATTGCACATCCTGTATATTAAATGTGGGATGGAAAGTACTCTTTTAAAGTGCCCCACACACTACGTTCTTCCTCGTCGGTTTTTATCGTCGCGATTAACAACGTCGTGTTTCATCGTCAGCCTGTTTTCACCACAGACTACACCGATAAAAAGGATATCTTGAAAAGAGATAATTAATTCTCTTGGAATAATATTATCTCAAATGAAGGAAATTTCCTCTTTTGCAAATAACGAACTCTTGCATTAAGATTTTTCTTGGCTTTGATAATTTTCAGGAATTCTCTTGCTTTCAAAATTTCTTATTTCAAGGATGATTTCTTCAACTGAAAAACATAGTTAAGTAGTGATCCAAGATATTGTATTTTGGTTCAAGACCTCAGTCATTTAACTGAAGGAAACAAGCCGTGAGCTAGTTTCCTTGAAACAAAATCAAATAATAACCCAACATAGTATATTTTAGTCCAATAAGTACACAGGCATTTGATTAAAAGAAACCTATAATGCAATAGGTAATCTTCAACTAAGATAATATACCTTGACTCAAAAACCCAATCCTTGGCTTGAATCCTATGGTCGGATATCCCTTCCCAATTTTCCATGGGATTCGCGACGCGAGGCAGAAGGTGTCCTTTGTGGTGGTGACTTTGGCCGTGTCGTCCTCATTTTTAGAACGCACATGCAGTACGACAGGTTTTTTTTTGAGGATTTTTGGATGTGTTTAGACAGTCGAGTGGAAAAGTGTACACTAGTGTTAATTTATTCCCATTGAATACCTAGATTAAACCAAAACTGGACGAAAGCCAGAATCAGGTCAGTAGTTTTATGGACAAAACGAAACTAGGACACTTGTTACCCATATTTGAAGGTAAGGTAGGTTGTTGTCTAGCATAATTTTATTACAGGGCCAAGGTTATTTCGTAGCTTTTGCGTTATACCTAAAAATGTTTGGGTAGGTACCTATATCTATTTTTATATTGAAATACGATAATTATAATTAGATAAAAGTCTTTTTATTCCATATTGGCGTTCCTTCTCTTCGCTGTGCATGGAGAAGCAAGGGTCATCTTCTTCATTTAAGTACCATGTATTTAATCTAAGTATAATATTTTGAAAGAAGTATTTATGATGTCCTTGTATGAAGGACAGTTGTACTTGCTAAAATACCAATTGCTTTGATTTAAGAATAATTCTTTTCAAGCGAATATGCGAAAGTCTTGAAAGAAGTTCGTACATTCCTATTATGTTTCCCGCTTTTTGTAAAAAAAAATACTTTGAATTTGCTTCAGGTTTCTTAAGTCTTTATTTTTAGGTACTTTTTAATACTGAAACATAAATTATTAGTTAATATAACTTACCTACATGCTACATGATCGCATTGTACCGCATCTACATTTTTTTTTTGTTCCCATTTTTTGTTTTAAAAAAGGTTCCAGTGAAATTTTCTATTACATGTTATTTCCTTAATTAAACAATTATTTTTCTTTTTCACCACAGAAAATTGATGATATATCGGATGTTACCAGTAGTATGTATTAGTTATGACAAAGAATATTTTTTCTACAACTCCATTTAAATATCGATCATTTGAAGCCAAAATTGCATTTTCAATCAAAGGTAGGTGAATTTTAATTATTTTTGGTTTCCTGACAGGTATGTGTCACCATGACACCAGTGTGCGAACTAGCTATTTCGCGCACTAGTGTGCGAAATAGCTAGTTCGCGCACTGGTGTCATGGAAACGTTAAAAAATCGATACCTGGGAAAAAAAGGGTCACTTCGCAAACTGTCATGAGTGTGCGAACATCATCATTTTTTGACAGTTGTAGAAAATAGTCATTTATGCAACAAGTGTGTAAAGTGAACCTTTTTTCACGAATGTGAATTTTGGCGCACGAGCCGAAGGCGAGTGCGACAATCACATGAGTGAAAAAAGGTGCTTTACGCACGTATTGCATACAAAAATTTTTCTACTACCACTCAAATATGTGTAAAAAATTAAATTTAGACAAATACTTCATTATTCCCCATGTAGGTACTTCAAGTTCTTCCGGACACCCTGTGTACTGGATTTTAAATAGAGGTAACGAGATATTTGATTGAAGATAATTATTCCTTGAATTAAGAAAATCATTATTTTGTTTTGATGCAACAAGATCTTGAAACAAAAGAAGCATGTTATTTAAAAAAAAAACTTTCAACGAATGTCTCTGGTACTTAAATAAAGGTAACCAGGTATTTGATTTAAGATCGCATTTCCTGAATCAAGGAAATCGTTCTCTTAAAACAATATCACGAATCGTTCATCGAAACCATTTGAACGTCAAATTAAAGCTTTCATGGAACCGTTTTAAAGTAACGAGTCCTTAAATTAAGAGAATTACAATATGTATTTGAGAAGGAAATAAAACTTTAAATAAAAGACGATAAAATATTCAAAATCTTCAATCCAAGAGTATTGATTTTGGTCTACACACATAAGTTATCTTAAATCAAAAGAATAGTGCTTTGTAATAAGATACTAACTAAGCATACACATCAATTAATTGTGGTGATTTTAAATTAAGAGTCGATCCTTAAATTTATGTAATGGGATTCCAAGATTATGGCTGTCTTGAATCAAGAAACGATTCATTTGAATATATACAAAGCCACGGTGATCTTGATCCAATTTCGATTTGCTTTTAACCAAGATATCCTTTTTATGAGTGTACGTGATTTTTTGGTTGGACCCACATACAACGGTTTTGGAACGAAATGTTGAACCATCGTGTCAAAAATCAAGCTCGGACTGAATTTTAAACCGACGATGAAACACGACGGCTTTCTACCACACACTTCGGTTTTGGAACGACGTGTTTCATGTTTCATCGCGGCGATGAAAACCGACGAGAAAGAACGTAGTGTATGGGGCCCATTAAATCGTCGTGTTTCACCGCGGCGATGGAAACCGACGAGAAAGAACGTAGTGTGTGGGGCCCTTAAGATAACAATAACTGGCCAACTTGAACAAATGTAAATTTGGAATAACTCAGTTATTTTTGATTTTAGGGCAATAGTGCAAGGAACCTTTTTGGTGAGAAAAACATTTGCAATAAAACTAGAAAAAAATATACAGGGTGCTCCATTGAAAAAAGTAAATATTTGAAAATATCACGAAAACGCGATGCTCAATTGTTTTTCGGTTTTTACGATTTTATTTAGCGAAAGAAATGTTACCGTAAAACGGGGCTACTTGATAGCATTTTTGGAATTCAATTAATCGCACACATCAGAGTAGAGCGTTTGCAGCCAAATAAATTTTTTTCTAGATTACTTTGGACCCTTGGCTATCGATTGCCATAAAAATGATCTCTCCATCCGCCACCCCTTTTCGGCAAAAAAAATTTAAAGGGTGTGTCTCTGTTTTCTAGCGTTAAAAATGCAAATAGGAGCCTAATTGAGGCTTCATGAAAAAGAGAATAAAAAATAGGTATTATGAAAACCAAAAAAAAATGACATTTTCACATCAGGAAGACGTTTATTATTCAAAAATACATATTACTTAATCTACGGAATTTTGTACAAATCACTGTTTCCCTTCAAGCTTGTGCCCCTCCTACACCTTTCAATGCCCTCGCGCAAGTTTCCATCCGAATAATTTCTGTATTTTCTACTCCCAACCATTCGTACATAGTTTTGCACCATTTGTCAAGTAGCCCCTGGAATGACAAAAAAAAAATGAGGCCGCCATTTGTAAACTATGATGACCAACGTTGAACTATTGCCATACCCTTTTAGCCTAATAAGTAGGCATACCAAAATTAATTTGAAACCATCTAGAAATATTCCACTTACCTGCACCAACTGGAAGTATTCAGCCTCAAAAATAACACGTTTTTTGTCTTGAAATTCTGTCGCAGCGATTCGGCAACATGAACAACCGAGGGTGATCTGAGTAGCACCACGCGGACTCTCATAACATGGTGCAACCGTTTTGTGATTTACGGGGTTCCATCTTTAACACCAAGGTGGTAGGACAATAAATTAGTTTATGATGCAAGGATTTTCAAGTTGCCTCGTAACTTTCAAGTAGTCCCGTTTTACGGTACTATAGTTTGCCAATTTAAGCAATTTTGTAACTCTTATGAAAAGCGAGTTGTGTATTGTCTTATACAAAAAAAAGTTTGTTTCAAAGTTCTTTTCATTCCACATCTAATATACAGGGTGTCCCACTAAGGTCGGCAAGGTACGATATTATGGAAACCAGAGACCTCCACTAAATCGGCCAAGAGACATTGATGGAAATTATTTTCAAGTTTCTAAGATGACCGCTAGGGGGCGTAATTACGATGGTATAACTAAAAATTCAAATTTTCTGAAGAAATCGCTATATTGAGATACTGTTTTAACAACAGAAACCAAAGGTTCATTAATTTTTGCGCCAGTTTGGTTATTAGGCTTTTTTCGTATCTTCACTAATAAGGGTGGGGGAAGCTGGTGAAAAAATAGTTTTAAAAATTGCTGTATCCTCCATACCCCTCATCCAAACTCATTCAATTTGGGCTCATTTGAAAGAGAATTTTATTGTTACTCCACTTCGTTCGAAGTCGATAGTTTTCACCGCGTCTTCAAGAGGACGCTGTTTAACCAAGATCCAGTTTTTCGATTTCAAGTTATGAGAATAACTGGTTTACATAATATCGTACCTCGTCGACCTTAGTGGGACACCCTGTATATACAGGGGGTCATATAAAAAACATGAAGAAAACGACAATTTTCAAAGTTTGACAATACCGCAACATAAACTGGATGAACTTACTTTTGACAAATAGTTGACAAAGACGTTATGTGACGTTATGTTTCCCGTTCGATCAAAGTCCGACTGCAAAATATTTCAACGTTTCTACAATAATCTTAAAATTGGTCGTTCCCTGAAGATAACCGTTAATAAATCGGAAACCGTGCATAACAAACCCATCAAAGTATATATATATATATAGTTGTTTATAGAAAGAGTCATTAAATTGGAAATAGTTCAAGTTTAGAGTTAGGTCAATTGCCTCCAAAAAACTTTCTTTTGACATTGTTGTGTGTTCCTTGATCAATTCCCATTTTTCGGAAACAATTACCTGAACTAGATCGTTTGGAATATTTGTATACAGAGACACTACGTCTAATGATATTAATTTGTAGTTATTTGGTATATTTATAGAGTCTATAAATTGTTTAAATGAATAGGAGTCTTTTATAAAATAGTCACTTTTGTTGGTTATATTTGAAAGTGTACTTGATACGTACTTGGATAATTTATAAAATGGTGATTTAACATAAGAAACAATAGGTCTCATGGGAACATTTTTCTTATGTAGTTTGGGTAAGCCATACAATTTTGGTGGATTTGCATTGTGTATGCTTAGATTTTTGGCTTCCGTTTCTTGTATCTCCTTTTTATTTAAAACTTTTTTGATGAAGGAATTGTTTTTATTTTGAAAAATATTAGTGGGATCGTTTTTCATTTTTTTGTATGTGTTAGTGTCATTTAATAGACATTCCATTTTGGTTTCGTAGTCAGTTTTATTCATTATAACAGTCTTATTGCTTTTATCTGGTTTCAATCCCTTTGAAAATGCCTTAAATTAAAGGCGAAACGTTAGGAAATAAAAAAAGTCGTTTCATTTATGAACCTAAACCCAAGAAAAAACTACTAATATATATATATATATATATATATATATATATATATATATATATACTGATGAGAAAATAAATAGATTCTCAGTCACCATATTGCAGCGAAAATTGCTGCTTGGTGTTGAGGTTTTGTCTTAGATGGCGCCACGATCAAATTTCGACCGTTGCACTATATATATATATATATATATATATATATATATTTGAAAGCGCTATCAAAATAAATAAAAATTAAAAATATACAGGGTGTTCCGTTTAAAAAAAAATAAAATCTGATGTGTCACACACTTTTATGATACCCCCTGTATATGCGCAAATACAGAAAAACAAATTATTGATTTAAACCCTACAACTTTTTTATTTAACTTTTTGTCATAAAATATCTGGATTTCCATATACCGAGATAGGACAAAATAAATGGGCCACCCTGTACCTATACCTGGTTAAAAGGAACTTTTATGTATATCAGATATTTATTTGACCACAAAATCGATCAATAATTCAAGGAAAAAGCATTGATTTAAATTTTGTAAACCATAATAAACCACACATGCTCACAAGTGAAATCGAAACCCGTGACAACATTCAACTTTATATCCATAAATTCGACTTAAAATACATACAAAAAGAACAAGGCAAAGCAAAGATATGCTTTTATTACTGTTTTGTGAAAACATTTTCTCGAAAAAGTTAACTTTCATTCTTTTGCTGCATGTCGGTGCACTCGAACTCTGAACATGTCAATTTATTGGTGTTGGTTGCAGCAACCAACACAAAAGCTAGGAAGAAAACGTCAAGCTACGCCATCATGGCAATAAGAGAACAATGGAGACCATGAGGAAAATCAAAGGGAAAATTATTGGGACAAATCATTAACACTGTACAAGAAACAAAAGCAGGGAGTCATAAGTGGAAATGAATGAAAAAAATCAGATCACTCAGAGCAGAAATAGGGAAAATAATGATAGAGGCAAACATCACAACCAGCAGCAGTCACAAACCGAAAATCAGCCCTCCACATAGGAGAAATAGAGGCCACGACCACGCTGCGAAGCATTTAAGCCCCCAAACGCAGGTATGTTCTGCTAATCTTGACTGAAACGCGGCGCAATATGACATGCCATCCTCCGTAAGCTATCCAAGCTATTAGCTTTCCAGACGCGATTCACTCTGATACGTGAGGTGACACTAGTAACCACCCACATATGGCCACGAAAAGAAGGCGTGTAGTGGATTAGACCGCAGAAACTAATGCTTCAATGGCCACCAATAAAAGGCCACAAGGCAAGCGAATCCGCAGAGTTCGAGCAATATTTTGTAAAAAGGGTTCCAGAGCAGGTTCCGGCTGTATAACATAGTAGAATTTTTATTGATATAGCGGAACTGGGTGGCAACATTGGAGAATGTTCAACGAGCTACCGAAACCACTACCCGAGTCCATCGCAAAAACGCTCTAACCATAAATCTAAACACATCTACGTTGGTCGAAAATTTCTATTCCGGTGACTGTTATGTATGCGTATACATCTTTTATGCTCATATCAGTCTACATCAGACTACGAAGCGCAGTCGAAGCTATTGTCCAGGACCTTCGATAATTCATTGAGCAATTGAAGCGAAAGAACGATAAGACATCATTAATGAACAAGAAATAAAAACCTCAGAGAGCAAAGGCAAAACGTTATCAGGCCAACCTGGCTAACGCCAGATAAAGAATCAACAACCGTGAATCACTGCGATCTATTCACGCCTGACGGAGTATCTGACGAATGGGATTGCATAAAACTATAAAACCTGATGAGGGCCTTACCAACCTATACCGGCTGAAAGAATGTACACACTGATTTGCGCTAACATCCCATTCTTCACGGATTTCTTCAAAATTCTGTTCAAAACTTCCCCAAGAAGTGAGAAAGCGTCAAGCCAACTTTGATAGAAAAAATGTTTAGTTATTCTTGATGGAGGGAAAGGAAATTCCATCGCAACCCAAGGTTGAGTACTTTGAGGCTTCCACATGCACATAATTAGGTACGGCACTCAATTGCTTATTCCCAAACATTGGCGTACCAACAGAAGGGTTCTGGCACTAACAGCGATGCGCAGTGCATAATCCTGTACAGAGCGCCAGCCCGTTCTCTATAACCGAACAGCCTTTAAAGCCGAGATGATAATACTCCATGAGACTCGTGTCAGTTTCAACGTTTAATAATGCTCTCACAGTTCCAACTTGTCATTTATTTGTTGTTAACATATGACTTTATTTAGAACGCTCAAAAGTACCTATGGAGAAAAAAATCCGGCAAATCCACCATGCTGCCATAGTGCCTTATAATCGAATAGTCCATGATAGCCGCATCATCTTCGACGTAATTTCTCATTGAAGCTGATGAAATAAGATATTTTCAAAAATTGAAGAATACTTTATTGATAAAAAATATACTCTTTCGGCAAATTTGCGATGCTCTTTGTTAAATCCAACATCAAATTGAAACTTTCTATACCTACCTCAAGGAAAACTTGTTGATTGAACTTTGAACATGGTATAGGTACTATAAAAAAACTCAAATACCCAATACTTTAGTTTAAAAATAAATAAACTGCTGATGGTACCCTTTATAATAGTGGACCCTTTGAAATAAAATTTATTAAAATATCTCATTCATTTTTTTTACAATTATCTTGGTGTTTGATAGTAACTAGTACCTACCTACCTAAGCTACAAAAGAAATAAGGGGCAGTTTGGCATATCACATAACAAATTTGCACTTTCTCAGTTATATTACGAAACAACGGGTAGGTACCTAATGAAATTAATCTTAGTCATTCATTAGGTATATTGATGATTTATAATGGGAAAGCTTTTTATCTGTGGTCTACTTTTGGAAAGTTTAACAAGTATTATATTTTTTACTCGAAAAATTACTTATGTACCTATTTAAGTCCTAACATTCAAAAACAATGAACTTATTTCTCAAGAAAGTAAGCAAATACCTATTTAACTATCCGAATAGATATTTTTCAAAGTAAAAATTCGAAATTGTGTCCAAATAATTTTATAAACGCTTAAAAACTAGAAAACGAAAATAAATAAAATTTCCAGATTTTATTTATGGATATGTCAAACCAGTTCCTCTAGTATTTTCGGCGGTCCATTTGTCAAACCGTTCAATCAGTTCTGGTGTCAGGGTCTCTTTAAATGCGCCCACTTTTCCCTGTCTCATAAACGAATTAGTTTTGTCTTTATCGGGTTTGAACATATGGGATAATTTTACCAACCAATCGTAATTTACTGCTGGATTTTGCCTCATACTCTCGAAGCTTAAATGATGGACGAGTTTGTCCAACTGATCTTCCGTTATATCTTTTTCCAAGAATTGCGCTGTTTTTCTTATCGCACCTGGAAGATCCGACTTAAGTTCTTCGTATTTTAGAAAAAGGATGTTTGAGTCGTCATGTCTTTTCCAGAATGGCAATACGTGGTTCCAGAATGGAGCAAAGTTGACTAAAAAAAAACATAGTTGGAACAAAAAAAATATTCATGCTGATTTATTTAAGCGTATATTATGAAGATGTCTCATATGTATCGGTTACTATGCGCATCTTAAACCTTCTGTTCGGATACCTGTAATTTAATTTGCAACCGAATGGATAAAATTGGCAGACATGAAGACAAAATAGTGTATTTTAAATAAAGTTTCAAACACCTATTTTTTCAGGGGCCTCTGCCGGACTTAGACAAATGTGTAGTTTACCTGTTGAACGTTGTTCACTACCAAATACTATTTCAAAAAAAAGAAAAAATAACCGACGCGTAGGTAAATTTAAAAGACTATACAGGAATAACCCAAAATCCCCAATAACAGACGTAAACTGCTGCCGAAGCCAAAGTCACACTGTGAAAATACATTTCGGCCTTACTTACATGATAAATTTGGACCTGCGCTTTTTCATTAATTTCAAGTCAAAATTTTCAACAACAACAAAAACAATTATGGTAGAGAGAAGTTGTGGGAGTGGGTCCCTATTTACAAATTCGCAGAATTTGTGAATAAGGAAGTGTTATTCCACTTCGTCCTTAACCCACCACTTCTCTCTTTACTTTAGTTTAGAGGACACTATATTTTCACTATGACAAAAAAAACATAAAATATTTCAACGGGTTCTATGAGAATGATTCCGCAAGTAATGTAGACATAATGTTTCTAAAATCTTTGAACTGGAAGCTTGAAAAAAAAGAGCCTGGGCGATCGTTATACAGGAAAGAACGATGAAGTAAAACCGAGCTATGACCGATTTAAGGAGGCTGCGTCGCGGACTTTTCTTTTTTTTTAATATCAAACAGTTTTCGTCCTCTGAAAATTCTAACAATTTTGAAACCCTTCACTGGAGCTGAGATATGCTTAGCAAAATGTATTCATTCAGTAACGTAAGTAGCTTACGTACTCTTATTCTCATCACATATTATATTTTACAGAAACGGAGATAATTGAATGACACAGGAAGCACCTTATTCACTGCAGCCGAGTTGCGCCTACCTTAATAAATCGAGCATTTTTCTCTTGGAAGTATCCTATTTTTCTCAATTTTCATCATTGAACTTTTCCATTCAAAATGCATTGCTGTCAGAAATATGCCAAAGTGTAAGTTTTTTGACAGCAACGTATTTAAAATGGGAAAGTTCAAGTATAAGTAGTAGAGTAGAAACAAATCAATGTTTCTATCTTATTTGAAAACTTTTTATTTCCTTGTAGTAACGAGAAAACAAAAATAAAAATAAAAAACAATTCTCTGTAATTAGGTAAATTAAACTAACTTCTTCTGAAACTAATCCTTCAAAAATCGCAGAAGCTAGAAAGAAAAAACTTAAAAATTATTTAAATTTCTACACCCTGTAAATCGGTAACGAAGCGTTTGCGAACCTATGTTTATTTGAAATTTTAGTCATAAAAAAAACCCAAAGAATCACCCACTTCCGTTTGTACATGATATTTGGGAACACCCTGTATATACCTATATTTATACCGGGTGCCCACGAGATCACTTTCCGGCTGCCATTTTTTTATTTGTTTATCGATATCAACGAAACTTGGTAGGGTTGATATTCTAACCAAACGCCATTTTTATGCATTTATGACAAGTTTTCCTGACTTCCGGTTCCACCGGAAATGACGGCAACTTTCGATTTTTAAATGGCACACCCTGCATATTTTTTGTTTTTCAGATTCTACAGATCGTTTTACATACTAATGCACCACTTTTGAATCGATTTTTGTCTAAATTTTATTTTTAAATTAAATTTTAATTTTTTAACTAGAGTGCCATGATCATCCTAAAATGACTCTACATACTTTACTTAATTTCAGAAAAATACTAACTCAATTTTATCTTTGTAAACTTCTTTAATAGAGGGCTGTGAACTTCATTATTTTAGTATTTTTGCCCTAGCTCAAAAACTAGAATAGAAACATATCACTTTCATAACATTACTAAATGCAGTATTTTTAAGCGAATCAAATGATATAATGCACTACGACATTTTTCTTAATTTTCGTTCAAATATTTTTGTAGGTAATTTTTTTTTTCTACTTAAAATTTAATTCGAAAACGAAATTGGGACAAAACTCGATTTAAAAGTGGTACATTAGGACGTAAAACGATCTGTAGAATCCAAAAAACAAAAAATATAAAGGGTGTGTCATTTGAAAATCAAAAGTTTCGGTAATTTCCGGTGAAACCGTCAGGAAAACTTGTCATAAATGCATAAAAATGGCGTTTGGTTAGAATATCAACCCTACCAAGATTCGTTGATATCGATGAACAAATAAAAAAATGGCAGGCGGAAAGTGATCTCGTGGGCACCCGGTATTTTAGTTAGTCCAGTGTGATTTTTTTTAGTAATTTCAAGAATGAATCCCTTATTTGACATTCGAATTTAATTTTAGTTTGATTTTGTGTTACATGTTACCTACTTGTGTCTTGAAAGTCGATTTCTCAGGAAAACAAATAATTTCAATTATCAACCTGTTATCGTTTTGATGAGCAGCCCAAAGAATTTTTCAGTGGTAGCTCGCAGGCTAATATTAGGGAACCATGGCACTACCTTATTTTTCTGTAAAAATATATTTTTCGTCCCATAAAAGTATTGAGAAAAACGCGCGGAGACGCCAATAAGATGTGTGGTTTCAAAGACTATATTGGGCGTGGCACCTCAAAAAAATTTCCGCCTCCGGCGGGCATACCTAGTTTGCCCCCCCCAAAACCTTAGGCTGGATACGCCACTGGTTCAACTAAACCACTTTTGAACTTGGAGTGTACAATCGTGCAGTAATGTGTTGCTGGAACAAGAAGCGTTCTGTCTACATCAACCAATACGCTGCAGTCGTTGCAGTATATCTGTGGTAGAGGAACAAAAAAATTCGGAAACACGATGCTGTTCGTGTTTTTGAAATTTTTTGTTCCTCACTGAATAAAGTATGACTGGAAAACAAAAATGTGTTTACCAATGTTCTAACATCTTCTTTTATCTATACCGGTTTAGGTGGATCCAAGCAGCTTGTAGAAAATTTTGTGTCTGTGACCGCAAGTAATGAGGAGTCCAAAGAAACTTCAAGAAACATTCGGGAACAAGTTCCAGGAACAAGCAACCAGCAAACAAAATAATGTTCCTATGTGGATTGGATGTGACACGAATTTCCAGCACACAGCGGGGGGCAGCACGTACTCCAATCAAGGAGGTAACACAACCTCTAGGAAAGAAACACTAGAGGTGCTGCCGCAGAGCTATTTCTCAAGAGGTTAAATAATTGACAGTTCACCAACATCTCCCTCAGCAGGACAAGTCAAGGGTCGATTGGCGAATTGTCAATGAAACTGTTACACCGCATGCGATAAGAGGGGCGACGAAGTCGACCCATCTCCACAAGTCGCCAGGGCTGGATGGAATAGTTCCAGCTCTGTTTTAAAACGGACTGGATATCCTATTACTCTCGTTAATCAGGATATCTCGATCAAGCTTAGCTTGGGGTTACATACCAACCAGCTGGTGAAGGACAAGGGTACCCTCGAGGGTACCATATACATATAACCAGGGCAGGCAGAACAAAGAAAAATCCGTTCGTCGTGAGGGGCTCTCTCTCCTCTTCTGTCGTCTCCCTTGGTGCCTGCTTTGGCTATAATCTAACTGTGGAAGGTCGACAGGCTTACGCAGACGACCTCGTCTAGCCGTTGTAGTAAAGGTAAAATCGAAATGCAGACTATCCGAAATGCAGAAACTAGTAGACACAATACTCGTATATGTGCATGGTGCGAACCGGAGGCTATGAGAATAAATCCTCAGAGAAATCCTTCACAAGGAGAAGGAAACTAGACTGATTCCCCTTATATTACGAGGGGTGACGATACCACTTGCAAATGAAGTCAAATATCTAAGAGGTAGCTACTCTAGATGGCTTACTTGGAACTTCTATTCAGGCGAGAATGAAACTTAAAGCTGGTTACTTCATATAGACTTGCCGCAGAATTTGTGACAAATCGTTGGTTTTATATCATGGTCATCAGATCATTGATAACATACGGCCCAGTAGTCTGGTGGACTAGGCAATTCCCGTACCTCGCCAACGGCAGCTATGGAGCTTCTCTTTGGATAACTTCCTCCACATATCTCTCTGGAAAGGGAGGCTCTTAAAACAACCGATTAACACCCGACAGAGATTGAGTGGATTCGAGTAAGGACGTAGAAGGCACCAAGCATTACAATACCCAGCAGGAATCCCTGCGGACCTTATGCCAAAAACACACACAACAAACGACCACAGCTACAGTTAAATATAAGGGTGCAGAACGAGCCTGCCCTACTAAAGACGGGCCGGGCCTATGTCGCTTTAGGGATGGATCTAAAACACAGTGAGGTGGGAGCGAGCGTCTATGACGCAAACTCGAAGACTAAGATAGGTATCCAAGTTTAGGGAATCATTTTCCAAGCGGAAATACACTAAATGGGTGTGAGGCTACAGAATCTACCCTAAATGCACCAAACACCAAAGATATGTTTGCCCGCTCTCAAAGCGCTTAGCTCTACCTACGGCACCTATACTGACACTCGAGAACGGTATCTAGCTGCCAGAAACATCTAAGCGAACTAAGTAAGCACAACGAAGTAACCCTGGTATATATATCCGTTCGCGCTGGCCTTGAATGTGATTGAAAGGCGTCCCTATCGTCTCGCCAGAAGGGAAGCCGAAATCAACTTAACATTAATAAGATTGGCCAAATCTACTAGGGATGTCAGATGGCACAAGCAAAGGTTCATCATGAGAGGACCGGTGAAATAATTCTCGGTTGTCAGGTTGCTGAAGCTCGGTAAAACTAACCTGAAACTATAATCGGCTTATGGCTACTGAACACTGTAGGCTACAACACCACCTACACAGGATTAGGCTAGCAGAGTATGCTGAGTGCAGGCTGTGCACGGAGGATGATGGCACACAGCTGCACATATTCTTTTTCAATGTCTGGCAGGTAGGTACAAGACTAAGGCATCATATCTTTGCTGGGGCAACAGCATCCCTGGGAGACCTGAACAATATCTCTCCAATTACCACCCTCGAATTCCTTCGGAATCTAGTCATGAGTGGTGAAGTCCTATGCTCGTAACAGGTCCGTAGCTAGGGGGGGGCCAGAGTGGGCAATGCCCACTCTGAAATAAAAAATTGCCCACTCTAGAGCAGACCAGAAAAAAATATATTATATAGGAAAAAAAAATTACATGAAATTACAAAACAAATTATGTGATTTAATTTTTGTTTTTCCGGATAATATTATCAATACCCAATTATTTTGAAGAAGTTTAACGCCTATTTGCTGTGACCGCTCTCCGTTTATAAAACCACAGTTTCATATTTTACCTTAAGGTGGGGGCAATAATGACATTTGAAATCTGTCAGTTCTTGTGCTCTGATTGGTTGATTTTTTCAAATTCGTCTGCGAAGAGAAAAAAAAAAACTTCACGTCAGAATTGGCTCAAAATTGGCATAAACATTCTTTGATCGATTATCTACAATCCGAATAATTCGGTTTTTAGATATTTTGCGAGTTTTGGAAATATTCCATGACGACTATAGGGAACCAGATATACGCTTTTCATTTTGAGAGAAACACAAATTATCGAAAAACTAAAATATTCGGATTGTAGATAGGTAATCCATCAAAAAATGTTGATGCCAATTTTGCGCCAATTCTGATGTGAGCTTTTTTTTCTCTTTGCAGACGAATTTGAGAAAAAAGAAAAAAACCACATGGAACTAACAGATTTCAATCTTATTAACGACCCTTCAAAGTTCAAATGCGATCTTATGTATTTTTATGTCATACCAATACATTATTGAGTTTTTATACCTTAGATACCATCTACATAATTTATTACTTTATGCCCGTGCGGGCATAAAGTACACATTATGGCCCGCGCGGGCATAAAGACGCAAAATACAGTTTTTAATTAACTTATTTTTTACTGACAAAATATAATTTTACGCTGATAAACATATTATTTTTTTCTACGAGCGTGCGGGAAATGGCTCTTTCCGCACGATTTGCTGTGCGGGAAGAGATTTCTTCCCGCACTCAGTGCGGGAAGAGTTTGAAATAATCATTGTCACATGGAATTGTTTGTATTGTTGATACACCTATACCTGTACCTTTACCTTTTTATAAATACCTTTTAATACATTTTTAATTCTACCTTCAGCATAATCGCATTTTATTTAAATTAAACTCTGCGTAACATCAGCTTTAGTATGCTCGTAGAAAAAATATAGTTCCTAACTCTTGCGGGAAGAAATTTCCCGCACTCGTTAGGAAAATAGCTATTGTCAAAAAATTATGATGTTTGCACACTGATGACAATTTGCAAAGTGACACTTTTTTCCCAGGTATTTAATATTCACAACCAACTGGTATGACATAAAAGTTTGTATGCACCACGGGTACTAATAGATAAATATACCCTCGGGCGACTTACGAACCCTCGGGCCAGAGGCCCTCGGCTTTGTAAGACTGTCGCCCTCAGGGCATAATCATCTACTTAGTACCCTTGATACATAAATAACTATTATTATTTCTTTCTGTTTTGTTAAGATTTTGTAATCAGTTATTGTGTACCTTTGAAAATAAAGTTTTTGCACCTTGTCGTGATTTTAAGTAATGCTGAAAATAAAAACAAGTCTGCCCCCTCTAAATGTTTGGTTGCCCCCTCTGGAATCAAAACCTGGCTACAGGCCTGGCTCGTAAGGTTATCAATTATTATTGATTTTCTTTTCGTTCTAAATATTATAGTGCTCTTCCTGCCAGGTAAATAGATTCATAACTGCCACCTATTTTTATTATCTCCGTTTCCTAATGTTTAAGATCAAAATTCGTATGACCAAAATTATAGATGTCGGAATTTTGTTTATTTTAAAACCTATTATCCCTATTATCTTAGAAACAGAATATTTTGGAAAAAATCTCGGAAACACGTCAACTTTAATTTTTTATGCAGAATTCACCTCTCTGAGTGATTCAAGATTTCAAAAGTCTTTGGGCCCTCATTAAAACTGCGAAGAAGAATTATATATCAGACTCCAGAAGAAAATTTTGGGCATTATGAGACACAGGACTATGTAGAGATGAGATCAACAAATTCCGAGGCGGACCACGAAATCGAAGATGATGAATCTGAAGACGAAGAACCGCTGGCCATTCGGGTGTCACCAAGAAATGGAAAAGATGCCAACCATGCTAAGACTCTAATAAAAAAAGTATTTTTCTTCACATGGATAGATAGTTTTTTCAGTTCAATCTTTGACAAAGCAAGCACTTACAATAGATTATTTTTTTGGAGGCTTAAAATGAACGTTTTTGGGCGTGGCACTCGAAAAAATGCGAGAGGCCTTCGCTCCGTGTCTGGACCCCCCTTCCTGTTAAAATTTTCAAGGGGTTAGTCTTGGCGCTATGGGGTTTAAAGAGGGGTCCTGAATTTTGCCTAAAAACTCTTCCATCTTCAAATTATATTTGACGTGTCTCAGGGAATTTAAGGGGTGGTAGTGGTACCTAGGTTTTAAAATGAGCACCATGACTATATATTTTCCTGTGAAATGCGGAACTTGTGTGTCCGCGCCACCTAAAGGGTGAATTACACCTCGCATTTTTTTCATGACGTTCCCCTAGGAAGCAACTCAAAAACAGCATAATTATTACACCCTTTTTCATTCAGACGACATTAGTTTTGGCAAAGTTTATTTTGGTTCGGCATCAACATGGCTTTTCTGTCACCAATTTTCTTATTTGAGAAAATATTGTCCAGAGTCTAAACTTTAGACTTTATTTGCAATGGCCTGGCCTGCTCATGTTTTGCATGACATATTCACAATATATTCCATGACAGAATCCGCAAATCGCAAATGACAGAACATCATAAATCTGCCTTTTTGCATCTTGTTTTACACTCGCATGGTATAAAAAGAGTTAGTGTCTTAGGAGGAGGATACTGGGGGGTGATAAGGGCGTATTTATGGGGGCCCTAGGCCTGACTTGTGTTGGACAATAATCTCACCAGGTAACTGGTAATTTTATTGTCAGAAAAATTATATAATACGTGTAATAACAAATCTGCCACTATCTATTTCTAGAACTGTGATCACGGATTACAATTTTGTGTTAATAAGTCATACACGTTAAATATCTCAGAATAAAACCAATAAATGTATTTAACTGAATTTTTATATTCATTATGCAAATCACATAAAACCAATTTTAAATCATTCCCAAATGGACAGATCGTCTCGACGCTCGTCCAACCATGCTAAGCAACTGTTCCACTTCAGTGAAATCCGCAGGTACTAAATCCAAAGGCGTTTGACCCAACTTATTTTTAACAGTTACCAATGCCCCTCTTTCCAATAAAATTTTAACAACCTCCAACTCTTGACAAGTAGCAGCAAAGTGTAAAGGTGCATTGTCACCGTTATCTTTACAATTGATATCTGCTCCATGATTCAGTAGAGTTTTGACTACTTTACTGTAAGCAAATTCTGCGGCCAAATGGAGTGCTGTGGTCCCGGAAGAATTTTTAAAATTTACATCAACTGAATAGGTAGTACTAGTGTGATCTAAAAGCAAGGTGACTATATCGTTGTAACCATTTTTGGCAGCGATGTGTAGTGGAGTATTTCCTGTTCTATTACCAATTATTAATGCTCCATGACGTAGCAGTGTTGAAATTAATGCCTTATCCCCAAATTCTGCAGCTCCATGTAATGTTCTATCGCTATCAGCATTTCCTGGTTCGTTTATCTTGGCACCTTTTTCTAATAAAACATTAACATGATTTATACGGCCATTTAAAGCGGATTGAAATAAAATTTCACTAAGATTTTCATCGGTGAGCGTTGTATAAGTATTAGTGAACTCGTTTATTTTGAGATAAGCATCAACGTTCACGTTTTTAAGATAACTTTCTGGACAATCTTGGTAGTTGAATAAGAGAACAATTTTTTTTGCTGGCACCATATTAATGCGTTCAATTATTGCATCTAAAACGCTCAAATCGGAAAATTCTGGTTCGTTTTTAGAAAATTCCAAAATTATTAAATTACCAAATTTTGGCATTACTTTTGACTCCTTGACTACACTCAAAAATTGGGGCCATTTTAAAATAATTTGATTAACATTGTTACCATAAATATCCAGATGTTTAATAGTTCTTCTTATTCTTAAAACAGACCTTCTGGTGTCTCTCGTTTCCAATATCAAGCACTTTCCGAATTCCAATTTAAAAAAATTTAGTACACTTTTTTCAAATTTGGTATTGACAAGGTTCAGGTTGGTGAGGAAATTTTCTGATAATTCTTCTAGTGTTAGTTGAAGGTTCGCCATTATCGACACACTATTTAACTAACCGAATTTTTAAATAATTAACGGTTTATACGCGCGTTTTATCAATGTGGTTAAACAACCACATTATTCGTCTATTTTTATATTTTGGTTCGATGGTTTTGTGTGCTTTTTTTTCTAACAAAGGAATTCATTAGTTTAATCTGCGATGATAGAATAACATTTTTGCAGCAAACGTGAAACCAGTGTATAAAAAGGATTCTATTTTGCAAGTTCATACATTATAGCCAATGGCAACAAAAACTTTAAATTCCACGCCACACCTGAGTCAGGATTTATCCATAGAACCAATTTCCGTGAAAATAAATTTCAAAAAAATTCGCAGGCATCTTGTCACAATAATAGATTCTCAGTTCAATGAATAACTTATCAATTCTGTTCGTAACAGGTGTTCAATAATTGTTATGGTCAGGATGCTTATGGATGGTAATTGTCACAAAAAACCTATGGCTTGACTAATATTGCATTGCAAAAATAATTACGTGACAGTTCTGGTGATAGCCGTCATCTGGCAATCCTCCGCTTTCCAACTTCTTGCATTTTTTCCGATTGTCTGTGCCTTTTTTTTACAAATCAAGATCAGTTATTTCCAGAATCTGCAAACGCTGTGTTTTTGATCGCGTGTGCGAGGTTTTTTGGCGACTTTGTTTTGGCTGGACTTCGGCCCGCGTTTTCGCTCTTCTCAAAAGGTCCATGGGGTGGACTTATTCAATCAATCCGCTCATAATATTTTATATCAGAAAACACTGAGCGAGAGGGAAGTGATGGAATATCAACAAAGAACATCATTTTGCCATCTCTCCCAACGAGACGTATTCGTATTATCCTCGGGGACAAGTCATACCATTTTTAAAAAAGATCTAGAGCGTTATGCTTATAGGATGGCAGCAATGCAAGAGTTGAAACTCCCAGATCTTCCCCCAATGGTTCATGGACAATATGTACTATATAATAATAATTGGACCTATATATTTCAATGGTAGCTAATTTTTATTTTTTTGGTCAATATCATAAAAAAAAAACCTGTAAATAAGGAAATATCAATGTACTCCGCTATTGGGGAGATATCCTGCAACCATTTTTTGAAGAGTTGCATGATGATGACCTTCAGCGAGGCTACTTCTGTACTTCTTGCAGAACGGAGCATTGCACTTATGAGACATTGGAACTGCTTCACGAATATTAGGATGACTGAATTAGGTTGGGTTAGTAGTACTGTGAGATATGCTGTAACTTATCCTCAGACTGTTTATTTGTCCTACAGGGATATTTAATAACGCGTCAGTACAGGGACGTGACTGCATATGTTTCCCCATAAACTATAGAAAACCTCTGCCATGTTATGGTATACGTACGGCTATCAGTAGTAGGGTATTCTGGAATTAAAGCCCTTGTAGGTCTAAAGTGCTTTCAAAGAGCCTCAAATTAGTTTCCTTTTTTTTTTCCTGGAATATATGTATTCTTTCATATTATTTTGATTAGAGCCCATTATACCTATACAAAAGCCTGTTATTATTATTACGGAGAACCAGACGCTATTTTTTCTTTATTATTATAAATATCATTCGCTAGATAAGTGTTTATTGATTTTTATGATAACGATCAGGTACTACATATTTAAAATAAAGTAAGTGATACCTAATTTTGTCAACAGTCTTGAGCTAAGTACTACAACTTATAACTTACCGCTTCCGGATAAAAACAAGTTACAGAATTCTTCTAAAGTGCCTTTATACTCTTTGATTAATCTAGAAAAGTGATAATATGATATGCAGGTGTCTTTCGGATTTCTAGAAATATAAATTATCTGAAAAAAAAACAAAAGTATTATTGATTATTAAATTTCACCTAATAAGTACAAAAAGGCAATTCATTCGATTTACCCAAAACATAACTAAGCTAGTGGATAGTAGTTCTTACTAAGTCAGATCCAGAAACTATTCGAACCTGCTCGAACCTGCTCAATGTGAAGTTTTGGGTGAATCGATTTAATATGACGACCCACAATAATTTCACCTTTGGTTTTTTGATTTCCTTTTGAATTTCTTTTGGTAGTAAATTCCATGGTAAATGTGTCTTAATGCATACTGGGCTTTTTTGGGTTTTTGCATATTTTAGAGAGTTTTTTATAGGTTGCGGTACAAATGGGGAGAAAAACGTTACGTATGGAGCTCGAACTAAAGCACTCGCCCTAAAAATAAAAGAAAAACTCGTCTAGAATGATGACTATAGCAAACTATTAAGTCATTTTCAGTGCATTTCAATTATCACGTTCTTGCCATCAACGTCCTCAGTCATGTGAACATTGCTATTTTTAGTAGGTACCTACCTACTTGTTATGAAATATGATTGTGAAAATTGACGAATTAAAATAAAATAAATATAAGCAGAAAGGAAATTGACCCTCTTTCTATTTATTATTTTTCGCTGGTGGTTCGGGGGTAGGAGGCTGAAAGGGCAAAGGTGAATTTTACATTCACAAATTGTAGTGGATGTGTTTTCTGGATTTTTTCCGAAATTTGCCGATTCTGAGAGAATAGGGATAGATGGAAGGTCTTAAAATGAACGACCTCTATTGTGACAAAAAAGATTGGAGTTAGTGTTGGTGAAACATTTGGCCCTTAAATTAATAATTAAATAAATAAATAAATTATGCACACATTTATATTTAAGGATGAATATCATTGATTGGTAATTGTTGAGAAGTTTAGTGAGGGATGCTTACAGAATGAAGTAGGACAACCGCCAGGTGTCGCTACAACCGGTCATGCCACTGTGTTTGAAAAGGTTTTTTGTTAAAAATAGGTTGAATTGTTCGGCTGAAATTTTGCGAAGCATGACGCGAAAGACTAGTGCATTTAATATTTTTACTGTTTGCCCACGGGCCCTTGACCAGCATAAACCTCAATACCTCAACGTACATTTTTAAAAAGTATTTTGACAACTAATATTTTCCTCACATCCATAGTATAGGTATCCGCAAAAAAAAAACATCTGCAGAACTTACAATGTTTCAGTAATATTCTCAGCTTTGTAGCAGTGTCTGTCTATAATAATTTATGCTTAGCAGTTAACATTGTTAACAATATTGTTTTAGAAGCCCATTTCATAAAATGTCTCCTTCATTTTCTATACCTATAGGTACTCTATTATGTTCACGTCTTTAAAATTATTTATTGGCTGCTACGATTTTTTTTTTTTTTAATATTTAAATAAAATGTGAGTATGTAGTTGTTATTTATAGATAAAATTCCACTTTTGTCTTATCATTAAACTACTATTATCAGAATGTACCTAATGTACCTATCAATGTTAGTTCATTAAATAAAAAAAAAAGGTTCAAAACACTCCATATTCAATGTGTAATTGTTTTTGTTATGCGGTTTAGTTTTCCGTACGTATAACCTTGGAAACACGTTCAAATTGATTATAAAAGATAAGATTACTTAACTAACGCCCGGTTCATTTGTTTTCAGATAAACTTGCTGGTAACTATTTCCAAGATAAATTTACTGTTCTATAATTCTATTGGTTGGCGATTAACTGGTCGATCAATGGGATTACAGATTGTGTTTTTATCCGTGCATACCTGACAATTTATCTGAAGGTGAATAAACCGGTCCTTGAATATTGAATACATAGAAAAAAAAGATTAGAGACAACCACACAGTGCATTTCTTTGTAAAAAAAAACTATAGAATAATCTTACTCCAAATGGGGAGATCTTTTGATCAAATTCTGTTCAGCAGCTTTATAATTAAAGTCGTTAAGTAGCAACCATACCATTTCTTGCGTCCATGTGGTACCTGAAAAAATATCAATTTATAAGAATATAGGTAAACATTTTTGCTTCGAGATTTCTTCACATTTATACGTTTTCAGATACCTAGACGCAGATATACAGAGTGTCTCAAAAACTATGCGTCACTAGCAAGACCGATAAATGATACGAAGTTGGTTATATAAGCAAAAAGGTACCGTTTTTGGAGTTTACCACAGATAGGTTTTTTTTTTTTTGGATTTTTTATTCCGTTTCAAGACGTGTTTAAAAATATTTTGTCGTATATTTTCAAACACATAGGTACTTATTTTAGAAGAAAATAAAAGTTTTATTAATATTTATCGAATAAAGGATGGGATGATTTGCCGAAGGAAGTCATGGGTAAAGGCTTCTAACAATTTTTTGTAATGGTATAAACATATATTTTTTAAGTCAAATTATAAAGTGTGATGCATGATCAATTACTGATTTTCAGTAAAAAACAACTCTTTTTTAAATAAAAGACCCTGTATATAATGTGTTCCTAATGAACAGTTACATTAATGTGTCATGGATTCAACACTTCACATATACCTACACAATTTAAATATATTTTTTACGTTCAGTTTTATTTTTTTTGTCTTCTTCATTTGATTGGAATTATGTATTTTCGATAGGTACGTCATTGACTGGCGCGATTTATGGATTTTAAACTTTTCCAGTTTTGATGTGCTTGTAGAAAATTTATTTAACCTCATAGTCTCTGCTCTGGTTTAAAATATTGTGCTTGAATTACGTTCCTGTTTAAATTTCAATGGAGAACCCTTCAGGCGCAATTGGAATGTATTGCATTGGTGCGGAGGAATCTCATTATGCGTTCCAAATAAAGAAGCATTTAGGTGTGATTCTATAGAGATTTCTCGATTTAAAATTTTTGGAAGCGCGTAGTTTGTTAGTTAGTTTAAATAAGATAATTGTTGTATAAAGTTAAGTAAAAACGCTGACTACCTAGTGAATTTTGTGGAGTCAATTTGATGTCAGAAGTGGGATCATTATATTAGCGAGGCAATAGGTGTATAATTTTTAGCTAATTGGTGAAATAATTATCGAAATAACTAGTGGATTGGTTTGAGCTTATTAGGGGGATAATTGGCAAAATAAGTACTAAAGTGATGTGAGCTAATTTAGTGGGGACAGTAAGTGGATCTTTTATTGAACTGGAGTACCTAGTGACTTCATTTCTTTACTAGTAATCGGAGAACAAGTCTACATAGTAATTTTTCTAGAGCATTCCATCTTACCGACTTCAGGAAAAGTTTAAAACTCAACGAGAATGGATTAAAACCGTAATCTCTGAGGAATAAACCAGACTCCAGAAAATCCTTTAAAGGCAAAAATAAGATAATGAATTCACTGAACATGCAAAATTAGCATAACTTTTGTATAAATTATAGTTGTTCTTGGATCGGTTTTATACAGTGCTCATCAGGATGTTGAAACTGTTCACCGGAAAGTTGCAACTATTCATCAGTAATTTTCAACTAATAATAATAATAACGTTAATTATGCAACAAAAAATAAATTACATGAAATGTACATTTTCAGTGCAGGACAAATGCAAGAGAAATCCAAAGAACATAATTGCCCTCTATACATGGCCTTTATATAGGTTTAGTGAAAGCATTTGATTCGGTCAACAAAGAAGCTCTTTGGAAGATATTGGGGAAGGTTGGGTGTCTGCAAAAGTACATCCAGCTGCTCCTCCTGCTGCATAATAATATGAATGCAAGCGTCCTAAGCAACGATGGACAAAGAGATTCTTTCCAAATAACTACAGGGTTAAACTGGGCTGTGTTATTCGAAGCGTTATTTTTACGAATATAACTTGTATAATTACATTTCTTCCTGGCCGCGCGTTTCAATCTGTTGATGTAAAACAAAATGCGGCTGAACTGTTAGTCCAGGAAGGTGGAACTGTTCGTCAGGAAATTGGAGCCTTTCGCCAAGAAATGGATAGTTTTGGGAAGAAACTTAGAGTGTGACCTATGATCAGGAAATGTCTCATCTTCGCATGCAACCGGTACGCGACGTACTATCGTCACTTGGAGACTGTTACAATGGCTAATGGTCGGAGCTGGGACGACATGGCTACAGCTTTTAGAGACTCATACGCCAGTTTCCCAAAAAATTATGGTGAGCTTGTTGATGCTTTAGAACGGTTATGAAAATCAATATCGACGACGAATGCAGGATGCAATGAGGATAGAGGAGCAAGATAACAGAAAGTTGTCGAAAGTTTACAAGAAGATAAAGAACCAACAGGAGAAATTGAAGACACAATGAAGAAACTTCTGGAAGAAATATCAAACGTTGTTACAAGAAAAAATCGAGCGAACTTGAAAGGTGGCACCGAATGTTATACAACTGCGTGAGTGTGGAGGTCGATGCAAACCCTGCTCCAGAACAAATTAGCGTTAAGGAGTTGAAACGGATCAGGAAGAGAGTTTCGAACAGGTTAGAAGTGATCAGTTAGCAATATAGCAAAAAAAATCATTTTTGAAGCTAAAAAAACTAGCTCGACTAGATCACAAACAAACTGGAAAGAAAGAAACATTTTATTTTAAAGCTTCAAACAGTTTTTAGCTGCATGGTCAATCAGAGACAAAAAAACTTGCATTCATTCTGTCACGTGTAGTAAAATATATGGTATCTGTTTTAATCTGGCATATTTTCGCAGTTTAGTTCCAAGCAAATTATAGATACCTACATCGCGAGGTACCTCCTGGATATAACAAATTCCCTAAAGATCGATGGAACGGAAAATGTGCGTGCACGCGTTATCATAATGTTTCCGTGCACAGAAACACTTGACTGACCTAGCAAAATAGCGAACTTGATTTTCGCAGGAAAACATTTATTGGAAATTCAAATATAGGTATACTTTTCGTTCAAAACTCATCATGGATTGTAACACAAACATTTTTTAATAGCCGTAAACGCTTGGTCCCGATTGTACCAAATAGTGGTTCAGTTGCACTTCCCTAGTACTTGATCTTCATTCTCATATAAAATGCATTGTCAGAAATCTGCCAAAGTGTAGATGTTTTGACGGCAACGCATTTCAAATGAGAAAGAAGTACCTACCAGTAGAGTTCAACTGATTTACCATTTGTACAACCGGGCCTTATAAGGAAGCCCCTAACAATGACAATTGCAAGCGATCTGAGTGTTAATTTCTATTTCATATAATAAAATAGCAAGAATCATTCTTTGAAATAATTTGAAAAAAATAATGAATCGCTTACCAGTTTTTGGAAAACTTACTACCCAAACATCTTCCTCATTAACCTTCCAACCACTAACTTTATCTTGTATATCTTTAAACTTTTTAGGCATGAAAACACCATCAATTCTTTTCGACCACTTATTAATAACTTCTAGATCTTCCAGCTCGTGTTCGTGACCCTGCGGTACCGACAGCATTTTTTTATTTTAATTTCGTTTTATTGTAGAAAATCTGTACTTAGTTTGCTTTCAATTGTAAATCCCTAAATAAACTGCAAAATCTACGCTACGAAAGCAATTAAGAAAACGAAAAGGCAAACATTTCCTTGTACAAATGAATTTTTATGCCTGACATTATCATCAAACAATCAGATAACGACAAGAAGGGATCCAAATTTCAAATATGACAATAAATGGATTAGACTGAGAGTACAAATGAGTAACACGAGCGAGTCATTCCTTCAAAAATGCAATTAATTTTTTTTCGGGGGTACCTATTTCTCCTTTAATTTTAATGGTTAAAAACATCGGGATCATTAATTACATTTAAGTTCAATGAAACTTAAGAACAGAGTAGCTGATACGCCAAAGATCCATATAACTCATTCTCGTTCAATAATATTTTATTACATTAAACATGACATGACACGAATACCCCAATATCGACTATTTCTAATGCCAGGAACATCACTTATTGATCAACTACATACTTCTTCTTCTTCTTCCAGTCTGTATAGTCATCCCTTCGTGAATGAATTCCAAATTTTCCCAAGCCCATATCCATCTATCGCAGTATAGATCCAATTGCCTCCTGCGATATTATATTGTATAACATCCTGTCATCGTCTCTGAGGTATCTCTCGGGCGCCAATCCAAAGTGTGTCCACCCGCCTTGATCTTGTTTCGCTATATGGTCAGCCCATCGCCAGTTCAGTTGTGGCACAACCTCAAGCACATCCGTCAGCCTAGTCCACACGATGATAACTCCCTTTCGCTGTCCCTCAAAAAAATCAATTGGTCGTTTATTGGCAGAGATTTTAGAGTAATCTACATATCAAGTCCATATGTGAGCACCAGCAACATACGCACGACCTAAACATTTTTCTTTGAGACTCATAGTCTTGGAAATTAAGAATAAAGCCTTACCTAGCCCGAGAGGCCTATTTTTCTTGAGATCTCGCGGAAGATCCGTTTTCTTTACCAAGTGAATTTTATGTCCTAAGTACTAACCTTGAGCCTGTTTTTGGGCTCTTCGACGGTACTGCCAATCACTTTATGCCAGTTCAACTTTTTGAAGACATCGTCTAGGGTTAGTGTAGATATCTTTGATGAGATTGTTCACCTTGTCTCAATACTCTTCTAATTTGAACGTTTTTTGAGAACCTAAAAAATTCTCATCTATTCTTTGATGGATCCATCATCATAAATTTGTTTTATAAAGCTTGTATTTCTTGGATCTATCTTCGCGTTATCTAGTGATTTCAGAATTGCCCAGCTTCTGCTAATTCACAAGGGCGTGATGGAATATTATACTACGTACCTTGTTCAGTAGGAGTAAGGACGAACCATAATTATCTTTGGCGGAATCCCGCCTGTTCAACTGATTCGTTATTTTTGTTAACAGCTTATACAGATGTAGTAACAATCTGATAGGACGATAGTTTTTATTGTTATGTTTTTTCTTGTCTTGTATATTCGGACGATTTCTGCACATCAGCTTTCAACAGTACGTCTCTTCCAATTTTAATCATTTCATCATTTCACTCATCATTTTTTTGTCCCGGGCTATTTATATTTATCATTTGATAATATGCTGTTTTCAGTTGTCCCGTATCTATATCGGGAACTTCTTCTGATTCTGCATTATCTGGGACTGAATAGATTATTGTAGAAATCTTAGAGAGAAGTTATTATTCCATTTTGGTTGCTAGCTATAATCCCTTTTTTGTTTCTTATTTTGATCACTTTTGACACTCCCATTTGAGAGTTTGGATCATACTTTTGTTGTATTTGATTGTATTTTTGATCAGCTTGATAGGTATTATGATCTTCTCAGATGTTTCTGTTAATCTCCGTGCTAAGTTCTGTATGGTCTTGGTTTTCGTTATCCATTACTTTTCCCAATTTTAATAGATTTTTCTTATGTGGCCCGATTTTGCTGAAGATTTCCTAATGGTTGTAACCTGTACACTGCTCAAGATGTTATCGCAAAGTTGTTTATGTGTATTTTCTTGATTATTTCCTCAGTTCAGTATCCAAGATACATCGGAATGAGTCCTTTTTGTGACTCAGTGCTTGGAAAGTTGGGTATGTTTGTCGTTTTATGTCATTCTCTCGAATCTTGAATTTATTTTTATGGTGGTTCGGACTATATACGGATTGGGTTCGGTAATTGCATCTGCGAGCAAAATGAGCAAAATTTGACAGATGTCACGTGATTTGACACGTGAAAAGATATAAGTGATCACGTGACGTGCGTCAAAATTTGCTCTTTTTGCTCGCAGATGCAATTACCCAACCCAGCCACGGTGATCGCTGTCACGATCAAACCGATTCAAAACGGTGGCATCTAGGCATATTATCGTTTTAGTTGGTTAGAATATAGTCAATTTTGTAACTTAGTAACTTATGAATAACATTTTCTCATATATGTGATAGTTACCACTGATGATGACGAAACAAATCGATTTATTTATATTCGGGCATCCAATAATTTTAGGATCAAGAAAATCTACTGCACCAATATCAAGGCCTATACGAGGTGCGCCTCCACTCTGAGTCAAGAAATTCGTGAACTGTTTCTAAATTGAAAATAACGACGCCATGGGTGCCACTAGAAGCAAAAAATCATAGGTATCTACTAAGATTCTGATCCAATGTAAGTAAAGTTGACATTCTCATTGTAAGTATTTTATTCATCATAAGCTTGCAATCAAGAGAGTGGAAAATTTACATCAGTAATATTCGCGTGATCCAACTCGACACGAAGTCTAACTACTAACTACCCCGATTTGATCTGAATTCATTTATTATGGACCAAGTGTCTTAATACTTGCTTCTTGTAGGACAAATTGCATTTTTCCTAGGTTTCCTGGAAAGCCTATCACCTTTATTAGGTGACGTCTTTTTTCACATCCTCTGTCCTCTGTCAGAAGTTTTTGAATTGTGATGACAGTAACCAAACCTTTCTGGAAGAATGGTTCGTGAAGATAAAAAAAGTGACAATCACGATTAATTTTTTAATCCATATATTGAATAATTTTACTACATAAGCGGGTTATCCATTTCAATTTTGAGCTACGATAAACGAGATAAGCGCTCCGCTGTAAAAATATCATATTATTGTTACCTACTTAATACCAGTCTAATTAATTACTTCCATCAAATATGAGTAAAGGTAGGGACACCATAATAAATGAAGAATGTCAAATCCTAACTGCTAAATGTAATTATTTTTTTTTTATAAGTATTTTTGAAATGTGAAAATAAAATTGAGGCTTGTCACAACAGAAATTGTTTAAACTTTGGTAGGTGCGTACTTCCTGTATCTACGTTGCGAAAAGAAGGTCTTGCTCAATTTTTGAAAATACATACACATCATACATCGTTCATATTGTTTAGGAATTATGAGGCTGTTTATTATGTTTCTTTTTTTATTTTTGTGAAATAAAATTCAAAGCTAAGTTCAAAAAATATAAAATTGCATTGTCATGTGTTTACTGATAGCTTATTTAATCGGTTAGTGTCAGTGACATTTTATTTGGGTTGCTTAAGTTGATTTAATTTCTAGTTGAAAAAAAAAGTGTTGGTCTTTCTAAATTTGAAATGAGTTTTTATTTTAAATTTTTCAACTTGGATGCAAAAGGTGGTGAAAAATTAGGTATCTACTACACAATAATAAACTTCGCACCTTATTTGACATTTCTTGAAATTGCAATGACCTAGGTAATTCTTAATTTTATATTAACATAAACTTATAAAACCAATATAGTTACTATAAAACAAAGGTAACACTTTTAAAAAAAATTAAAACTATGTACTTGCTTATTACTAGTTGCTGTTTCATGTTTTGAATTAAAATTTAGTAAAATGTGAAATCCGTATTAATAGTATTTTTTTCAATCCATTTATCAAATTTTTCCACCATCTCAGAAGTCATTGCTGCCTTATAACCACCCACAGATCCCGATCTCATAAATTCACCTGTCGACTCAGTGAGTTTGAATTTTTTATTCATTTCAGTGACCATTTCGTAATTTACCGAAGGATTATTTTTCATGCTTTCAAAACTAAGATGGCTGGCTAAAATATCAATTTCTTTTTCGTCGAAATTCTTCCCCAAAAAATTGGCAGTTCTTTTGATGACTGCAGGAAGGTCTTTTTTCATTTCTTCGTATGTTAGGAAGAGGATGTTATCTTGGTGTCTTCGGTTCCAAAATTGATGCACGTGATTCCAATAGGGAGCAAACGATACTGACAGGAAAATTATTTTTTTTTTTAACAGAAAAAATAAACGGAAACAAAATTAAACTCACGCTTTCCTGCCAAAAACAATTTGCAGAAATCTTCAAAATTGCCAGTATATCCTTCCAATATTTTAGCATGGTGATAGTAAGAAGTGCACGTATCTTTTGGATTTCTGCTGATATAGATAATCTGCGAAAGAAAAAACCTATTTATCGAATAATTAGATACCTACCTATTGCTTATTAGTCATAAGAAATTATTTTATATTGATAAAGTTACCACATATTTCTTATTTTACAATTGAAAAATTCAACTACCTATGTCGTTACGTTACCTTTGGTTTTTTGCGTCCTGTCTGTATGTCTTTGGGCAAAAGGTTGAAGGGTAGATGAGATTTTAGGCAAACTGGGCTTTCCTGATTTTTCACAAATTCCAAAGAATCTTGCAAAAATGGTGGTGGCTCAAAACCCTTGATGTCTTGCATTAGCTGTCTGAAGTCAAACAGGGCGGAAACTCTAAAATATGAAAAGTAAGTCTTTTGAGAAGCATACCCAATCGACCAAAACTTAAGGAATCACCAGCTAAAAAAAATGTTTGAGGGAGATATGCAATGTTTTGGACTTCCATTGTCTCTCACTTATAATTCACGAAAAAATGTTCCCCAGAGCTGCTTTATACTCAGGGCCGTGCTAAGCACGCGCGGGCCCCAGTACAGCTATTCCGACGGGCCCCCTTAAAGGGGGTCCCAAACTTTTTTGAGTGTCACGAACTCACGAATGCCCAAATTTTTACCCAAAAGTCGTTAAAAAAAACATGCCTCGGGTATAATTTTCTTGAATGTCACGTGGTTTGAATTGCCTAATATTCTATGAATTCAATGACTTGTCAAATTCGTTATCAAGATCAAAAGTATCGGCCCATGATTCAAAATTCTAATTAAATATAATCTCCGGTTAAATTTAAAGTTGGTGTTAAATGATGGTTTATGAATGTAACGGGTTTGCTTTTAAATTAAATGTCTAGGTTTTACAGCCTGTTAAAGTTGCAAAAATAGTATATTATTCGACGAGCGGGTAATGATGGCTATTACTCACGAAGGATGAAGTTTGCACTACGAGCCGCAGGCGAGTAGTGTAATCATCCGAGTGAGTGAGTATTAGCCATTACCTACGAGTTGAATACTAGATATACTTTTTCTGTGATTACTAGATGGGTATTGTGAATAGCACGAGATGCTATTTTTTATTTAATTCTCCTAACAAAATTAATTGACAATTCTGACAGCAGGAGGACAAAGTAAGGTTAGGTTAGCACAAGTCTTGTCCAAATCAGCTGTCAAAATGACCGATTGGAAGGTTGAAGTATGTTGTATCTCTGAGTATGTTGTCAACTTGTCGAAATTTCTGATTGGCTCTTAAATAGTGGACTACTGAGACCAGGATATTTTCATTGGTTGAAAACAATCAAGTAATGAAAAAAAAAACTCACTGTTTAAGTAATCATTCAAATTGATCAATAGAAAATGGATGTATATTACGCATATTATTCAATACTCATAGAAAAAAGTTAATTTTCAACTGATGTCAATATTTCCAAAACACTCAAAACAGATGATAGGGTATATCACATGAAATCTGCACAGAATTTTACATAGAATCCGAATATTCAATAATACCTATATAAGGGTCGAGTATAGGGTATTCCATTCAAATAAAGGGAGTTTGACCATGACCAGCTTTTCTGAAACACTCTGGGTATATTGAAAAAAAAAAAATAGTTTCAACCATAAAACTTTTCTTTCGAGATGGCGGGCGGGCCCCTACGGAACCCGGGCCCTGGTAATTTGTACCGGCCGCACCCCCCTATGCACGGCCCTGTTTATACTAAATAGAAGATTACCTCAATTACCTATGTCTTTATGCAGTTTATTTTCTCTAAATTCCAAAAAATAACACTGGCACATATCACCTGAGGCCACGTGGATATACGTTTTCCTTATTTGTCTTATCCACTATAAGTAATCACATGAAAAAATAGTGCAACAATTTTCTCAAAAAATAATTTGTTAGAGCTATTTCTTAACGCCCACTCAGTCTATTTACTTCCCCTCAATCCCCTCGAATAGTGAAAATATATAATCGAATGATCGCCTCGGTCTTAATCTTATAGACAGCCTTTGCGATTATGAAAAAAGTTATTCTCAGTCTTTATTTAATGATCTAAGAGACCGAGTTGACAGCGAATGTGTGCCTGCATATTGTTTTTTCACACTGAATGTCGCTGAAGCTTCCACGATGGAGTATCAGTATCAACAAACCTGGTCTGATCGTCGTCGTATATATTCAGATCTGCTTTAATTTCGTTAGAATGAAATCCTCCATGAATTCTCAGCCATAAAACTATCGAATGCGGTTAGGTCTACTTTTAACTATACCGGCCGGACACTCATAAACCCCTTCATGACTGGCTTTCCAGGAGTACCTATACTATTCTTTGCCTATACCTACGGTAATGGAGACCATACTTTCTGAAGTCTGAGTCATTTCTCAGGACCCAGGAAGATTCTAGAGTACTATTATAGAATACTGAAGTGTCCCAAAAAAAGATTAAAAACTAAAAAAGTCGTAATTTTTACCAATTTTCGATTGTAGTCTCTATATACGACTGCTTGTGCCACTTTGGAAATATCTGTAAATGCTAGCTACTATCACTAGCGACCAACCAAGGTTTGTGTAATGCCCCGCTATACTGATAGTAGCTATTAGCATTTGCAGATATTTCCAAAGTCGCACAATTAGCTATGTTCCTGGGTCATCCCTCAGTTCATCCATACTTTTTCCATTACCGCACTCTTGGAAAGCCAGTCATAAAAGGATTTATGAGAATCCGGCCGGCATAGTTAAAATTAAGCCTAACCGCGGTTGTTAGTTTTATGGCTAAGATTTTATGGATAACTTCATTCTAGCTCTAATTTCTCCAAACATCAGAAGGAGTGCGAGAATTCCGATAGTCTTCAATCTCACGTTATCAGAGAATATTTTAGAGGGAGAATTGTACCCGGAGAGTTAAAGCCGGTTCACCAAAAAATGGTAAGTTGAGTCATTTACCGGAAGCTTGTATCATTTGAAGTTAATTATCAATAAAACATTTTGTCAAGTGCAGGGACAGCCAGGAACAGACATTAGAATAAACATCAAATAAATTTTTATAAAGTTGCCACTTACTCTAAAAAGGGCGACCTGGCTCCTAAATTAACTTGCCCTTTTTCAAAATTGAAGTTGTTCATCATCATCCAAACCATTTCCTGAGTCCAGGTTGTACCTGAAATATGAAAAACGGTTTTTCAATAACGCAAACATAATCTCGCCCGTTTTTAGGTTCAGATCCACCAATGAATCAAGAATTGATGGAACAAATAATTAATAATTAACTACTTGATTACCCAATCAAATGGTGAATGGAGCTAGAGTTAGTGATGAAGACTCGTCAGAGTCAGAAAAGCTTCCTAATCATTTGAGAGCGAAACATCATTTTTTCAAACTTCAAAATTAAATTAGCTGGGATATGCTTCTATTAGATCTTAATTTAAATTATTAGGTACGTTATCGCTCTCCTATACTACGGACTAGATCATTTATGCGCCTAGGCATGCTTCGTGGATATTTTGGATATCTTGAATAATTTGTTAGCATTCTGGGATTATTAGAAATAGTGTAACGTTCCAATTTTTTATTTTATTTTTTTTCAAAGATGTTCTATCGTATTCACTTTCTTTTTTGCTGGCAATTGAATGGTAGTACCTATACAGCTTTATTAATCAAGTACCTAAGTCTATATAGCCATAAGTGGAGCAAACATAAACAAGACATAGTAGACGTAGTTTTCCTCATCTCAAGAATTTGTGTAGCGTCTGTTTTTAAGAATAATATTGACTTTCTGGATCAGAAGTAGGTACGACGTATCCCAGCAATCTTTTTCTTACAGGTTTTACCCTGCTCGACAAATTTCTCTTTTTTTCAGTTTTTTGGCGATGTTATGCCGGTTTCCTTTAGGTTCAACAATGATTTGATATCACTAAGCTGTTCAGAATCGATTCTTGATCCGTTTCGAATCGGAGGCTTCTAACCAGGAACTCCTTCACGCTGATAAATTCTGAAGCAGTGCTTGCACTGCACTGAACTGGGCATGTTATCCTGAATAAGACATTTGCGCTGTTCTGCAGTTTACTACAACCTACAAACGTGTTTGACTTGAAAATTCTACTGTTGTAACTTTTCCATTGCCGAGAGTCACCAGAAGGAGAGCCGTACTCTGAAGTCGTGTTTGAAGTCCTATTCTTCCGTAGTAGGTAGCAATAACATTCGGTGCTCCCTTCCAAGTTCCCTTGATTGCATTTGGTACCTACCAACCTTTCGTATTTCTCCCAGAAATTTATTCATTGTGTCTTCAATTTCTTCTATTGGTTCTTTATTTTCTTCTGTTGATAAAGCTCTGATTTTTGGTTCGGATTTCTTATAGACTGCTCCGATTTCTAGAGCTTTGATTCAAGCCTCGTTGCTACTTGGCATTATGGGAGAGTTGTTAAGGCTCAGTTTATACTATCTTTATTTATTGATTATCGTTGACAGAGCACTCAACTCTAAGGATAACATTATATGTGCAATTGACAAATTAGCAAAGAAACATTAATTTCTTGTATACAGTGTCAAGATTTTTGAAACAGTGGTCGAGGATGACGGTTTTCAATACTTTGGTGATGCCCCACTTAGTGTATGGTTCAACTGTGCCATATCTGGTGACCGAGAATGAAATCAATGGATTCCAAAAATTACAAAATATATCCATGAGGATAATTTTGGGAGTAGGGAGAGATACACCAATAGAATTAATGTTAAAAGAGTTAAAGTGGCTTTCTATAGGAAAAGTTTTTGAAATTTCAACTGTTAGTGCTTATTTACAAAATGAAAAAAAGGCTAGCGCTAAACCACTAAACTAATAGACTGGTCACTAACAAAATAATTTATGGATATCCAACACGGAATATAGAGCCAGGTTGACACGGTCCAAGTCTACTTGGATCAAGTACACTTGGAAGTTGCGCGTGCCTTACTGGGACGATACTCGGATCGTATCAACTGTTTATTTAAGTCCAGTTGGAGAGGTCCTAACATCCAAGTAAGTAGGCAGGCTGCCAACTCACTTGGTCCAAGATCTCATCCAAGTGCACTTGGACCGTGTCAACCTGGCTTAAGGATAACTTTCATGTTAGGAAAAAAAAATAAAGTTGTTCAGAAAGGGCAGTCTATCATAATGTAATGTCTTTTGAAAAGAAATTAGAGGTTCAAAAACTTGTTGTTACTATGAAAAGTTGTTTTAATAAAAATACTTATGTGCACACACCTGACTGTGCGCAAAACGTTTTGCACATGGCTGACTGTGCGCCAAAACTGCTTTCCATTCAAACGTAATATGGTGTTTTTTTGGAAGATTTTTATAGTCATTTCACAAAAAAGTATCACAATTAACCAATAAGACAGAAACCCCTTAAATCTATGTACCTATATATAAGAATGTGTATGGTATGCGGGTACATATTATATAATGGTCATACCTATGAAATGCACTCGCCATTTCCACCATTGGACTATGACTGAGTACAAGAAATCTAAAATAAAAACTTCAGAAAAAATGTTTTTTTTTTAAGTTGTAACTTATTGGGGTAGGTTTACATAATACACCTGGCAGATTTTATCAAATTTGAAAATTTATTTTTTATTAGTGAGGAGGATGAAGGGGTCACGGAAAAAGCTGTAACGTGAGGCCCGAAATTCCTCCTAGTTACGCCACTGGGGTTTCCGACGCTATTCTAAGCACCGGTATTCTAGAACTGTCATCACAAAATTTTAATAAAAATCAAAATAGTGTAGTAGTAATGCGTTTATTATTTTGCAAAAGTGTCATTGAGTGATAAATCTATTGAGTTAAAGTTAAATAAAAGGGATATTCGAAAAATTTTACCTGTTTTTGGAAAACTACAAATCCACACATCTGCCTCGTTAACGTCCCAATTTAAAATTTCCTCCTGCATTTCTCTGAACCTCAAAGGCATCGTAACCCCGTCCACTGTGATATGCCCCTTTCGAAAACTGTTTGTGAAATGTTTCTCCAATATATACTCCAATCTATCGTTTTCCATTGATTCAATTGTATCGACAACCATTTTTTTAAATAGTTGAACCAAAGTTTAAATCAAAAATCACAAGTCAATACTAGGAAGTAACGCGGTCCACCCAATTATGCGTTAAACACAATCTTGTTTTTCTAAACTAGAATCAATTTATAGTGTGTAACTATTACCCCTACTCGTCCTTTAGTTGGTTATTGGGAAAGGATATCGATTCGAATTTAATAATAATTATAAATTTGTTTTTTTTTAATTTATTTTTTGCCACAGTAATAGGTAAGATTTTAATTAAATTTTTTTTAAAATGGGATTTTTTGGTTTTGCTCATGCTAGTTTGAAAAACAAACGGCATAAGTTTTAGCCTTCCACCATAAATATTATCGAAAAATGGAAACGAAAATTCCTGGCGCAATAGGTTCACAAGAAACAAAAAAGGGTGGAACCTATATTTCAATCATTATCTGTGTTCTGAAGTCCAAATAAATGTTGCAGCACTCATATTGTTAGGCCGTATTGTGGATCAGAGCTTCTCTGCTACTTGATGGTTTGGTTATAAGTAGCATTCTCTGTACATCCATATCTATATTCTCTAATTATTAGGTTATTGAAATTTCCGGCCGCTAGTTACTTTCGCTTGTCCTTTTTCCGGTAAGCCAAGTTTACCAGACGGCGGATATTGGTTTCAAATTGTTGTAAACTTTTCACAGCTTTCTTTTGTCTTGTTTCATAACGAGGCTTTAACGCATCAACAAGCGCACCATAGTTTTGTAGGGAAGCTGGCGGAAGAGTCTCTAATAGGCACGACCACGCAATGCTACCGACCATTAGCAATTGCATCAGAACTGACGCATGTTCATCACCCACGGTGTCTGACCGTCCATCGTATATGGTGGTGGTTTAACTTTAATTCCGGCTGCAGGCGAAGCTGATACATTTCCTGATCAAAAGTCACATTCCAAGTAAGTACCGTAAATTTACTTTGGCACCGGAGGTAACTTAGGGTTAACTCCGATCATTTCATGTCCTTGTAAAGATATGTTTTACTTCCGTGGGTTAGAGGACAGGACCAACAAAGAAGAAACTATCAGGCTTTCGGCAACGTTTCGGAATATATTTTTCCTTTCTCAAGCCTTAAACTACTGAAGTCCGTTCAGGATTCAGGATCAATTTTTCCCAAAAAATTCGTTATTTTAAATTTGCTAAAATTGCCGCTATATCCCTAAAATATGTTGAGAGGTGCCTTTGTCCATGCTGGACGGACTCCAGAAACAGTAGTTTAAGGCTTGAGAAAGGAAAAATATATTCCGAAACGTTGCCGAAAGCTTGATAGTTTCTTCTTTTTTGGTCCTGTCCTCTAACCCACGAAAGTAAATCATATTAGAGTTAAGTTGTTATTTTTGAATAAAGCAGTCCATTTTTATACAAAAACGTTTTTAACAAAGACAAGTTTATGTTTTTTTTTTTAAGAAAAATGGTAAAAATCCAGAAGGGAATCAGAAACGGTGCCAAAAAAAAACTTTTAGAGCAATCTACTTATAATATAATAATATGTGTGAATAAAATCCAAAAAAGACCAACAATTTGATATTACATAAACAAACTTGGTATTTATCAGTTCACGCAACCGAGCGCTCGCTGTAGTTCAAAAACCCTATAACTATAAATTAATCTGCAGAAATTTTCAATTTCAGTGATAAAAACAACTACATATAAGAGAAAGTGTAAATCTGCTATTTGGACCGTCGACATCCGGTGAAATTGCAAACCTGATGCATATTACAACTGCATACTTTAGTTCACTTGCATCAGTAGGTGAGCCAAGTATCTTGGTCAAATAAGATAATGTCGGAAGGAGTATTTGTTCTGAAAGGATTCGATAATAATTGCGGTAAAAATCAAGATTCCAATGATGATTCGAATGGAACGAGGCTTGGGAAATGCTTGTTACCTCCTTATTTTGATAATTTTCATCAAAAAATATTGGATGCCTCTGTAAGAGAGGACGATATATGGCTAGTAAGTTTTCCGAGAACAGGTAAGTCGATTTTTCATTATGTTCAAGTTTTAATGAAGGGTTAGTTTCCTTTATTTAAATTGAACGAGCACTTCGTTTATTTTTTTAAATAAAGGATCCTATGTTTATCCCCTTTATACAACCTAATATTTTAATTAGGTAGGTATAGGTATTTTAAAATTTAGACACAGAAGAGGATCATTTTTAATTATCCGATGCAGATATCTCCTAAATTTTTCGAATTTCAATTTTTTTTTGAAATCAACAGTTTTGTATTTTTTTCATATCAAGCGTTTCTGATATTTATAAAAATAAAGCAATACTAGTTTGAAGGATGCGATTGGGGTTAAAAAAAAACTCATATGATAATTTATCACTACACAACTTTACTTCCTCCTTTTATATTTAAATTTTCCCAAAGTCTATGTCTCTATTTAGAAACTCAAATACAACGTTCTCCATAATACCTACATATTATTCCTATTCTAGGCTCGACCTGGTGTCAAGAAATGATTTGGTTAATTAGAAATAATTTAGATTTTGAAACCGCTCAAACTACAATACAGCAACTTAGAGCTCCACTTATAGAGTGAGTGCTAATAAATATTCGTAATTTGGGATTTCATTGGATTTCATGATCATCTTAAAAAGATCTTTAAAATTTATATTTACAGATCCTCTATCGTCTTATTCGAATACATTGATTCAATCCCTATTAAGGATGATATGACAATTCCTAGATTTTCACGAATGAATTTACCTTTGGACCTTTTGCCAAGCCCATTGCAAAAAGAAAAGTCCAAGTTAGCCAGTTTGTTCACCGATTCTGTCAGCTTTGTTGAGGACTTACCTTCACCGCGGTGCGTAAAGAGTCATTTACCTCTTGAACTTTTACCTGAAGAAATACTAAAAAAGAAACCAAAAGTAAGTATATGAATGAAAATGAGGCAGCAGTCAGAATTCTTTCAAATAGACACGAATTCACTCATTTGAAATAATTCAATGAGCTCATTTCTGGCTATTTTTAAATACATATTCTGATTGTTGCAGATTTCTTCCTCTTATGCCATGAAACAGATTTTATGATGCATGATTTTTTTTAGATGATTTACACAATGAGAAACCCAAAAGACTTATGCATCTCATATTACTTCCACTGCCAAATGATTCATAAAATATACGTAGAATTTGATATTTTCTGCGATTGGTTCCTGAACGGTCTTCTTCCTATTGGTTCTATTTTCGATCATTATTTTAGTTTTTGGAACAAGCGTGACGACTTAAATATTTTGATAATAAACTATGAAGACATGAAAATTGATACCAAAGAAACCGTAAAAAGGATTGCTAGTTTCATGGAGAGAAGTTTGTCTGACGAAGATGTCGATAATATTTGTGAATTTTTAAGTTTTCAAAATATGAGAGATAATAAAGCTTGCAATTTACAGGTAAATATTAATTTTTTAATTACTAAATTTCAAAAAAAAATGCTCCTGATGAGTAAAGGGTGCATTTTCAGAATTTTATAGGGCACTCTACTAGTAACATTGCCATCTATACTACTATAGAATATTCAGAATCCGTAACCCATATATTGGACTACTAAAATAGAAACTATAACTAAGAATGAATAAATGAATACTTACCTTCAATAACTCAAACTGCATGTATTCCCCTTTAACCCCCTAACGCTTCCTGCATCAACCCCTTCTCCTATTTTTTTATAGTTTTCTTGCCGTAGTAACTAATAGGCTGTTCCACTGTTATAATCCTTTTTTATTATTTTTAAATAGATTCTAGTTGACAACAGACAAGGGAATGATTTTTACAACAAATCTGGCATACATTTCATTAGAAAGGGCATAGTTGGCGATTATATAAACTACATGTCCCCTGAAATGATAGAAAAGTTTGACAAATGGATAGAAAAAAACACCAGAGGCACAGATCTTAAATTTTAGAATCTAATTATGTACCGGGATATTCACTAGGTATATTTTGACCACCCCCTCTCACTCTTTATCTTTCAGGTTAATAAAAAAAACTTTGATGCAAATTGCAAAAGCTATTTGAATGGGTGATTGGAAAAAGGATAAAATTCCAAAAATATGGTGAATTAAAGTGAGATAGCCGTTTTATTCTAATTTCTCTTATCTTCCCGCTGAGCGCAAAAACGATAAAATCGCCGGCCCGCTTCATATCATAATTTGATTTGTGAGTGGAAAAAGGATAATATTCCTGAAATTGTATCGTTTTTCCACGGATGAGAACTTCGCGCTATATCAGAGCACCGAGCATCTGAGTTTTTAAAATGTTGTTTTCTTCAATAAATACTACTTCTTTATAAATGTCGACTTTTTCTTTTTTTTTTAAATTTTTTTTGCATTTTGAGTGGAAAAAGGATGAAATTTTCATTTTGAGTGGAAAAACGATACAATTTTTGTACTTTCAAATACCAGTAGCTAGTTACCAGCAGAGCTGGGATCGTAACTTGAAAAAAGTAATGCGTTACTTTACAGTAACTTTTGCTTGAAAATAACTCGTTACTTAAAATTTACAGTTACTTTCGAATAATGATAACTTTATTTTCGTTACTTATTGGAAAGTAACGCGTTACTGTAACTTCTCTACTTTGAAAGTAACTTCTTTACTTTAGAAGTAGTTCGTTACTTAAAATTAACTCGTTATTTGAAAGTAATCCGTTACCTGAACGCGTTAGCTTGAAATAAAGCGCTAGTTTTAAATAAAGCGTTACTTTTAAAGTAACGCGTTACTTCAAAAATAACTATTTACGTCGAAAATTGCGTTATTCCTTAATTTGACTCACCAACACAGCAGTCCAAACAATAGACACTTTAAGCAAACTCTAAATTTTTCTACGTATCCGTATCCGCATCCGTAAACGCATCGACTTACGTTGACCGCCTAAAAGTCCTTTTAGCATAGCCATACATTACGTAAACGATCGTATCCTTGGATGAAACGTTTTCTAACCTCAAAAAGTGTTGTATTGATTTTGTAGTTGTATTTGTAGGTTTTCTTTTTATCTACAAGTACTTTGTTTATGTTGTTAAAGATATTTTAGTGATAACCGACAAGAAGATCCCTCAATAGTGTCAAAAGATTGAGATATGTTTTCAGATACGGATACGAGGCGAGGCCCGTAACGATACGCATAAGGCAACGCAACGAACCCACCGTATCTACTCTGCACATGCGCAGATCGATGCGGATACGGATACGTTTGAAATTCAGGACCTGCTTAAAGTGTCTAATCAAACAAGACCTATACGAAATGCCAATAGGTTTTTAGTTTGTGAGTCCGACTATGTGGAAGAGTTTTGTTGCAAAATTCAAACGGATTAAGGATTAAGGATTAAGCGACTAAATAGAGAACTTGGTTTCGGACAAACCTGCTTTTTGAAGCGTCCCAGTGTCTGCATATAGTGTCTTTAGAGCAGAGGCGGCGCGTGCCACGCCCAAAAACGATTATTTTGAGCTTTCAAAACAAATTTTTTCTACTACCGTGCGTAAAGTACTCACTTTACGCACTATTTAGAAGATGTAAAATTTCTCTTCACGCACTAGTATGCCTAAAGTGATTCACTTCACACACTAGTGCGTAAAGTAATGTCAATGACAGATGTTGACATTGTCAATTTAGTATTTTTCTGGTAAATTACTTCACGCACTAGTGTGTAAAGTGAAAATACTTCACGCACTAGTGCGTAAACTATTTGTCTAAATTTATTCTTTTACACATATTTGATTGGTAGTAGAAAAAAAGTTGTATGCAATACGTGCGTAAAGCACCTATTTTCACTCATGTGATTGTCGCACTCGCTTTGGCTCGTGCGTCAAAATTCACATTTGTGAAAAAAGGTTCACTTTACACACTTGTTGCATAAATAACTATTCTGTATTACCCACATTTTATTTGACATACAAAGTTTTTGGATTACTTATTTTCCTTTTCCTCAATCGTCAATTATTTGTAAAGAAGATAAACAAATTGAGAGAACGCGTTACTTTCATAGTAACTAGTCACGCGTTACTTCCATAAAAACGCGTTATTTTCATAGTAACGCGCTACTTTCATAGTAACTCGTTACTTTAACAAAATAACGATCTGCAGTTACTTCAGGAAAGTAACATCGTTACAGTTACTTATCAATCAATCTGAAAAGTAACGAAGTTACCAAGTAACGCGTTACTTTCAGTAACTCGTTAAAGTAAAGTAACTATTTTTACTGTGTTACTCCCAGCTCTGGTTACCAGATAGGTATAAACCGGTGAAACTTTGGCATCAAATGTACTTTGTCAAAGTGTACAATTGGCCAATAGTAATGATATTTGTAAAATTACCGGTTTCGCCGCAAAAACGTTTTTTTTTTATTTCCCAAAAGTAAGGCTTACTGCAATTTTATCCTTTTTCCAATCACCCACTCATTTGATCTAATCAAAATTTTTCAAATTCGGTAATATTATTTATCTAGGGTGTCCCAGAGGCAATTCGCAGCGCGTAACTTGAAATTTTTGAATGGGACACCCTGATGTATTTTATTTAATTTTCAGGATTCTACGTTAAATTCAGACAAATCTAAGTATACCATCTGTGCATATACTATATCCATATAAATTTTTTGGTCTTAGAATGAGTTTTTCTACAGGCTATAAAAGTCCTGCTAGAAAAAACGGAATAGATAATAGATCTATCTCAAATAGATTTGTCTTAAAACTTAGCTTAGAATCTAAAAATCAAATAAAATACGGGGACGAGGACCATTCATAAGTTTCAAGTTGAGAGCCCTCTACTGAAAAATTTTGTTTAAACCAAACAACTTTTGTATTGATTTTTTTTTTAATTATCCTGAAAGAAAAAGAGTTAGAGGGGAGGGTCAAAATATAGTGGATATCCCTAAAATGCAATATTCATTACCTATATAATTTTATTATTTCCCATTATAAGCAATCATTTACAAAATAAATATGTTACCTATATTTCTATTATATTTAATGTTTTTTAATTTGAGATTTTCTTGTTGTATACCTACCTATATAACACCCATTAAAAAATTGTTTATAGTTATTTATAAAATAAAGTTGTTTAATCATTGTATTTTATCTTATATTTCCGCTCATGTTGATTGAAATTTCCCTAAAAAATATAATAATTCATAATCGAGATCGTTGAAGCGAATTATTGATACTTTTTGTTCTGAATTTCTGCTCTTCAAGTCAAGGTTGCTTATATTTTTATTTATTATGCAATAATTTGTTCGCACCTATTTTGCCGTTCACGGTTGTTAGACTAAAAACTTATTGTGACAAATAATTATTACAGCTAATGGTGAATTAAAAAAAAAAAGTACTTAATTATATTATTTCAAAGTTTCTCACGTGTTTACCGGCTCATAATTATCTCCATCTGATTTTGGAACCTTTTTATTGAAATTTAAATAAGCAATTTAAGTTAAGTTGAAACTCACATACCAACCGACTCTAAGTAAATAGGCAATTTTATATAAAGAATTAGATCAGCTCCATCCTCGGATTCAACTAGGGAGTCTATGAGGGTAGTTGAACAGCTCGTGGGTCAATTCTCTTTTCGTATTCTTTTGCCATTTTGCGGTATATCGCGGTTGGATACATTTCTTGTGGATCGTTATAATACAACATATTATTATAATAACAACCATGAAGATATACAGGGTGTCCCACCGGGAACCACATCGATCAATATGTGAAAAACTGTATGCAGAAAATTTTTGAAAATTTGACAGTACCTATAGTATCGTCAATGGGGGCAACCCGGCTAAAATATTTTCAAAATGGTGGCACTTCCGGTTATGCCGGAAGTAGACATCAACTTGCTTATTTTAAATGAGACTTCCTGTATATGATTGCATATTTGGATTCTACGTAAAATTCTGAGCAGATTTCATGTGATATACAGGGTGTATATTTTAAGTGATACCACTATTGGTATATCCAAAACGGTAAGAGCTACCAGGTCGGTTAAATTAGAAAAAAGTTGCCTTTTTTTATGCCTATTCAGGACTCGTTTACAGTGTTGCTAAATTCCTTCTAGTTTATGAAATACAGGGTGAGGTCCAAGAGACGCCTAAAAATATTTCCTCAATTATTTCGAAAACTATTGATTTTCGAGACACAATTTAAATTTGAAAGTTTTATAATTTTTTTCGTTAAAAAGGGAATAAAGGGCACTTTCTGACAATGACATAAAAAATCCAGGTCCGTATTCAAAAAAATGAAGTTGATGATAATAGCTAGTTAACGAAACGTCGGATTTGAAATTTGAAGATGCTATGCTGTAGAGCAAAAAAAAAATTATAAAACTTTCAAATTTAAATCATGTCTCGAAAATCAATAGTTTTCAAAATAATTGAGGAAATATTTTTAAGTGTTTCTTAGAAATCACCCTGTATTTCATAAAGTAAAAGGAATTTGTTAACACTGTAAACGAGTCCTTAATGAGCATAAAAAAAAGCAACTTTTTTCTAATTTAACCGACTTTGTAGCTCTTACCGTTTCAGATATAGCAATAGTGGTATCACTTAAAATATACACCCTGTATAGGTACCCTATATACCTAAGTTCAACTGTTTTGGAAATATAGTCGAAAATTGACTTTTTGCAACTTTGACAGGCTGTAAAACCTAAATGGTTAATTTTAGAGGAAAACCGATTTCACATTCATGTCTTAAATTTTCATAAGCTATCATTTGACACCAACTTTGAATTCAATCCATGATTAAAAATTCCAATTAAATTTAATCTCCGGTTAAATTCAAAGTTGGTGTCAAATGATAGTTTATGAAAATCTAAGATAGGAATGTGAAATCGGTTTTGCTCAAAAATTAACCGTTTATGTTTTACAGCCTGTCAAAGTTGCGAAAAGTCAATTTTCGACTGTCAATATTTCCAAAACAGTTGAACTTAGATATGGGGTGTATCACATGAAATCTGCTCAAAATTTCACGTAGAATCCAAATATGCAATCATATAAAGGGTGTCTCATTCAAAATAAGCAAGTTGACTACTTCCGGTATAACTGGAAGTGCCACCATAAAAATATTTCAGCCGAGTTGCCCCCATTGACATTAGTATACTGTCAAATTTTCAAAAATTTTCTGGATACAGTTTTTCACATATGGATCGATGTGGGACACCCTGTATAAGGATGGCTCACTTACTTGAATAATGATACGCAAAAATTTCAGCTGAATGAAGGTTTGCTTGAATTTGTTTTGTTAAATTAGTGAAGTCATCTAACTAGATGTGCACTGCTAAGCTTGTCCAACTGATCCCGGTGTAACTTGACTACTCGGATATCCCTTTGGAATTTGGTATCTCCAATACATTCTTTGGATCTTTTTTGGGGCAAGCATTGGAGTGTGAAAGTTTCTCCCTTTAGCATTAGATACAACTAAGAATTGATTGATTAAAATTTTCCGGTTGATTATAGGTCAGGTGATTATTAATTGTTTTTTGGCAGTTTTACGTTGGCAGATCCAGTCTAGTAGTGCAATTTCGCCAAGGACTGTTATTGTCGTTTTTCTCGACTCGAGCTTTTCTTGTTTGCAAAGATGAAATTTGGTGGTTATTTCCAAGCAGGCCTCGAATTTGGGATGCAATCCGAATTTCATGAAATAATTTGTTGAGGTTAAAGCAGCCCTAAATAAACTATGGTATTCATGAAGGATGCAAAATTTGACCATTGCCCCCCACCTTTCTGTAAAGTATAGAGGAGTTCTTTGTAAAAATCATTCATTTTGTTTATGCTAATATGCTGGGAAGAGTATGGTTCTTGTTCCTAATTATACAGCCTAGAATTAAACGACCCCTTGGAGTCTTGAGATTCAACGCGCATCTTTTCAGCGCACGCCGCCATTTTATTATACAAAGCTCGAGTTAGCCTGCTGATTGTTTTTGTAGATGCTGTCCTAAAGTTCTCTCCACTAAGCAGAACAATCTTTATTGAAAAAAATGACTCCAAAAAGTTTACTAATCATCTCTTATCGCTTGTATTTTACTTTATACAACAATTCTCATGCCTATTTAATAAACTGATTGCAACTTACAAACTGTGTGCATTACATACAAAGTCAATCACCCGCGAAAATACTTATGATTTCTCGTAAATTCTTGTTCACTCAAATTACACAATGGGAACAAATATTCGAGCTTGGATCATGCACAGTGGCGTCAGCATTTCCATAAAATGCAATTTCGTAAGACTGCCTCCGTCTTTAATCACATGTTTCCGTTCTGACCATTTATTCTAGTGAAAACCTTCTCTTCTACGTCTATACCTGAACTCAGATCCATAATTATTCCATGTATTATCGGGCTACCAGCAGTGGGTACTATAAGCCTTATTTAGAGTCCTAAAGGTCATGTCCTTCGAAATAATGTCCTCAAAATTTTTGTTCTTCGTCCTACTCGTAATCACCTCTATCATCTCCAGATATCCACATGCTCAACATCTGTATGCGTGTCAAATGAATGCCCTCATAGGATGCCTTCCTGCACATCAAGCTTGCTTGATACTTTTATCCATAGACTGCCGTCATGGGAACTAGAAGAATATAACCACCTGTTCCTTGTTGGCTATCCTTCTGGAACAGCAGTCGTATCCCACCAATCTTCTTGTTTCCGATTTTTTTTCTACGCTCGCCCAATTATTTTTCTGTCCAGTTTGTTATTGGCAATCTTTTGCAGGTTTTGCTAGGTTCAAAAATGGGTTGATGTCAGTATCCTCTAGTTACCAAAAGGCATTGAACAGGACCTCTGGCACCCTGACCACTAAGTTTGTTATACAATGTGCCAGAACGAAGTTTGATTTGAAAATCGTACTGTTGCGTTGCAACTTTTTCATCGAAGGCGGGGAGGTCACCAGAACGAGAGCGAGATCTCAGCCGTACCCTACTATGTCATGTTTGAAATCATCTCTCCTTCCGCAGCGGCAAGATTCGGTGCGCCCTTCCAAATTACCTTGATTGCTTTGGTACTAACTTTCCGTATTTCTTCCAGGAGTTCCTTCATTGTGTCTTCAGTTGTTCTAGGACATTGATTAGAGTTCCGCTGGTAATTGATGGCTTTGTTACGAGTAGAATTCTCATCCATATATCTTATTCCATTGATGCAATTTTGTGGCCGCTAATTGTTCTCTTGTTTCTGCTGTTGCTTCTGGGTACGCCAAAGTAACCAGATGGCGGATATCGGTTTCAGCTTTCTGTTGTCTTCTCCTCAGCTGTAACTGGTACTTAAAGTTGCCATCGGTGTTGATCCCCATAACGACGCTCTAACGAGTCTAACGGATCAACTCGTCACCTTCCAACTAAGTTCCACAGACTTTCGAGACTCTGGTACGTCCCTCAGAGATTACGGTTTAAATCCATTCTAGCTGAAATTTAAAATTTTACGTAAGGTCCTGTTCTTCTTCCGGTTTTCGGGATTCCTGTTCATGTTTTGTTTTGATGTTCAATATTCTTGTTGTTTTTAACGTGCTGCTATAGCCGGTCTTATTCTTCTTGTTTTCCATCTCTGGTTCTTGCATTTCTTTCCGCCTTCAGTAATCCTTTTCTTGTTTTTTTTTTCTGATCTATGTTCTTCTTGTTTTTCTTCCCGTCTTCGGGCTTCCTCTTCTTGTCTTGGGGCTCTACCTTCTTATCTTTTCTTAATTCTTGTCTTCGATATTTGTCAAGAAGTCTAGCAACATTCGATTAAATTGCTCTATTTCGGCTGTTTGCTATCATGTTTTTACCATAGAATACTTTCTTGAAACTAATAAGTATAGATTTTTGTGGCAAAGTGAAAATTATGGTACAGGGTTATTGGTTATAATGTCCACCCCTCTATCTTTTTTATGTGGCATTTTAGAAAGAAGTGTCCCAAGTAAAAGTTTTATGGTTGAAATTATTTTTTTTTTTAACTGCCTTTCTCATATACAGGGCGTTTCAGAAAAGCTGGTCATGGTCTAACTCTCTTATTTTAAATGGAATACCCTGTATGTTATTGAATATTCGGATTCTACGTACAATTCTAAGCAGATTTCATGTGACATACCTAAGTTCAACTGTTTTGGAAATATTGACAGTTGAAAATTGACTTTTTTGAAAATTTGACAAGCTGTAAAACCTAAACGGTTAACTTTTGAGCAAAACCGTTCTTACATTTTTATCTTAGCTTTTCATTTGACACCAACTTTGAATTAAACCGGAGATTAAATTTAAGTTGATGTCAACATCATTAGTGTCAAATGATAGTTTCTGAAAATCTAAGACAAAAATGGGAGATCGGTTTTGCTCAAAAATTAACCGTTTAGGTTTTACAGCTTGCCAAAGTTGCAAAAAAGTGAATTTTCAACTGTCAATATTTCCAATTCCAAAGGGTATGGACATCACATAAAAATCTGCTCAGAATTTTACGTAGAATACGAATATTCAATATATACAGGGCAAATAACCATGACCAGCTTTTCTGAAACACCCTGTATATGCGCAAATGGTTTTTTTGAAAAAATTAATCTAACACTATAGAATTTCCTGGAATTTTTCAGAAACTCCGTTTGCGAACCTGGTTTTCGGTGTCAATTCCAGTAGGTACTGTTTCAGTTCACCGGCTGACTCCGTGGAATATAAATTGACCATTCGTATCAGTAGACTTTTGGTATCAGGATATCTTCGATACAAATTGAATTTTCTGTATAAATGGAAACTTGAACTATCATAACTTGGGTTAGTTTGAATTATGTTTTTTCCATGTGTCATTCGTATACAAATGTTATAATGTTCGATTGAATTAATTTATAACTTTAAGGTCCGGTTGTACCAAATAGAGGTTCGGACTCAACTGGTATTTGATCTTTCTCATTTGAAACGTATTGATGTCAGAAATCTGTCAAAGTGTATATTTTTTGACAGCGACGCATTTTAAATGGGAAAGATCAAGTAGTACTATACCAGTAGAGTTCAACTAAACCACTGTTTGGTACAACCAGGCCTTAAGAGATAAATAATTTTGTTGTAGGTACTATTAACTAGCTCGTTTTGATCGTGCTGTAGGGTTTAGATCAGCTTACCATAATATTCGTGTGCAGCGAAATTTCCTGTAATATCTTAAGTTTCAGTATATTTTAAGACCAAATGTACCTTGAGTGTTGAAGTGGTTAAATAATTAGCCGCACTGCTTCTATTCACTTTACAAGATATTACACACGTTTTATATTTAGTCAAGAACAGAAATCAGTATTTGGATAAAAACGACAATGGCGGTGCATCGGGCGTGTGAAGCTCTTGCTTGGTGGTGAACCAGACATCATGTAAATGTCACATACCTACCTTAACTTCGATGTTAAATATTTAAAAACAAAATCCTAACTCTTTGTTGAGAAAATATAGAAATACCAGGCAGCTGATCTTTTGGGCATTTACAGAAATGCGGAAAGGATTAACTGGTAATTTACATTGTCGCGCCAATTTGGCGGTGGTGTAGTTCGAAACATGCATTTTTGCATCGAAATAATTTATAATTCATATTGGAAATACTAACAATAAAGAAAATAAGCAATCCTAGTAATTAAAACAATAATTGTTTCCTAGTTTATCACAAAAGATCAATTTTTCCAAAAATTTCTTTTTTTTTTCCTCAATTTTTCTGGGAAGAAAATAGGTTTCTCTTGGTAGCTAGAAGTGAGCAAGGGTCCCCATTTACGCTGGACGATAACCTGAACATCGAGGGAATCGTAGCTATTGTGTTTTGTCGGCAAAATATAATGCATTTTTTTCGCAGCATTTATCAATAATTGAAAATTCACAAGTTGATTAGTTAGGTTTTGTAAGGATAAAATCAAAGATTAATAATGTTTGCAGGTAAAAACCTCTTCAAATGACAGTTTATTATAGTAACACAAACTAAAGCAACAATATAGAAAAACATTGGTACTCATAAGTAACAATACAATTTAAAAAAAAGTGATTATTAATTTTGTAAAATGTAATAAAGAAAATTGCAATAATTATTAACAACGTTCACTCTTGTTTAGATGTTCCTGGCTCTAAGGTCAAGGAATGTAAGTCCCCAGTATTACACGGAATATTCGGAATTTTAAAGCCTTGCCTTGAAAAGCCACTATATTCTGGTTTAATTGGATTTAACGGTGGTGGTAGATTTGATGTCGGGGTAAATTCAACTTTATCCAAAAGGGTTTCTTCATGTTTCTCTTTTGAAAAATCTTCCAGAAACGGTATTACAAACTCATCTTTAAATTTTTGAGGCTCAAGTACAGTGGAAATTTGCGATGGCACACTGAAGGGTATTAAAGGTTGTTGCGTAATAGTACAAGAGGTCCCCACAGGACTAAAAGGGTCAGGCGTAAAGCTAGGCGTCGGTGAACATTTTTTTTCTGGTGTCAAAGCTTCAGCCATGCTATTATCAGCACTCAAATCTGAAAAATCTATATCATAATTTACTTTTGATAGTCCAAGAATACTATTTTCCTCTGGCGTTATTAAACCATCTAGGCTCTGTGTGTCGTTAAATGGACTTAGTTGATCCTGGATTACTTTGTTTCTTTCATTATCACCGTCTTCAGGCGGTAAAGATATGCACGGCGTTATATCTAGGTTCAGCTTGCTTTTATCCTTATTGGTTCTGGCCATCTTTTGAGTCACCAATGCTACATTTGCCATAAGTGAGCCAGTGCTAGATTCAAAATCGTCAGTGAGAGGAAGTGGTAGTTCCCTTGGCTTGATTATCAAAGGTGTTCGTTCTAGTACCGATGATACTCTCACGAATATGTGTTCCTGAAAAAAGACAATTATCACTTTGATCGATATTCAAATTTTGTAGTTATTCAAATTAACGTATAGGGTGGTATAGTACCCGCCAGAAATATTCGAGATTCCTACAAAAAAGGATTTCTTCGTCGGCGATGCCCCGGGATAAAGATAAAGCAAAAACCTCGGCAAAAACTCCTCAGATAAGGGTTGAGAATTAATTTAGTCGCATTTCGCCTATAATATTATTGTATTGTTCTGTATTAAGTACTTAATTTCATGCATTAAATATTTGAAAGATCTTTTAAGAAAATTGAAAAATAATTTTAAACATTATTTACAACAATTTGAACCGAATAATTTCAAACCAATATAATCTTGTACTTAAGCGGTTACCTGACCCGTGCCTCCTGACTAAATGCAGGCCGGCTGTTAAAGGAACATATTTTTTTGTACGAATCTCGATTATCTATGGCGGCTACTATAAATGACATTGAAACAAGCTATTTGTGTCAATAAACTCTGGACGAAAATGTGTCTGTTTGGCACTACAGTGACTGAGAGGTTTTCTGGTTCTTGTATGTACCTACCTATCGTTTTATACTGGTGCCTTGTTTTTAGCCATAGTTTTATAAAATGCATATAACAATGACTGCCAAGGCATGGATTCATACCGGACAGCCTAATATGCATAGGCGTCATAAGAAAGCTAACGGTAATAGATCAAGAGCCACGATATCCAGATTTGAACCCACTGGATTTTTTTATCTAGTATACAAAACACCTGTCCTCACATGGGAACAACTGCTGGCAAGAGTGATGGCCGCTTGCGCACACATATAAATCATGGATAGTGTCAACTAGGCAATTTTTGTAGGATTTTTTAATAAAACAATGCGGGCATAACCTTTTATTTTATTTATCTTACTGCCAAAACAGCGCATTTTTGACTAGAGTTTAGTTGTGTTTAAAGTTGTTAAATATGCATTGCCTAGTGAATTAGACATAAAAAGTGCATCAAAAGTATTTTAAACAGGCTAAGAAAGTATCTTGTGGAAAGGAAAATGATTACATAAAAATTATCAGCTTAGAATAGTATTGATAATAAGAACTATTATCATGCATGATGGGTACACTTAACATTTTTTATTAAATATAAAAAATTTAGGGAAAAACTGTTTCCAAGATTTAATTAACAAACGCATGGAAACAAAAATATTTAACTTTTAAAAAAGCATAGTACATATCTCTCGAATTCTAACAAGATTTCTAAAATTATTTCCAGATACATTATTTCAATTTTTTACCAAAGTGTACTCTTTTTAAGTGAAGTGGGACTGAAGGACCTAGTGAACTTATCAGTATGATAACAGTAAATTAAATTAGGAGTTGCAATATACTTTTCTATTTTATATATGAAAAAAATATATCTATACTAAATAAAATGAAAAAAAAAAACAAATCCTAAAGCTAATCAATAACTAGAATTATTACAAGAAGAATAATATAGAACAAAATAGTAGGTTAAAAAATAGGCAGGTTAAGCAAAACTGGATTAAAAAAAAAATACAAAAAGCCAAAAAAACCTTTATTTTAATGAAAAGTCTTATACCTTTAACTTTTTCATGTCTTCCATCAACTCCTGTTTTTCGTCTTGTATAGCGATATTGCGTTCTTTCAACATTTTAAGCAAGGCCAGGTGTTCACAAAGTTGGTGCATACCTAAAGAATAAAAACAGATATTCAACCATTATTCCAACACAATAAAATAAATCATTTCAAATTTTCTTGAATTACTCAGGCACGACAAACAAGGATGGACCTAGCGGACGTTCAAAAAGCTGCACAGACAGTTATGCAATCTTAAAAAGCTAAAATTAATAAATATGCGTAATATTTCATATGCATTAGAGAAAAACGAATTTGATGATGGCAGAAAAAAATTAATCTTCAAGAAAGTTACATTAAAAATTTGCAAAATGTTCAACAAACGCAATTTAGGCCAAACTTTATAATATGTGATATATTTATATAAAGATCTGGAATCACATTAAGGTGGCAAAAAACTTATCAGCTGTTGGTCTAAAGACTGAATCCCTAGACCTTATGCGAATCCAGGGTGATTTGTCAAGTATGAGAAATTCAATTGTATTTTTGCCCTAAGTTCCTGAATACATTCTTATTGGGTACATCCTGTATAGGTATACAGACTGCTGATAAAGTTTGGAATAATAGATTTTCCTGAGCAAAACTACGCTTGGAACGTTTCCATTTCATTTTTATATGCTCCCTAGTAATGTTTCTATTCATAAATGAGTCATAAATTCTGAACAGCTGGACAACTTTTTTTTTTTTAAGCCCTAGATTTTTTATCCTTCTTTAAATGTTAGACTTACTGTTATACTTCATGTGCTAGCCAAATACCTACAGGGTATCAAAAAATGTTTTGGTATGGGACCATGCATGGGCCAATGCCAGATGTCTTGAACAATGCAATCTTTTGGAAGACAACTTTATTTGTAAAGCAAAAAGTTTCATAGGGACGATTCTTTTAGATATCTTATTAACTCAATATTATACAGAAACTAATTTATTGTACAGGGTGGTCCAAATTGGACACTTTCTTATGGAAACACCCTTTATTTTTAGAGATAGAAAAAAATGGACCCCCCACTCTGAGGCTCAAATTACATGAAATCTTGATTGGTGCAAACCGCATTTTGATATCTTCAACCGTTTAGCCGCTAGAGGGCGATTCTCGATTTTGAGCAATACTGTAAAGCCTCCATAACTTTTTTGTTTATGAAAATAATTCATTTCCGTAAAGACCTTTTGGAAGCACTTTTTCAAGCAGAATTCAGTGACGTTCTCAGTTTTTTTCTGTCTGGCTTTGATTTCGAGATATTGACCAAAATTCGATTTTTTTCAATAGGACACCCTATATATTAATAGTTCATTAGAAAGCTATGCTTTCGCTGATTTCAATGATATAAAGTTCGATAGGTTTACCTCTAACAGTTTTCGAGAAAAAAAATTATTTCGGTTTTTATCATAAGAAACAATGTGTTAGAAAGAGACCTTTCTCAGTTTCCTTACAGAGATAAAGTCCTTTTCCAACACATTGTTTCTTATGACAAAAACCGGAATAATTTTTTTTCTCGAAAACTGTTAGAGATAAACTTATCGAACTTTATCATTGAAATCAGCGAAAGCATGGCTTTCTAATGAACTATTAATATATAGGGTGTCCTATTGGAAAAAATCGGATTTTGGTCAATATCTCGAAATCCAAGTCAGACAGAAAAAACTGAGAACGTCACTGAATTCTGCTTAAAAAAGTGCTTCCAAAAGGTCTTTACGGAAATAAATTATTTTCATAAACAAAAAAGTTATGGAGGCTTTACAGTATTGCTCAAAATCGAGAATCGCCCTCTAGCGGCTAAACGGTTAAAGATATCAAAATGCGGTTTGCACCAATCAAGATTTCATGAAATTTGAGCATCAGAGTGGGGGGTCCATTTTTTTCTATCTCTAAAAACAAAGGGTGTTTCCATAAGAAAGTGTCCAATTTGGCCCACCCTGTACAGAAAGAAATTTATGTGAAAAATTGTTACCATTTATACTAGTTTTCAAATAATTCATCATCATCATAGGCGATCTCCTATTCTATTCTTATTGTCGATTGTGCGTTTTCTGATGACTTTGGAAACCAATTTTGGAGTCGCACACTCTTCCACAGTCATGGCACAACCAGCCTCTGGCAGCATTTTTTTTTCTCAAATATTTACATGTGACTTAATTGTCAAGACTTATTATTCAGGCCAAAGTTCTGTAACTTTGTATCCCACCAATATTCTTGTTCCCGGTCATTCCTGCTTCGCCAGATTTTTCTTTTCTTGAGTTTATTGAATATCAATTGCCGGTTTCCTTTAGGTTCAAAAATGTTTTGATGTCACTATCGCCTAATAATATCTAATTGTCTAAGGTGTTCGAAACTCCGTGCTTGATCCCTTCCAAATAGGATGCTTCTAACAGGTCGGTAAGTACTCTGTCACGCTAATCAAGTCTGAGGCAGTGCATCTACTGAAATGGAAAAGGTCGCCTGCATAAGGTATATCTGCGTTGTTATTGGTCCGTTTCTCAATAGCGAGTCACCTCAGAATTGGTTTCAACTCCAGGGTAAACGTGTCCAGTTGCAATGTTTACCCCTGAAAATATGCTTAACCCGGGGATGACTTGCGATTGAGAAACCGGCCCTATGTAGTTTACCATACCGATGTTTTATTTGAAAATCGTTCTGTCCGCAACTTCTCCATCGGAGAAGTCACGCTTAAAATATTCCCTTCTTTCCTAACGGTCACGTTCGGTGTCCCATCTGGAGTTCTCTCGATTCATTCTGGTTTATCCTCAAAGAATGTCAAATCAAATCAAATCAAATCAAAATATGCTTTATTGTAAAAAGAAAAACATCTTATGTACAAAGCATGAGAGCCTATATATTCCAGATGAAGCTACTTTTTGCAGTAATGGCATATGGCAAATTGCCATAACAATCGACACTAAATCAGCAGATACTGCCAATGCTGTGAGGCAATTCGTTACCAGACACTGCAAAAGGTCACCAGGCTAGATGGAGCACCACAGCTATTTAGCAAACTTGCGTTGGATTGATTAACATGGGCTCCAATGTAACAAGATTCAACCCTGCTAGTTCTTTTTGTGGGACTATATTGAAGACAGGGTGTATAAAAATAAGCCAGAAAATCTTGATACCCTTGAAATAAATATTATAACGACAGTCATAAGCGAACTACCCAGTAAATATTAAATAAATAATTCTCAATTTCTTCATTGGTTCACCATTTACTAAAATAATTGCAACACTTGTTTATTATATTTTCAGTTAGATTTATTATTTTATTTTTCTGATTTTAATGTTATAAATCAAACAAAATCGTCCTGCTGAAACTTTTTGCTTGACCTACGCATTCATTGCTCAGAAGAATGCAATTTTTTATGCCCTGTAGGTATATTGAAAATAGTTGACCAACTGCAACTTTAGGAGTGAATCTTAAACTCCGAGAAAAAATGGGCCATTCCATTTAAAAAAATAAAATTTACAGCTGTACAGCCCTTACATTGAATAAACATAGATAACCAGCTCAAAATGTTGTCCAATTCATCTCTCCGGGACCTCGTGGTCTTGATTCCTATAATTCAATACTGCTTGGAGTCGAAAACAAAATAGAACGAATCTAATGGGTGACTGATCGGCAACACGATTATGATTATGAAAATCCAGAAATATCAACATACTGCATCACTCCCCGTTGCTGCGGTTTCTGTATATTTATCAGTCACGACATTTAGTGTAACGACTTTGCACATCCTTAGGCGTACTCATATTTAATCTGAGGTTCAGTCTTCGTACACACTGGACATACGGAGTACCTTTTGCACACGTAATTTGTCTACATTTCAACTGAAAAATCCATTATTCCAAACCTTATACCTACCCATAGTTTGTAGCCGACTTTCTAGCTAGAACAAAATTTCCAAAAAAATAATAAAATTTCAACTCTTACCTTCACAAGCAACCAAAGCCGAATCCCATGCGCTAACTGTGGTCACTTCTCCAGACATGTAAGCATGGAAATCTTGTTCTGGCATGTTTAAAGATTCAGCTGTCAAATTTTCGATAAAGGATACTGCACAACACTAAAATTATAAATCCAGCAATTATTATTATGAATGTATATTCCTTAGGTCTTTCGCAGGTTTCAATAGCAAAATAGAGAAGCTTAATTAATTGTACGGGGTGTCAAAGATTAATAAGAAACTTCTACTAGAAGTGAATGTAGTTTGAGAAATAGAGAGATATTGCAAATCTGGCACAACTACGACAAAACTTAATTGAGTCGCGATAGGACATTTACTAATTTCGAATGCCGAATACCGTTACAGAAACAAAATTTCTAACCCAAGAATTTCGTATTTTTGTAGCATAGCGGAGCTCCAGATATCCGAACTCTAAGTGACCGGAATCGCCAATTATCCAAATCGCATCCAACTCCGAATAACACACTCAGAAAGACTCTTCTGATAGAAAAAATACTATGTACGATGTACAAAATGTGAAAAAATAGTTTTGTAGTCACTAAAGTTATATGTATGCAAGTATTACAATACAATATGCATACATATTAATGTATGTAGTTTTTCAAAATAAATTAGATGCCTAGACATATGTAGGTAATTTTATTTGGATTTGTCCCATTATCCGGATATCTGATCAGGTCCGGCCCCAAATAATTTGGATAATTGTAGTTCCATTGTATTTATGTTCTTTTTTCAACCAACGGCTGAACATTAAAATGTTTTTTCTTTTGCAAATTTCGGCTGTTTTGGATACCTACTAGGTATAATTATTCACTTCTGTATTATTTGTGTAAATAATGTTCACAATGCGTGGAGAAATGCACAAATTTCCAATAAAATAATAAAAATGTACATTAACAATTATATATAGTCCGTTCGTAAAGTCTACAGACCTAATCAAGTGCGTCATCTGATATTTTGGACGCTGATTGGCCAAAATTAGGGAATCGACTTGGGCGACCAGTGCGCAATTTAAACAATTAACCCAAGGCCCCAATCTTGCCAATCAGTGTCGACCATCTCCGATCAAGCATTTCTATTCAGTCTATAGACTTTATGAACAGACTTTAATCATTTCCCGACTACTACCGATTCTGGCCGATTTACTTCGGACTTTTAAAAAAGGTCGATTCCTTAATAAAATCTTCCTTATCGAAAATAGGAAATGCGCCAGCTTAACTGTCAAAAAGGGCTTGCCCGGCAATATCTCTCTATTACAGGAAAAAATACTTACCAGATTTGTAAAGTAGTAACCAGCTTCCCCCTGCATAAGCCTTGAATCTTTACAAAACCTAGTAACATACAAAATATTGCTCTTCAGTCTTGCTGGATTGGCTTTTAAAACGACAAAAATAAGAGCAGGAAGAAATTCATCAGCACTAACTGGTCCACCTTGACAATGTTGCAAGACTTCAACGACGCTTTTGCAACATTTAACGACACATTGTAGCTTTTCTTGGGGAGCTTTCACAGAGTCCATACCCAGTAAATCTGTAATGGCTGCATAGACCAGATCTCTAACTTCAAGACTAGTCTCGCTTATACAACAGTCCAGATGGTGGGCGTTGACCCAGTTGAGTTTTCTAATACGGTCCTGGATGGACAGGTCTTTTTCTTCATCGTTAGTGAATGACGGACAGAAGAGCCATCTTAAATATAAAAGTTGAATGTAACAAACATTTATGTGTTCTAAGAAAATACTATTATACCATGATATATTATGTGTGAATAATGTGTGAAAAAGTTATACAAATTAAACAAAAAATTAAAGCTGATGAAAGCGTAAAGCGCAAAACGTTTATGTTTAAAATTTCCTACTTTAGAGCAAAATAGATATCTCAGAAAACGTGGTGCCTTGGACTGATAAGAAGAACGAGCAAAAGTCGCTCTTGGATGAATGAGCGTCGCCGATTCCTCAAACCATCCCATTATGGATGGATGGATGGATCTCAAAAGTTCGTAAGTATGTTTTTTTTGAACTGAACTCTACAGGGTGTATATTTTAAGTGATACCACTATTGCTATATTTGAAATGGAAAGGTTGGTTGAAGTTTTTGATACCCATTTAGGACTCGTTTTCAGTGTTACAAAATTCCTTTTAGTTTATGAAATACAGGTTCATAACTAGGGCAAAATTAGGGTAAAATTTTGGTAATGATCACTTTTTAGAGCAGAAACGTCGGCCAATCATACTTAATAAGTATATCGTTAAAAAGGAAATAAAGGACGATTTCTAAACATGACATTAGAAATCCAGGTCCGTATTTAAAACAATTATGTTGATGATGGTAGCTCAATCACGAAACGTCGGATTTAAAATTTGAAGATGCCATGTTGTAGAGGGAAAAAAATTATAAAACTTTCAAATTCAAATAGTGTCTCGAAAATCAACAGTTTTCGAAATAATTGATGAAATATTTTTAGGCGTTTCTTTGTATTTCATAAACTAAAAGGAATTTGGCAACACTGTAAACGAGTCTTGAATGGACATCAAAAAAGGCAACTTTTTTTTAATTTACCCAACCTTGTAGCTCTTACCGTTTTGGATATAGCAATAGTGGTATCACTTGAAATATACACTCTGTATACATAGGACTATGCGACTATTGCTTTATAGAAGAGTTAAATAAAGGTTAAGGACCGCTATGTAAATTTATATCAGAAATCTTAAGGGAATTATGAAGAAGAAAAACTGATCTAGACGATACTATCAAATCGTGGGTTCGGAATCTGGGCCCAGGTCAGGTTATAATATAATAATAATAAATTTATTCTCAATAAATATTTCACAATTTCAATCAATTTATAAGCAGTACACAATGGAGCACATGCTCTGTGTGTGTACGTGGGTGCCATCTATATACTTAACTTAATTACATCATATAACATTATACCATTTTACTATATTATATCATTCCAAAACTCCTAATTTATTGTACAACAGTAAAAGAAAGATACAGGGCTCAAGTGGATCTCATACAGTTTTGCATATACTTGACCAAAACATAAATATAAATATATATATATATATATATATATATATATATATATATATATATATATATATATAAATACAATATAAATACGCTACCAACAAAAGGATTCGTGGAACGTCCCTCAAAATTTCAATATTTCAGTGATTTATAAGTTTTAGATAACAAAGGCGATGTTGTTTTCAATCAACCAGATTTTTAATTTTTTTCTAATGTTTTTGTAGGGACAACTTTTTAATTCTATAGGCAACATGTTATATATTTTTGGGACTGTATATGTAAGGCTTCTCTGACATTTTGTGAGCCTGGCATTTGGTACTTCTGCCATATTCCCAACTTGCCGGGTCGAGAGTCCATGATTTACTATTTGTATGTGCGTTTTATTTTTTGAAATATATATTACTACAGAGTTAATGTATATTTGATTGATCTGTAACACTTCTGCTTCCCTAAATAATTCACTTGAGGAAAACATCTTGTTTTTGTTATATATAATTTTTAGTATGTACTTCTGGGTTATAATGAGCGGCTCCAACACATACCGACATGATGCCCCCCAAGCCAAAATGCAGTAACTTATTATAGACTCCACAGTAGCACTGTAAACCATTTTGAGTGTTTTTAGTTTCATGAATTGTCGGAGCTGGTAAAATTTGTATATAAGTTTTCTTATTTTACTTGCTATATACTGGACTTGGGCTTGCCATTTTAATTTAGTGTCAAGTATTACTCCGAGATATTTGCATTCATTGGCACATTTAATTTCAAGGGAACATTGGCAAGGGGCAACTCCTTGACAATCGTACTGATGGATTTTTAAGTTTGCAATTAGCGATCCGCCAGCCTTAGTAATAGAAAAATTCAAGAACACAGATTTGTTTGCATTTAAGGTTAAGTAGTGTTGATCATACCAAGCCTTTAGTTGCCGAAGTGCATTTTCTGCTTTTGTTGCTGTTTCCAACCAAGTTTTCCCTGAAACAATCAGGGCTGTATCGTCTGCAAAACACACTAATTCTCCCTGACCCTCTGTCAAGACATCAAATAATTCATTTACATATAAAGTAAAAAGGACTGGACCCAGCACTGTCCCCTGCGGCACACCAAATTCCACCGACCTATAGGAGCTTTGAGAGTTGTTTATTTTTACACATTGTATTCTATTTTCTGAATAAGACTGAAAAAGTTTATGGACAACCCCTCGTATACCAATTTTTTCCAGTTTTTTCAGCAGAATTTGATGTGTTACAGTATTAAATGCGTTACCCAGATAAAGGAAAACACCCATACATTTGCTGCCCTGAATGAAATTTCGGTTGATGTGATCTATTAAACATGCATCTGCATCTTCAGTGGAAAGATTTTGTTTGAATCCATATTGTTTTTCAGAAATTATTTTGTTTAAGCTTAGAAATTCATTTAATCGAAGTTTTATACACTTTTCTACCAATTTAGATACGTTGCTAGTCAGTACTAAAGGTCTATAGTTATTGAATGCCTCTTTATTTCCGGATTTATGTATTGGCGATATAATGCCTTGTTTAAAAATTTGTGGATACTGGCCTGTTTCAAATATCAAATTTATTAGATGAAGGAGTGGCTGGATGATGTGCATATGATTGTTTTTTATGACTTCTACGGAGATTCCGTCACTGCCTGGTGCAGCCCGATTTTTGAGTGATTTTATTTGCATAATAAGGTCATTCTTGCCTATTGGTTTCAAAAACATTGATTTGCATATACTTTTTTTATCTGATTTAAATTTAATTTTCTTTGTGTTTTTGATTGCATTTGCCATGTTTCTACCTACATTGCAAAAATATTTATTGAAAGCATCCGCCACCTCTTCATCTTTTTCCAACTCTCGACCCTCCTCATCAATCACCCTGTGTTGGTTAATCTTAATTGTTTCTTTTTCATTAGTCGCTTGTTTTATTATTTTCCAGGTTTGTTCAATGTTTTGATTTGAAATTTCAAGTTTTTCAGCGTAATATTTATTTTTTGTCAATTTTATTAGTGAGCTGAGCTGGTCTCTGTATGATTTAAAATTATAATCCGCTTCCTCGGTCTTTTTTATTGTGCTAATCTTTTTCAGTTTATCTCGGTGTCTAATTGAGTTTAAAATACCCTTTGTTATCCAAGGCTTTATTTTTCTGTCTTTACATTTAATATATTTTACTTCTGTAGCTAAATCAATACTCTTCTTAATTTTATTAATAAAAAGATTAAGCCGGGCTCAAACGACTCGTGTACTTGTCGAATAATCGTTACTCTCGTATACTTGTCATGTCGTGTGAGTGGGTTACTTGTACAATTATTTGTCACTCGTTGGTTTTCCATTTCTTGTCGAGTCAAAGGGATCACGATTATTCGTACACTTGCCAAGTTCATACTTGTCTATACTTGTAGAGGCGCTCAAACGAAATTCACAAATAATTGGCTTTTACTGCGACTATTTCATTTAGTTTTCGACGAGCATCAATGTTTAGCCAAATGTTCGCGCTCGCGTACTTGTAAATTGAACATGTCGTGTGAGCGCCCTGCTTGCCATCGCAATTCGCAAAGCTAGTATACTTGCCAAGTACGGGAATAATTGTGTATTCGCCAAGTAAACGAGTCGTCTGAGCCCGGCTTTAGCACAAGTCTCAACCTCAGTACTCTGCAAAATGTCCCACCAATCCTCCCGCTCAATTAGTGAGTTTAATCTTTTATGGTTTAGTTTTATTACAGATTTATTTTTTGTTATTGCTTTACACTTATCCAACTTAATGTTTAATACAATAGGAAAATGGTCAGACATTCCACTATACATAATTTTTGACTGAGAAACTGTATCATTTATAAATTTTACAAAAAAGTGATCGATGCAGGATGGTTCTTGCCCCTTCTGGGCCCTAGTAGGTATGAAACCACATATCATCATATCATCATTTGTCTACTAAAAATGGAGTTTTCATTTTATTTTTTCCCCTACCAACTCTATCAGGTAATTTAAAAGTAATAAGTTTGTCTCGAAATTTTAATAAAAATGTTGAAAGTGTGTTGAAGCGAGGTCAAAATTAGTTCCTTAATACGGTTTTGAAAAGATTGCTTTCAAGTTCCAAAAATAAAAATTGATAGCCATCCCACTATGTTAATTGTTCACCTGAAGGGCATTTTTCATCTGAATCAATAACTAAGATAAGCAATTATATGTATTTTAAGTAAAGTCTGCATTGTCCAGCAATTTTATCGGGAAAAAAAAACATTTTCTGACTTATCTAAAACAAAACCTGTTTGAACTCAGATATAATTTTGTATGCTCTCAAACATAAAAATACAAATAAGGGATACCTACATATTTTTATCATTTGAGAAAATTTCTATTAAAAATTGTAAACCCCTGTCAAATCATAGATAATATTATCAGACAAAAGGTTTCACGTGCAACAGACATGTGCAAGATTATCTGAAAGAGAACAAATACAACAATTGAATTGTTAATATACAAGATAATACATAATTAAGATAATGAAAAATATTTGAACCTTGATTTTTTTCTATTCTGATTTTCCTAAGAAACAAGTAGGCGCTTTCACATTGGGAGTGAGTATTATATTTAATGAGTATTATCAATACAGATTATTAAACTTCTCAGTTTTTTTTTTAAATTTTTGTACTTATACTATCTACCTCTTCAAAGGCAAGAAAGAGAAAGTTGAATGCACTGCGTCAGCAAAGTAATGAGAAACAAGCTTTTTGATTCTCAATTGCCCCACAGTCCCTAAGATATAAGTTAATATTTCCCATGATTATACACCACTCTTTGACATAACAGTAAAAACTTTAACACTGATTTTTTGACACCACTAGGATTCCTCTTACGCTTGATAAAAACAAATAATTTGCAAAAACACACAACCAGCATATTTAATTATCAGAAAAAGTTCAAATTAAAGTGACTTTTCTCTAAATATATCTAGCAGAGAATATGAATTCAGTGTTTCTTTATTAGCACTAAATAATACTTCAAACAGTAAATATTCTAATATCAATATGTCAGCAGATGCTTTGTTATATGCATTTCGTGAATTTAAACATTATAGATTTTAATTACTTGGAAAACTTTCTTCAACAAATTTATCACTTACGTATATAAGTTGACCATGCTGTACTTCTCGAAAAAATCTTCGAGTTCAATTCTCACGTCACCATCCAGTTCAGTATAGATAGAATAGGAATTTATTCTACTATTGTATAAATTGTAATATTTCTGCGCCATTTCCGCCAATTCGTCGATAGGTTTGGTTTCCATCTCATTCAGCAGTTTCGTAGTAAAGAGCTGAATGCATTTCAAGAAATCTTTTCTGACATCGTCTCCTAAATGACCATACTTTGATAGAAATTCGGCCATCAACTTATCTGCGTCTGGATTTGTTTGCCTCACGTTGACGTGTTTTTCTGGTTTTCCAACATCTAGAAAAGATAGGTAAAACGTTATTTTATAAAATGTCACCTTTTTTTTCTTCTTATATTATGTGTGCCTAAACATCTTCGTAATAAGCCTGATATGATACCTATGTATGTGGAGGCGTAACAGTTGTTATGAATGAATGTTGGCTAGTTCCAGCAGGTTTACATTTTTTTTTTTAATTTTAAAACCCTCAAATAACTAAATTTTATCTATGTTTTGATATCGGCCCCATATTGGCTGAAACGTCAACAATAAAACAAAATATCTTAAGCAATACAATGATTTTGTGAACAATGAAGAAAAACTCAAAATATTTAAAAATTAAATACTCAAAGAAACAAAAGGAAATATAATAATATAATGTATACACATTTATGTATTTATTTTAGAAACTATATCGCACTTACCTTTAACATTTGATGCTTTCCGGAATACCGGCAAGCTTTTCAAATATTTACTCTTTTTGTCGGTCTGTTGCTTCTTTTTTTCTTCAAATTTTGAAAATCCTGGTGGTACAGGAGCTTTGGACGATTCTCCATGATGCGTTGGTGGCTGCGATTGTGCGTGACGTGGTCTTTTCTGTCTTTCTTGTTCCATTTGATTTCGGTAACATTTTGAACAATAGCCTATGAACAAAGCAATAACAACACAATTAATACTGGAAACACGAGTGGAAGCATTCGAAAAATGACATATAAACAACCCCAAATTGCGTATTGGAAAAAAAAAACATATTTGGAACAAGCTAATGTATTATCATTGGAAAAAGTGTGTGGATTTTCAATACCTATGTATTAAAAAATGCAATATACCACGAAGATCATCTATATCAAAATAAGCACTACTACCACATTTTGAATTATTTGGATAAGGCTCGCAAAACTATATCTCTACTACTCGCTTTGAATTTTGATGTCGCGGAGACATTTTTGGTAACGCCAGCTAGATTATTCCTTCGATGCCGAATATTCGTCACGATCTTGTATGGTCCTTCCCACGATCTTTGTAAATTGAGTCTAAGTCCTTTCGTTCGCTGTGGCTGATATGACTACACCGCGTTGCCTCCATTGAAGGTTTTCATTGACTGCCGATCGTCGACTCCCATCTTCTTTTTTTTTATCACTATTTAGGCAGAGTCTATTCCTGACTCGTGTAGCACCTGGAGATCAGAATCTCTGCTGTGTGAAAGCTTCGTCTTTATCGGCCCGGGCCAGCTTAAAGTAGGTCTACGGGAACAGTCATTTATTTCTCTTCCAGTCAACGGCATTTCAGTCTCGCTTGTGTTCATCCCCAAACATCGAGAGGTATAGATTCCGTCGGACCGTGAATGAAGTAGGGTCGTTCAGGTTTTTGTTGATTCCCAGATCCCCAATAACTGCATCAGTTGTTTCCACACTTCGGACACAAAATTCCTCCCCTGATCGCGATGAAGTTCCATTGATACCCTGTGTCTAGCTATGATGTTTTCCAGCAACCGTAACCGCTTCTTGATTGGGGAGTGCAATATACTAAGGGCCACTGTAAAAAATAGTCCTTATTCAACCATGAGGTATACTTATTTCCCGAGTCTGTTGTAAAAAATGACCTGCGATAACAAGCGCAATTCTTTCCCAGGGAGAACCAGCAAGTATTGCTCCAATTTCCTTCGAGTCTCAGGTCACATCTTTTGCACGATTTTCAATGTCCCTAAGATAGTTGATCGAGTAATACTAATCTCTTACTCGAGCCAACGTCCTATTAACTCCGAAGTTTGACTCACTGTTTGTGCATTTTTTTCAAATTAGGGTGCTAGATTATTTTTCAAACACGAAAACAATAATATTTAAAGGCATCTAAAATAAAATTTATTTTCGCCTACATAACACGTGGGTAAACGTCTATGTAGAGTGAGTAAATAAAACCTTTTGTATTTGTCATTTCATTGTTGGAAACTACGACTTTTTCACATCGTTGAACTTCTTGATCTAAGATCAACATTGAAAATGGTAGAACAAATTTAAAAATATTATCGTTTAACTTTAGCATATTATCATATTAACAAATTGTTTCAAGAACTGAAATGTAAAAAAAAATTCTCTAAAATAATAGTCACTTGAATGTTAATTAGTTACCTATCAGGAAAGCTTGCTGCAAGCCAATAGATTATTTAATGCAAATTGTCTCCTGATGAAACAATAATACCTATACCATTTTTTTCTTGGGGCAGTATCAGATATAAATAATGTAAGGATTCTGTCAATCGATTTAGAACAAGAATTCATTTTTACAAGTAACATTCAACTTTCAATCTCAAAGTCTGCCATTGCATACATGGGAGTCTTCCAGAATCACCTAATAAGTGGGGAGATTCCCATTATTCCACACAAAAAATTAGTATTAGACTTTCTTACAGAGATTCCTGCAAAAATATACCACAAAATCTTCCCAGAACGATTCCGTTAATTTTTCTATACCTTATCAGTAACACACGTAGACCGCAATTGAAAAATCAATTTAGACGATAAAATTGCGACAAACAAGTTAAGATTACCAAATAGCTATTAATAAACTCTCAGCACAATAATAGTCCAGTAAATATACAGGTTTTTCAAAAAATTATACGAGGGCAGGCTGATTTTTTCAGAGCTGATTGGAAACAGTGTGCTGAGTATTGAGCCAAAATATCTGACTCGAGAGCCTTGTGCGTTCGGCCCTATTGGCATTTTTCTTATCATTTTTTTTTCGACAAAATGACGTCAATAAAAGTTGTAGATAATTAAATTCTGATCAAATTTGCCCCATGACTTTTTTTGCTAGCTGTTTTATTTCAGGCGCTGCGACCATTTAAGGGGTTCAGAATTCGTAAAAAATTAAATAGCAAAACCGCAGGTTATTTATTGTAGATTAGTGCGGCTTCTACAACTTACAAAAAAAAAATGTTAAATACAAAAGTTGTAGGGTTTTACCTCTTCATCTTTTGCACATGTCAACACGGACAAATGACAGGTGCCAGCTCTCATAATAACAGACACTTTCATTTTTTTAAATGGAACACCATGTACCTATATTTTTGGCTAGAATGATTGATTTTTTTCTTCTGATTCCAAATACACCATATATGTTGATATTTGGTTCAGCTGTTTCTACACTATTAAAGTTAAAAAATGCTGTCACATTAACCTAAATTAGGTCTGTTCCCGGTTCCTTACATCAATGGTAAGGCTTACTTAATGCAATTTTAAACTTAAATAGCGCAAAAACAGCTTAACCAAATATCAACAAATATGGTATATTTGCGATCAAAATAAAAAAATCAATCATTCTAGCCAAAAATATAGAGGGTGTTCCAAAAATGCAAGTCTTTATCATTATGAAAGTTGGCACCTGTCATTTGCCCGTTTTGACATATGCAAAAGATAATACAGATAAAACCCTACAACTTTTGTATTTAAATTATTTTCATTTAATTTAAATAGAATAATCTGAAGGTTTGCTATATATTTTTTTCCGAAATCTGAAGCACTAAAATGGTCGCAGCGCCTAGAATAAAATAGCTAACAAAAAAGCCATAGGGCAAAGTTGATCAGAATGTAATTATCCACAACTTTTATCAAGGTCATTTTGTCGATAAAAAATATGAAAAATGCCAATAGGGCCGAACGCACAAGGCTTTCGAGTCAGATTTTTTGGCTCAATACTCAGGACACAGTCTCCAATCAGCTCTAAAAAATCAGCTCTAAAAAAATCAGCCAGCCCTCGTGAAACTTTTTGAAAAACTCATGTATTCAATGGACTACAAATACAAAGGAAATTTTAAAAATATTTTCTATCAAAAAATCCACAGATAGTTGTGAAAGCAGCAGATGTTTGTTTATGAAAGCAAACATTTTTGAATTTGAACATGCAGCTGTGGTTTCAAGTTCAAAATAGTTATGCAAGACGAACCTTGAAAACTGGGAGCGATTTGGATACGGTCGTAGTTCGAGGACTAAACAAAAAAAAATATATGAACAAAAATTTCCAACAGGCCAGAGAATATTATTTTGATATTTGTTTGATGCCAATGAAAACACGAACCAGTTCGAGAAGTTTTGATAAATCGAAACCGTCCTTTTACTAATTTGACATCTGATTCCTATCATTTGGTTTAAACAAGCCTAACATGTTAAAGTCGTATTTTGCATCGCTAAACCAATTTGAGTTTTATTGTAATGCGTCACATATTCTTACTCTTTGTCTGTGTATAGATCAGCCCGTCAATATTGAGACAGCAAAAATGTAAGCATTCTTTTTCATCGTCTTGTCAATTTTTGAGGAACAATATTTAGTTTTCATAAAGTATACAATTTGGAAGAATAGATTGGAGAAGAGCATTTTCAACAGATTTGGAGCCGAAAATTACAGTTTCCTTTTTTTTTCAAAGTATTTTGTAAGACATACTTAGCCAATATAAATAATATATGTATATATCAATATAACCAAACCCAGTTTAGTTTGTTTTTGAATTGCACACTTAAATGTCATAGATTAAACTTTAACAAATAAATATGTTTATAGAATTATTATTTCAAGTCTGGTAACAATTAAAAAATATATCAGTCATTGGATATTTGTATTGTTGTCTGCTAATAAGTATTCTTTGTATTTAAGCATGGGCCTTACGTTTTTGCGAATGTATTAGAATTTTGAGTGATGATATCAAATCAAAGTTTATTTTCAACAAATTGTTGAGATTAATCAAGTAGACTAAACGGCGACAATCTCTCACATTGAATGATATTGGTTATGGAGACTTTTGCTTACAACAGGCTGGTTTTCAACGAAACGAAAACAAGGATAAATGAGCATTAAGTGCTGAGAGAGGAGTTGAAAACCTTGGTGTTTTTGGACGGGCAATTGTACTTTTAAGAACACATCTTTCGTCTTTGTAAGAAACTGTGTTCTAGCGGGTATGCTATAAGAATGACAAGGCAGACTGTGAGCTAGCGGGTGATGATATCCTGAGAAAAAACTCCCCGTTTTACGAGAGCAAGAAGCTTCACAAACTTGATCACTTCCGAAAAAAAAAAGTATTTCATCAAAAAGGGCACAGGTACTTACCTCAGTACTTAGTATACTACGAAGGAATACTATTCTATGAAAATATATCATTGCGTAATGGATTGATGATTGCCCTGATAACATTTTCAATGTACACACGACCCTCGACTCGACCTGTCATGTTCTGACGGATAGGAATTAATGGAGTTCTACGATTGTGCATAAGAAGTAGGGGATTATTGGGGTGAGGGGGTAGTTGGACATTGCAAATTCTCAAACTGTCACTCTGAATATGATTTCTCCTTTAAAGATAACCTTCATTTGAAAAGAGTTATTGCTCGTTTTATAGCTTATGAGGCAATAATACAGAAAATTGGAAACCGTTTTGATTTGATTAATCTCAAATAATTAAATTCAGATGAAGGATATTATGCGATAACTATGTCTAGAATTTCGCGAAAATTATAATTTAATCTACATCCATGTCCTATTGAAAATAACGAAATTTTTTCGTGTTTAGCAAGAAGCCGCAAGACCCCATGGTTATAAATATTGTGAGAAATGCACATTCTAAAATAATCCTTCTGCGTTTTTTTAAACAGCTAATACGCATCTGCTTCAACCCCAATAAGTGTTAAACTTTCTAATACTATCTATGGTGACATTTTTATATTTAGCTCTTTGGCTGTACCTTTAGCTTTAATTTTAGCCACATGCAAATGCTATGGTATTTCAAAGTTAATTATAGAAGTGGCCCTAAATTGATGAGCGATATAAAAAGTAATACATACAGGCTAAAAAACTGCACCACTGTCACAATTTCACAAGGGGTACTGAATTCGAGTTATATTTAATTTCACTTTGGGCCAAGCGGCCAAGTATTGGTGGTCTTAAAAAGGATTATTTAAAAATCAAAATAGATAAAACTTACCATTCCAGTCAGCATTTCCATAAAATCCACAGCCTGTCTTGCACTTCAAGTCAGCTTGGTTGATCCTCAGCGACGGTTGCTTGGTAGCGTACATTATGTACTTGTAAGACCTCTGCATCGGCATTTTGGAAAAAGAAAAAAGTACACTTATTAGCAAAAACAGTTTATAGGTCCTTAGAGTCCAGTTTTTTAATGATAAGGTTTAGGTCTACCTTAACCCATCACATGCACAATTATTATCCCATTCTAATCGAGAGGGATAAATATTACCACTGGGTAGCCTTTGGCAAACCAAGAAATAAAATATATAAATATATATGTATATAAAAGTTTTAGTGGTAGTTTTGAAGCTACCACGGGGGAACAAAGATAGGATCGTGAGCGCACAGATTGAGTTCTTTCATAAGCAAATGCACTATTGGGAATTGCGGATATTTCAGCACAGTCGACAACGCTTGATTGGATCCGCTAGCTTTCTGGTAGTTGACCGACGTATAAGCTAAACAACAGGATTCGCATTCGCCAGGATCAGCCATTTGTGGTGGAAGGTAACGTCGTACTGTTTCGACAACAGGATGAAACTCTTATATTTATTTATATTGAATAATAATTCTTCTCTATAATCACTTAAGCCACTTTAAAGTATATTTGATCTTTTTTCGGAAATCGTGTTTGAGAAATTATAATCAGCTTTCAAGACCAACGCGACTAATTTTCGAATAGTAGCTTCGATAGCAACAAGCTGGTTTTTATCTGTTTGAATAAAGAATATTACACGGTGATTGCAAAACATATTGTTTAAACGTATTCTGAACAAGTACCTTATCATCCAACTTGATAAGATTCTTGTATTTTAATTGATATAATGTATTTTTTATATTTGTGACTATCGGGCAAGTTCAAAGTTTGTGGGAATTGTATGTAGAATGATTAATTCGTAACCAGCCAGAAGATCATTATATTCATTATCAAACAAAATTAATTATCCAAAAAAAAAGGAAAAACAGGCATCATCGATATATTGTCCTTTTCACCAAGGTGTAAGAATTTTTCAATAACAAGTGCAGGTAAAAACCAAGTTATGGTGACCCCACGACTTGTGTTCCTGCTACATGGCTTCAACAGGTAGGGTGTAACCTGGTTAGAAAAAAAATACCTACCTAGAAACCACAGGCAGACCAAGTGCAAATTTGTGGAACGCTACTATTAGGACCCGAGCGAGAATATTCAATTCAATAATATATTTAAATAAACAAAGAATTTCTAGAGACTTCTGGATAAAATGTTTTTTTATAAGTAGCACATATAGTATTGATAAGAGAATTGTTGTATAAAGTATAATCGCTAGGTAAGTGATTAGTGAATTTTGTAAAGTCAACTCGTTCAATAAAATTTGTTCTTGTTAGTAAAAAGAGTTTTAATAGAGCCCGAAAAGTTCCAGAATATTCTATAGTGTTCTATACGGAAATCAAAAGTGATAATGGAATAGTGACTTTATTCCTGGTTTTAACATCGACAAACAAGTTCACATTATCTAGAACATTGCGGAAAAGGTACCTATTGCGTGGAATTCGTCTTGCAGAATTTTTTTTTTAAATACGCTCTTACCTAAACTGAAAACAATATTTTATTTTATAATTTAAGAAATCTAAGGTTAGAAGAAGGAATTGAAATTTCCAGGTTATTTTTTTATACCCAGTATACTACATGTGCCTTGCCTGACTGGCTGCAATAGAGTTATTGAAAATCACCCCATGTGATCGCTCACTCTCGCCTTTCAGCATAAAAACTCAAGGATAATGTGGCGGTTTTTTTTTTTAAAATAAAGACAAGGGTATATACCTAGAACTGACTGAACACATCACAATAAAAATGTCTATTATGGAAACCCCTGTCTGTACTTATAACCATTTATCGATTTTTCAACTTTTAATATTCCGCTCTATACAAATAGGTATTTATCTGAATAGATTAGTATATCATGAAGTACTCGCTATTGTCAAAAGCATATTTTAAATGTGACTAAAAATATGAACAAAGGAAATTGAATTATTTAATTTGCAGGTATACTGAAAAAGCTGAAGCAAGCCTATAATATCTAAGACAAATAAATGACAGAAAGCATCTAATTATTTTTTTCTTTGTTTGATTTCACCAATATTGACATTATTATTATTAGTTTCCTAGCAAAAGCTAATTAGGCATTAATCTGTATATAGAAGTAAATGAATAATATTGTAAGCTGATTTGTCATGAATGTCGAAAATTGAAACGCATAAAACAGTAAATACGGGTATTTATTTATGGTGCATTAAAAAGTTCTTTAGGCTTTTAAGTAGGTGAAAATGATAAGAAAATATTGTCTGTGTTGGACTCAAGCAGTTTAGAATCTGACTCATATAAAATCAAATGAGAAGAAACTGCTAACCTACCAAAAATTGCTCTGAGAGTATGATCACTTAACATAATTATTTAATGTTTCTGTTGATCCCAAATATGAAATGCTACCGTAAAAGCGGGTTACTTTGCACGTTTCTGGCGTAGGTATTTTTGTCTCTTAAGTTTAAAATGGATTGTTATGAGTCTAAACTATGTGAAACTTTATCGTATGTACCTTCATGCTTCAAATAGAAATCTTTCCAAAATTAAAATTCACATATAATTACATGTAAAGTTAACTACTCACTACTACAAAGGAACTTACAAAAGCCTACAAGAAAAAAGAAAACAAAAACAAATTCAGATCACGGCCTTCAAATTTTTGAGACTGTTATTAAACAAGTCTCTTTAGACCTCGCTGAGAATCTCATTTGTAACTTAGATTATTTTATTTAAAGGAGACATACTATTTGGATCTGCACTAAATAATTTTTGATTATTTCGTAAGTATTCTTAAATTAATCTTTGGTACAGTAAAATTTATGTAATTAATCAAGTTACAATCTTAGTACTTTATGTTATTTAAAATATAGTAAAGATATATCACAGCTTGTTGTCGTCTTCTTTGTAAAAGAGAACTGAAATTGAAACTATCCAACATAAATGTATACGAAACTTTTGACGGATATGTATTGTTTTTCAAAACATAGAGATAACGCAAGAATCTTTTTTGAATCTCTTCAATACAATACAATCAATGTGTGGCCTCAAATGACATCCAAATTTGTGACGCATATTCTAAATGTGGCCTCACCAAAGCTCTACAGGGTGTCCCAAAAAGATACCGACAAACTTTAAAGGGTAGTAAGGGACATCAAAACAAGCATTTTTGTTTATATAAACATATGTCCGCAAATGAACCATTTGGGCTGTAGAGCAAAAAAACCGTTCGGTACTTTTATTCTTCGCAATAATTAAATCACTGTTTGCTTATTATTTTGCTTTATTAACAAATAAATTATTGTTTACAATTTTTCAAAAGGTTGACCATTTACTTCAATACAAAGATTGCACCGTCGGTTCATTGAATTGCGAACCCTTTGGAATATTCCGGGAATAGCTTCTACATTGGTACAACTCGCCAGTATCCTTGCTAACAGATCTTCCTCATTACGACCCAACGGTACAATCTTTGTATTGAAGTAAATGGTCAACCTTTTGAACAATTCTAAACAATAATTTATTTGTTAATAAAGCAAAATAATAAGTAAACAGTGATTTAATTATTGCGAAGAATAAAAGTACTGAACAGTTTTTTTGCTCTACAGCCCAAATGGTTCATTTGCGGACATATGTTTATATAAACAAAAATGCTTGTTTTGATGTCCCTTACTACCCTTTAAAGTTTGTCGGTATCTTTTTGGGACACCCTGTATACAACCTGATTATTGTGGATATACTAAATTCCTTTGTATTTCTAATCAAGAAACCCAGAGCCTTGACACGTTATTATTTATGTGACAGAAATGATTATTAAATTTTAAATTTGACCGAAAGAAAACTCCCAAATCCTTCACCACACTTTCACGCTTCATTATGACATCAAAAACTTTGTAGTTAAAATGTTAGAACTGAATTTTTTTTTTATATTAAGGAACATTTTATCAGAATACCATTTAATTACTCAATCAATTTCAAGCTGGAGCAAATCGCAATCTTTTTTCTTTTTTATAACTCTATAAAGTTTGAAGTCGTCTGGCAATGAATTAATGAAACATAAAAAAGTGAAGGGCCCAAATTGCTCCCCTGGCACGCCTGAGGTGGTGATGAAGAGTTCTGATTCACAGAAACCGATTCTGACAGAATGCACTCAGTTCAAGAGATATGACTTAAAAAAATGGTAATGGTCGTGCCCCCACCTTTTTTATATACTTCGTAGGCATTTTAATTTCTGTGAAAAAAATATAACAGTCATTATTTCACTCCTACCTCTGAAAAAATACCAAAAACCGTAAAAAAAATATATATAAACAGCATCAAGACTTTATGAACATACTCTGTATATTTTTTTAAGTGCCGAGGGGCATGAAAAATCTATATCCATGTTTCCAGGCACTTCCAAAAATTCTACTATGTTCCAGATCCCTTTAGCATCCTACTGATTTTTTTTTACAGAAAAACATGAACTACTTACGCATGCTGCGGTTCCCATTGCCTACACAATTTACACTACTTTACGTTCAGCGACAGACTGCCACCTGTGAAGACTTACAATCCGTTGCTTAATTGGCTGTCAGTAGGTAATAACCGTCCCAAAAAAGTCAACTTGATAGCTTTTTAAAATTTTTGTGCAATAAAGCCCGTCGGTGCAAAGTAACATGGTTTTACGATACCTATTTGTTTTCATTGATCAACAATAAAATATAAAGTTAATAATGAATGAGTAATTTGGAAATTTTTGTAATCATGATAAAACCATTCAGTCGTTTGAATAAAGTGTAGCAAATACATTTACTCTACTTCCGTCTCTTTTTGCTGCATTAAAGCTGAATATGCTTATCTCAAAAAATCATATGGTCGTGTTTTATGCATATGACCCATTAAATGCACTGATTCCTGAAAGCAAGGTGATTTCATCATAGTCGATGAAATAATAGTCCGGGAGTTAACGACATATTTCATTGTACCATTTCCGCAAGTTTCATTCTTTTTGTATGTGTTATGCGTGTAGTATATGATAGCAATATATGTCTGCCGGCGCACCCCCACGACAGGGGGTTACACGAGGGTTACAATTAAAGCAGTGAAATTATTGTACGTATTGGTAGAAACATAGAAAGCTTAGAAAATATCTTCTGTCACCTAAATTCCACAACAAAAGTTGTCTGCCATCCACATAAGTAAGCGCAAAAAAATTAATATATATAAAAAAAAGTATACCCGCAAGGCTGAAATAAATTAATAACTTCTTTACTAATAGTCTGGCACAAATAAGATACAACGAAGATCGTCTGCCAAATTTCGGGCATGCAGACGAGGTGACCTGTCCACCGAAGTTGGTGCTTAATGATGAGGTCTTCCATGCTAGTTGTTTTGGTCTCCTCTGAAACACTAATGTTTGTTCGTCGTTCTTGCCATTTAAGTAATCCGTAGGATCCTTCTTAGGAATCGCTGGTGGTATTTTTATAGGATTTTATGTGTCTTCTGGATTTGGTCCATGTTTCACAGCCATATGTAATTATTGGTATTAAAACTGCATTGTAGACTCGAAGTTTGGTCTCAGCTGATATCGTGATTGTTGAAGACTCTCTCTAGAAGTCGCCCGAACGCCGGGCAAACACACTTCAAGCGATGTTCGATTTCTCTAAATTGAGAAAATTAAA